AACACTTACCATTTATTTTATTGAATAAATTAATTTATTTTAGAACACTTACCTAAACAAATACGGAGTATCATTTATTGAATACTCCCTCCATCCCCAATTTGATTATAAATTGCGAGTTACGGAGTAAAATTTGTTACTTTTTGAAATCATTTTATTTACAAATTGGTACATCAATAAAATATAAAAATTACATATTAAAAAACTAAGTATATTAAAAGTTACGGAGTATATTAATTTATTTCATTTCAGATCTGCATCTTATCTTATCTGATTTAGATCTGCTTATTACTACAAGGTTGCATGTTCCTCAATCACAATTTATTATTTACTACCTCCGTCCCAAAAAGAATTACACGTTTTGAGTAAAGTTGAAATTAAGGGAGAGATAATTTTGTGTTAACTTTCCAAAAATACCCTTGATGTGATGGGTAAAAGTAGGATGTGATTTATAGATTATTAGGAAAAAGATATGATGTGATAGGTAAGTTTGAAAAAGTAAGGGGTAAAAGTAGTTTTTTAAAAGAAATGAATAAGAGAATGTGAGACGCAATTTTTTTGAAAGGTATAAATCTTTTTGGGATGGAGGGAGTATAATTTATCACCAATAAGTTATAACACAACATATCCAACAATTTGTCATAAAAAAACATATCCAACAATTAACATTTCCAAATCCCCAATCAATCCTAAACATGCTCCTACTCAATTTCAATAATATAATTCCCAAAAACACAATCAGTCAAGAACTCAAGATGTTTAACGATCATGCTCACAAATTCAACATCAATTTGAGAAAATATATCAACGAATACTAACTTACAAATTAATACTAACGCTAGATATATGAATCAGGACTCACCTCCAATGAAACGATTAAAGCAAATCAACAAATTGGGTAAAAGAACAAACGGTGACGGCTAATGGCAGTCGCAACCACAGCGGCGAAGGCTCTGAATCTGTGGCAGACCAGCGGCGATCGGCGATTAGGAGCTGCGAGGTTGAATGCTTATGCATCCAATAATCACTTCAACAGGACTCCTGAACTAGCCTATTTACTCCCATCCAGTACTTGGTCCTCCGTAGGCTACACAAAGTATATAAGGACTATGGAGTAAATTTATAGTGGGGCTTGGTTTCACTAGATCTAACTAATGCGATGAACAATCAGAATAATATAATAATCTGTAATACATTACTTTGTGGGAGTAAAGATTAAAAAAATTAGAACGAATTCATATACTCCGTAATAAAAACTAAAATTTTATATATATATATATATATATATATATATATATATATATATATATATATATATATATATATATATATATATATATATATATATATATATATATATATATATATGGGACAAATAATCTGGGACGGTGGGAGTGGGTGTGTGTCTATATATATATGTGTGTGTGTGTGTGTGTGTGTGTATATATGTGTGTGTGTGTGTGTGTGTTACACGAGATATAGCAACATATAACTGAGCATGACTAAAGACTGGTTTTTTAAGTAGTAGCCAACACGCAATAAAAATTGACCTTGACTTTTGGTAATGGTCATTGCAAAAGAAGTCATGACATGAAACTGATTCCTTTGAAACTTAAAAGGAAACCTTTTATCCGATGGAGTCAATGAAAGTCTTGCGGTAACAACTTCATGCCCAACATTTTTCCCTTCTATTACTCTTCCTTGAATTAAATGATTTCCCAATTTGTCGCTATTAATCTTGATTCATTGCACGAGCTCATAGATGGATCAATATTTCTAAGAAGCATGATTGGGTTACCGACTTTCAACCTAAGCACATGGTTTGGAACACCTGAAGCTCGAATGCCATTTAAAAATTCACGTGAATATAGATCAGATAAACCATCCACGTTTGAGCCTCACTTACAAATGCTATCGGAGTTTAAGTATCTCTTAGACTCCTCGTTCTCATTCTTTGATGTCATGTAATCATTAACTGCATCAACCACATCTAATGTTGGCGCTAGAATAATGGCTCTCTGTTGCAAGTACGTTGGATCGTTTGCAATGTTGTTAAAATCTGGGTATGTTGATCACATAATTGCCTTGATGGGATCATTAAAGTATTTTAGAATAATATCATCACGAAGAACAATTTTTGGGCATCCATCCTTTTCATTGCATACATTCATATCTTCAATATTGGCAATCCATTTCGCGAATTCAACCAAATCTTTGTTATCTACCGATCTGCACCAACCCATCACCCCTTCACCTCTCTTTTCTTTCCCTCCTCGTTCCTCAAATCTCCATCTTATGTTGCACGGAAATCCACGATCCGGCCTTCACCTCTCTTTCCTCCCATCTTATATCCACAAATCTCCATTGTACGATGTTCGATCTGCCGTCCATGGTAAGTCAAATTCATCACCTACTTCGCATTTCAATTTGATTTTGCTTAATCGTTTTTATAGATATGTGAGGTTTGAGAGTATGGTTGCTTTTGCAATTAAATAATGCTACTAAATAATATGTTAATTGCATAAATACTTTTTTTTGAATTTGGAATAAAGGGGTTAATTGATAAGTCTGCTATTTGAGTATATTTTGTTATCTTTTGATAGGCTTATTTACATAGATGTTAATAGTATTTGAAGCTTAATTGTGTGTTTATCATGAAAAGACTAATTTTGGACTGATTTGTGATTATTGACTGATTTTAAGGTTCCAATTTAATGAAAGGGCTGAATTGCAAGCAAATATGGAAAACATGGGGCTAAACTACAATTTTTGAAAGTTCATTATCTTTCCAAATCAGCTTTCGGCTGTATTTGGTTAGAGGTAGGTAAAGTTTTATTAGGTAGGTAATTGAAGGTAGGTAAAGTAAGGTAAAAGTTAAAAAAATTGTGTTTGGATATCTAATAGGTAATGTAAGGTAAGGAACACAAAAAATTACCTAAATACCCCTAAGTAATTTCGTTTCTTTGCTTCTCCAGCGGTCATCCATTACAAAAACAAAAAAATAAATTTTAAAACAAAGAAAACTGAAAACAAAACAGGAAAAAATGAAAAAAATTGAAAAAAGAACAAAAAATTAAACTTGAAAAACAGAAGATTAAACTTAAAATAAGAAAAAAAAAACAAAACAGAAAAAAATGAAAAATAAAAATGAAGAAAACAACAAAAACATAAGTAGAAAACCATAAACATAAAAAACAAAAAAACACAGAAAAAGAAAACGAAAAAGGTTGAAAGCAAAAAAACGAAAAAGATTGAAAGCAAAAGAAATGAAGAAAGGACCATGCTACACTTACACCAAAAAATGTACCTCATTTATACACCACAGTTATGAACAAACATTTTGATGGTTTACACCGAAACAAGTGTTGGTGCGTTAACAAAAATGTACACGGACACAAAGTGTTGGTGCGTTAACAAAAATTAGTTTAAACCAACACCTGTTGGTGCAAACCTGCGGGGTACAAATTGGGGTACAAATTAAGGGTCTGCTTGGTATACGGAATTGACGGAATTGGAATTGAATTGGAATTGAGATTTTATGGGATTCAATGCCATAGAATTGAATTCTGTCAATTCTAATTCATTTTTTGCACTATCAATTTCAAATCATATAATTTTTGTGCTAACAAACATTAGAATTGGAATTCAAGTCCTCAATATAATTCCAATTCCTTAGTTTGAATTCCATGTACCAAACAGGGCAAGTGTACGTGATTATCATGCACCCCTCACCAAAGGTGCATGTGTGCGTGGGAAAAATAAACACTCGTATATAATATTTCCTGTTATTGAGTAAATCTCATTTTGTGTATATCATAAATATACAAATGAATAAATCTTGGTCACATCACAGAGTACATTCCTTGCTGTTTGATAGATGCGAGATTATAGTTCATCTGAAGACGATTCCTCTCTGTCTCTACCCGTAACATCCATCATAAAATATTCACTACGAACTCTAATTTGCATGCAAAAATCTTTTAAGGTAATAAAGTTATGATTTTTTCAAGAAACGGCACAGCAAATATGTTTACATTCATCTTTCCTACTCCCTTCGTCCCAAATTATTTGTCACACTTCTATTACCGAGGTAAAATATCAAGTTTTTTCAATTCATTTTATTTACAAATTGGTAAAAAAATAAAAAATAAAAATTACATATCAAAAAACTACATGAAAAGTTCTTCAAAATACGGAGTAAGAGATGTCAAGAATATTTTATTTTATCAAATAACCAATGAAAATAATGAAAATGTAGAAATAAACAAAAGTTTCTGCGACTGTTGAAAAAGCAAATGTGGCAAATAATTTGGGACAGAGGGAGTATTTTTTTTACAATTCACTACAAAAATTGAATTACAAATACATTTCTATAACGGAAATGTAGATGGTATTTTTGATAATCTACAACAATTTTTTTCTAACAAAATGATACAACAAAAAGTGTGAGAATGGTACCCGAATTACTATTTTTAAATGTCACAATAATTTTATCTGATAAGTCACCATAATTATTTAAAATTATTTTTATTCTAAATTAAATTAATGGGAGTATATCGTGTTTTACTGTGTTAATTAAATATTTTAACTTTACATTATGTTAAGCTAATCATAGAGACTTAAAATGTCAATAAAAATATTCGAATTTAATGGCTATAGTCTATAGAGTCTAGTCTCTCACTTATAAATGATAAGTTAATGATTTGGTTGAAATACTAACTTAAGAACTTTTACATTTTTTAAAGTTTATTTTAGGAATATGCTAGGGTACACCAAATGTGTACCCCAAATGTATATCATCCCTTTCTTTACCATTCATTTTATCTTATTTTTAATTTTTATTTTTTTTTAAATTTTTATTGTCTTTTGTTGTGGTGATTGAGGGGTTAGGGGATGTTTGGGATACACTTTTGGTGTACTCTAGCATTTTCCTTTATTTTAATATGTAAACTTACATTTCAAATTAAAAATTATATAAAGTCAATCCGTACCATTCAATTTTGAATTTTCACCGGCAAGCTGGTTCAACTCCACTCTCTCTCTTATACTGACAAGAGAGTGACTGACTCAGTCAAGGGGAGTAACACGCTTGTTCTTCTCCATTCCCATTCCCAATTTTCCCTGCTCAACTCCTCAAATCACTGAAATTAATCCATCACTAACGAAAAAGGGTGGGAAAATCAGATAGGATTATGCACCTTCCAAGCGTGTTGTGTTTGTTCTTCCTCGCCGCCATGTTTGCCGGAGCTGCTTCCCAGCCTCTCGAAAATTACTGTCCAAACAGCACTATTTACGCCCCAAACAGCACTTACCGGTCCAACCTCAACTCCCTCCTCTCTGCTCTGGCCTCCAACGCCACCCGTCCAAACGGATTCCACAACTCCACCTTTGGCGGCGGAGTCTCCGCCGCCTACGGCCTGTTCATGTGCCGCGGCGACGTCTCCGTCTCCGAATGCCGCAGGTGCGTGCTCGACGCCGGCGAGCAGATCCTGAAGGCGTGCCCCGTCCAAACGGACGCCGTCATCTGGTACGACAATTGTATGTTGCGTTACTCCAACGCGTCAATGTTCGGAAGGTCCGACGCGTCGATCGGGCTGATCATGAGCAACACGCAGAACGATTCGCAGCCGGCGAGGTTCATGGATTCGGTCGGGAACACGCTGAACGCGGTGGCTGTCGCGGCGGCGGCGGGAGACGGATCCGGCCGGAAATTCGCGACTCTGGAGGCGAATTTCTCTGCGTTCGAGAAGATCTACGCTCTGGGGCAGTGCACGCCGGATCTATCGGAATTGGACTGCCGGAGCTGCCTGGCGAGCGGAATCGGCCAGCTGCCGGGGTGTTGTTACTCGGCAAAGGGTGCCAGAACCATCTACCCGAGCTGCAATGTTAGGTATGAGGTGTACCCTTTCTACGATAATAGTAAAGCTCTCGGAAATTACTGTCCCGACAACACAATTTACGCCCCAAACAGCACTTACCGATCCAACCTCAACTCCCTCCTCTCTGCTCTCGCCTCCAACGCCACCCGCCCGAGCGGATTCTACAACTCCACCGTCGGCGGCGGAGACTCCGCCGCCTACGGCCTGTTCATGTGCCGCGGCGACGTCTCCTCATCGGAGTGCCAGGCCTGCGTGATCGACGCCGGCGAGCAGATCCTGAAGGCGTGCCCCGTCCAAACGGACGCCGTCATCTGGTACAACAATTGTATGTTGCGTTACTCCAACGCGTCGATGTTCGGAAGGGCCGACACGTCCTTCAAGCTGAATCTCACTCATCAGAACTCTTTGCAGCCGAGGAGGTTCACAGTTTCCTTGGAAAGCACGCTGTACCGGATGGCAGATATTGCGGCGGCGGGAGACGGATCCGGAAGGAAATTCGCGGTTCAGGAGGCTAATATCTCGGCGTTGGAGAAGATCTACACTCTGGGCCAGTGCACGCCGGATCTCTCGAAATCGGATTGCCTGAGCTGCCTGACTAAGGGAATCAGCATGTTAGGTACGGCGTGTTGTTACTCGTCATTAGGTGATAGAAGCGTCTTTCCGAGTTGCATTGTTAGGTACGAGGTGTACCCTTTCTACGCCTCAACACCGCCGCCGCCTCCGTCCCTTATACTAGTTCAAGGTAAGACTCTTCTGTTAAGCGTTTGACTATTGACTTCCAATCCAATTTTTTATTTTTTTAATGAAAAATTCACTTAAATAACATTAACACATTATTCTTTTTTCATTAAAACATTATTCAAATAAATATTCGTCATCACTGAACATTATAGACATTATTAAGTGTTATTTAAAAAATAAAACAATTTAAGTTCTATTTAGAGAAATGACTTAAATTTTAGTGCTATTTAATGCAAATATTTGTTTTTTTAATCAACCGTGTTAGGGATGCACCAAAAATATACTCAAAGAAATGTACTTACATTTTTACGACTCACACTATCAAAAGATATTCGTTCAATTTTAAAAATTTGCACTCATATTTTTTGTCAATGTAATTCATCACACTAATATCACACTAGTACAACATGTCGGTACATCCCTTTGGATTACAAAATGAGATACAAATTTTGGGATACAAATGGCTTAATCTTTTTATTAACTCCTTATTTCTTTTAAAATTAATGTCCCGTATTACAATAAAAAATAATAATCGAGAATAATTCTATATTCAATTGTGTTGTTGAATATAAAGAATCAACCCTCTTTATATATGAAGGTTATAAAGAAAATACGGAGTAAATAAACTTTTAATCATTCTTTTCTTTCTAAAAAAAGAGTCATATCAAAATAGAAAAACTATTAAACCAAATCCCAAAAAGATTCAGTTTCTTCTTCTACGTCTTCTTCTCGTAACACTCGCCCTCACGTTGGAGCACGGGGATTACGAGTGCCAAGTCTGGACAACACATAATTAAATTATCTTTGTTTAAATGTCATCTGAACAATTCAACAACTACATTTTCTTCGACGGAGACACCACTGTTTTTGAATCCGTCGAATAATCAATCGAGTAAAGGAACGTCATTCTTTTCAAACCTTCACCGAATTCAAACGAACAGGACGAACATCATTCTTTTTTAACATCTTGAATACCAATTTTTTTATTTTCGCCTTGAAGAAATTGTCTTCATTATACTGAATAGACCTTATTGCACGATTTCTTCATGAAATCATGAGTAGTGGTTGCGATTCCTTAACAGTCAAGTTCTTTACTTCTAAAATAAGGATTATGTCAAAATAGGAAAACTATCAACCCGAATCCCAAAAAGATTTAGTTTCTTTTTCTACGCCTCCGTCTCGAAACAATTAGGGTTGGATTTGTCAGTATAACATTGTTTAATTTAAATATGTGTTTGCATGATAAGTGTTGGCGATAGAATAAGGAAGCTGGATCGAAGAAGGAAACGAATCCTACTGGGATTCAGTTTAGTATTTTTCCTAGTTTGTTTAGTTCTTATTTTAATAGGAATAGAAATATGATAGGAATAGAACTTTACTTATATGCTTTACTCTCTTCCTATATAAAGAGGGTTAGACCTTTGTATTCACAAGCCAATTCAACATATACAAACTACTACGGTATCAATTTTCTTTCTTATCAATTTCTACATGGTATCAGAGCAAGTTTTGAATTCTTGATACCTCAAACACGCTTCGTCCCCTGCCGGTGGGCATACACAATTCAATGCCTACCGGCGGGATATTGTAATTTTTTGATTTTCTTTGATTGTTCTCCCTCACTCAAGAATATCATGAACTCCTTCAACGAAGACCATTGTTGTCGAGGAATCGCGCCTAACCATCAATCTTGAAGAAGTTGTCCGAGAAGGGTTGTTCAAGAAAGGCAGACAACTCTTTCCTTTGCAGGCAATAAAAAAAGTTGGTGTTCAGGGTGTTCGAAAAGAATGGCGTCCCTCCTGTTTGTTCGAATACGGTGAAGGTTCGAAAAGAATGGCATTCCTTTACTCGACTTATTTTTCGGCGGATTTGAAAAGCTTGGCGTCTTCGTTGAAAAAAAATTGAAGTGTCTAGATGACACTTGGACAACAATGGCAGCGGCTTCCTCAAGCTTTGTTCAATTTTTTGAAGTCCAAGCTGGGCATGTTGAACTCCCACGCTCCAGCTTGAGGGGGGGTGTTGGCGATAAAATAAGGAAGCTGGATCGAAGAAGGAAACGAATCCTACTAGGATTCAGTTTAGTATCTTTCCTAGTTTGTTTAGTTCTTATTTTAATAGGAATAGAAATATGGTAGAAATAGAACTTTACTTATATGCTTTACTCTCTTCCTATATAAAGATGGTTAGACCTTTGTATTCACAAGCCAATTCAACATATACAAACTATTTTCTTTCTTATCAATTTCTACAATAAGTGAAGATGTCTGATCTTTTGGGTAGTGACAAAAAACAAATCTGTAAGGACTTGGTCCTAGAGTGACAATAACATATTAATGTGGGGGTAGGATGAGGATACACGCAATTTCAATATCTCTAATGTACGTATACATAATCCATGGATTATAAACAATTTACCAAAATTATATAAAAGTCTACTAAGAAAATATATTAAAATCTATTTAAAAGTAATCTAAGTGGACTTAACATAAGTTATTGATTTTACAATAGTTTATGAGAGTCTTTTAAAGTTTGGACGACTGAAAATTTGAAATACACTCCCTAAATCATAATTGGCATGTGAACTGAGTTAGATCTAGTACAAGAATTGAAACACAATCCAAATGCAAGGAGTGTTTGAATGATAGTGTTGTACATGAGCAAAATATATATATAAATAGAGAAATTTACATAAATAGGACTAAAACATAATGACTTTCCCAATATAGGACCATATGTTTTTATTTCTCAATGTATGACCTTTGGTCATTATCAAGTAGTCATTATTCAACTAAATGTACATCATTACTGGACATTATTTCTCCGACTAAGTCATTATTAAGTCCTATTTAGGGAATAAAAAAGTTTAAGTCCTACATTAGGGAAGTCATTATATTTTAATCCTATTTAGTGTAAATTTCTGCGGAGTAATTAATAGGGACTAAGTGTGAGAAGTAATTTTAGCGGTCATTTTTTCCCACTTTTGTAGGAGCCAAAGGAAATTACTCTTCAAATTCCACTATGGTAGGAACCAACAGAAATTCTTCTTCAAAGGTACCGATTATTGTTGCAACTACAGTTCCACTTAGTGGAATTATATTCACAACCGCAGTCTTCTGTCTTGTGAGAATGAGGCGACGTGTCGGAAAGACAAATGGTATACGTTTAAGAACAGGTTAGAAAATGTACCGATCCAAATTTGATTTACCCCGTAGTATTTATTATTGGTATCACTACTCTCTTGTCTTACAATCTTATAATATTCCTCACCCATTCTCTTTTGTAGACGTAAATGGCATTTCAAGTGAATCTTCCCAATATGATTTTGCTACTATTCAAGCTATTACTAATGATTTCTCTTATAAAATCGGACGAGGCGGATACGGTTTTGTCTACAAGGTAGGTATGTACACAAAGAATTGTATTTGGGAATAATTATCTTGTATTGTTAAGTTGATGATTACACTATGAACAAATGCCGTATATATATAAGATTCCATAGGCCAGTAAATGTGTAGGTAGCTAATTAAATACTCCGGTATATACTAAAAAAGAAATCAATATACAATATATACAATGGAAAAGTACCAAAATAATATATATGGAAGTATATGGAAATATATTCAATTGTTTCCTTCTTTACCCCCCCCCCCCCAAATCAAGTTAGAGCATGCAAAAGTGAAATACCCAACTTGAGAATAAGAAACTCCAGACGAGATTTCTCCAATGCATTAGTGTTAATATCTGTAAGCTGATGCGCAGTAGGCACATGATGAGTACAAATCACTCCACGAAGAAGTTCATCACGAACAAAATGACAATCAATCTCAATATGCTTCGTACGCTTGTGAAAGTAGATTAACAACAATATCAAGTGCCGGTGTGCTGTCACAATGAATGGTCATGGGACAATCGTGCAAGACACCTAGACAGCGCAAACGATTCTTCAACCACTTCAACTCAAAAGTATCAGCAGCAAGGGCGGCATGATATTCTGCTTCAACAGACAACTGAGTAACTCTTGTTTGTTTCTTCATTTTCTATGAGACGGGTGAGTCTCCGAGTTGAACAAACCATCCAGTCAAATATCGTCTCATCAGTGGACATGCGGCCCAATCCGAATCACACCAACCTGTAAGCTAGTGACTATTATCTGCAGAGAGAATGATACCCTGTCCTGGACTTCTCTTCAAGTACCGAACAACACCTAGAGCAGCAGTCCATTGATTTTCTATAGACTCCTTCAAAAACTGTGCTTAAGTGTGCCCAACATAGGAGGGCTCCAACCGAGTAACAGATAGATAAACCAGACGCCCTACGAGACACCGATAAGGTTTTGGATCCGCCAGAACTAGTGCTCAATTTAGCACAGTTCCAATAAGCTCAGTTTAGCACATTGATCCTTCTATATCCGTATTATCTCCAGCAATGTTTAGATCATCAACATAAGCCAAAACATGTATTACTCCCTTCTTCCCAACGAAGGAAAATAAAGAGTGATCTGAGATGTAATACTCCCTTCTTCAGTCCATACAATGACTTCTTAACATTGTACAACATATGAGAAGAATTTGAAAAACATGGTGCCAATCTCATATAAACCTCATCCTGAAGATCTCCATGAAAAAACACATTGTGAACATCCATCTGATGCAACTCTCACCCTTTAGCGGTTGCAATAGCCAAAAGTGTGTGCACACTGCACAGTAGTTAACTTGACCACTGGGGAAAACATTTTGTTGTAGTCAAGTCCTTCTACGTGATGATTGCCAAGTATGACAAGCTTGGCCTTATACCTCTCTACACTTCCACCAAATTTATGCTTGATTTTATACAAGCATTTACAACCAAGGGGCTTTTTATGACAAGGAGGAAGAACAAGAGACCACATGTCATTAGATTCTAATGCATCAATCTTCTCCCGCATAGCATTCCTCCATCGTTCATACTGGAACACCTTTTTGAAACTCTAGGGCTCCACTTAGGTATCAAGTACTGTGAGAAAACACTTGTGTTTGTCGGAGAATCTCTCGTAGGTAAAATATGACGAGAGCGGATACTTGCAATTTTCTCTAACAAATGTGCCACCAACGTGGGTAACATAATATGTGAGTCGCACGTCGGGTGTTTCTCACGTCATCCACATCCTAAAACTTCGTCAAATGTGATGTTGACGGTCGATTGACATATATGGAATAATCCATGGCGTCGACCGTATGTAGCTCTACATATTCTTCTTCACTTTACCTCATTGACGGTTGATCGTCTTTTGTGTCTTGATCAACCGTTTGAGACCCTTGTGGAGCGTCTTCATTCTATCTCGGACATGTTCGACCGTCATCTATAGGACGGTTTAAAGGCTCCTCTAGACCGTCCGTAGCTCCTCTGGACTGTCCGTAGCTCCTCCTCTTCTTCGTGGTAACTGTTTAAGCCCGTGTCATTCAAAATACGTTCATTGGAGGATTTTCCTGCAGGAGTCAACAAAGGATAAGTAGTAAATGCGCCATCCTTTCTTTCCTAGCGAGTAACTAATAAATATCCCAGGGTTGCTTCTTGGTGCAAATTTGTCACCATTTTTCTTCAAGTTATGAGCATAACGTCTGTATCTAAAAACACGAATATGAGTCAATGAAGGCTGCTTTCCATAGATCGTTTGTATGGTGTAACCCCCCTACAAAGACGAGGATGTGTAATTGATCAGATACACAGTGTTTGAACACAATCTCCCCAAGAGGCAAAAAGTCCTCTTCAAAGAGGCAATAAATCTCCGAGAAAAACCCTTTTTCAAGAGGCAACAAATTTCCGAGAAAGTCCTCTTCTAAGAGGCACAAAGTCTCGAGAAATTACTCTTCCAAGAGGCACCAATCCCTGAGAAAAGTCCTCTTCCAAGAGGCACAAAGTCCCGAGAAAGTCCTCTTTCAAGACGCGCAAAGCTCTAAGAAAAGACCTCTTCCGAGAGGCAAAAAGTTTCCGAGAAAGTCTCGAGGCACAAAAAAAAAGTCATCTTTCAAGAGGTACTAAGTCCCGAGAAAGTTCTCTTCTAAGAGGCACAAAGTTCTGAGAAAGTTCTCTTCCTGAGGCATTAAAAAGAAAGAAAAGTCTTATCCAAAAGGCACGAAGTTCCCAAGAAAAGTCCTCTTCCAAAAGGTACCATGTCCCAAGAAAGTCCACTTCCAAGAGGCACAAAGTCCTAGAGAAAAGTCTTCTTCTAAGAAGCATCAGGTTATATCCTCACCCACAAGGTGACGAGACCCTCCAAAAAAGAAAGCCCTCTTCCTGAGGCACCGAGAAAAATTCTATCCCATGAGGCAACCCACCAAGTCTTATATATAGTTTCTAAATCTGTCTCGTTCTCCGAGACAGACTCAAAACTAGGAGGCATGTGATGGATTAGGGATTTTACCTAATCCAATATTATTTGAACAATACAAATAAGTCTAATCCAGTCCGATCCAAGATACAAATCAGGTAAATTATCCAAGATGGAGCCATAGATATGAAGACGAAGAATATAATTTGATGAGATGTATAAATATTTATTGGGGCCTTAAAACATATACTCCGTACATGATATTGGTGGGACTTGATATATTTATATATCTTCCATCAAAGCTACAAAAAGAGGGCCCACACACATGGATATGTTTCACCCCTTCCCATTATTTAAGGGAAGCTACGGAGAGAAGAATCAGGAGACCAATTCTACATACTCAATAGAGCTCCCACTACAACGATCCTTCCTTCTTCTTCTCATTTGAAGTTTAAGATCTCCATTAATTGTTCTAAATTTCTACAAAAATATAGATGTAAACTTCTCCAAGATTAATAAAAGTTCCTCCCCTTAGCATGACACCGCCTAATAGGGCTCGTGGTTTTCTCCCAATTTTGATTTCTACGTAATACTCTCTCTCCGTTTTATTTATTTTCTAAATTTTGTTGTTTGGTACAATGCAGTGCCGACCCTGTACCGAGTTCGGGTCGACGCCCCAAAAAGATGTTTCCATCATATATGTGTGTGATCATTATAATTTATTGAAGACGGTAAAATTTAAACCTTGACCAATGATAATTATCAAAAGAGTTTTAATCACCGGCCGGTTTTAGTTCTAGTTAATTGTGAGATTGAAATCTTAATAAATTATTGGTGGTACTTTTTCAAAAAAATTAATTTGTGCTTGTAGTCGTATTCGTTAAAGAGTATTTCCATAATGTACCTTATGTACTTCTAAAAAGTGATTAAATTATCATGATATTATGTGAATGCTAATGGCACTATTTCTTCCTTTCCAGATTTTTTTTCTTTTGACTTTTTTATCAAATTTTGAGACTCTTTGATTAAAATATATCAAATTAATCATAATTTAAATAAATGAAATCTTATACTGGTAGAAAATTTGATATATGAAAATGTATATATCAAGATGAAAAGCTAAATATATTGAATTTACATTATGTTTAAATATACATTCTTTTCACAATTAATGATCAAAGAATATCACTGTTTGACGAAAAAGCGAAGATAGAAAAGTTTTTCTCGAACAAATGTAGTGTATGAGAAGGTGTATTGATTCTTGGCTGCATCTAAGGTACGGTTTCATCATATATATGCTCATCAATCTTTATTTTTCATTCATTAGGGAAAACTTCCTAATGGCCAAGACGTAGCTATAAAAAGGCTTTCAAGAAGCTCGGGACAAGGTGTTCGAGAGTTCACAAATGAGGTTGAAGTAGTTGCCAAGCTCCAACATAGAAATTTAGTTAGATTGTTGGGGTATTGCTCTGAAGTTGAAGAAAAGATACTCGTCTATGAATTTGTGCCTAACAAAAGCCTTGATTACTTTTTATTTGGTTAGCTCCAAGTCTAGCTTATCTACTTGGCTTTTACCATTTCAGTTTTCTTTTTACTTGACACTTATTGTCATTGACCAACACATCATATTACATATATATATATTTGTGTCATTTGTGTGTTTCTATCTCTTTTCAAATGTGTCCAGGTCAAGAGAGTCAATATCTTTTGGATTGGTCAACACGGTACAAGATTATGGAAGGAATAGGACGTGGACTACTCTACCTTCACGAAGATTCTCGTCTTAGAATTATACACCGTGATCTCAAAGCAAGCAACATATTATTGGATGCAAATATGAGTCCAAAAATAGCAGATTTTGGCATGGCAAGAATTTTCGCATTTGATCAAACAATTGAAAGTACTAACAGAATTGTTGGAACATAGTAAGTTATCCGCCTAAAATCTATTATTTTTTTGCATTGTTTATTGCTTTATAATCTTTTGGAATTGTTTCTAAAATACCTCAAAAGTATATATATATGTTATTACGGAGCACTTAAATGTGATTATGTGAATATATTGCTTTTAGTGGTTACATGTCCCCTGAGTACGCAATGCATGGAGAGTTTTCTGTGAAGTCAGACATGTTCAGCTTCGGTGTTCTTATCTTAGAGATTATTTCAGGAAGGAAAAATAATAGTTTCCGCCAATCAAATGGAGCACGAGACCTTCTGAGCTATGTGAGTATAATTTTTTTAAATAAATAAACACATTTCACTATCTCATAGCACACACTGTTCCATTTGTAATACTATATATCTTTTTGATCGTGTCATCTCAACTATAAATGTGTTGTGTCAATTACATATGAACATTGAAGTCATGGTGCCAATTATTATAGGTCTGGGAGCAATGGTTAGATGGAAGACCTCTAGAGATCATAGATCCAAATCTTAAAGGATTATATATAGTGGAAGAAGTCATCCAATGTATACACATTGGTTTGGTATGTGTTCAAGAAAATGCTGACCAAAGACTTACGATACAAGAGATTATGTTGATGTTCACTAGTTATTCGAGTAACAATTGGCCAGTACCTTGTGAACCTGCATTTTATCGAAGTGTGAATGAGGACATACATATAGAGCCAATAGAGGCTTGCCAATCTCTCACATTCAATGAAGTTTCAATATCTGAACTATGTCCAAGATAATGACCAATTTCCACTTGATAATATTATGGTGACGTGTGGGTGTACATAACTACATGTGTGTGTGTGTGTTTATCTATTATTGGTGTTTAATAAGGAAAAATTTGTTATCCAAATATTTCCATAGGGACGAGAATGGTAGGCGAGAACATAGAACCGGATCTGGTATAACCTTAACTGCCTTAACCTTAACTTAACCTTAACTTTAAGGTACTCTAAGTTAAGGTATCTTAACTTAAGACGGTTAAGGTTACATAAAAAATGTGATAGTTAAGGTTTAGGTGTATTAAAAACACGATGGTTTGTGGTCTTAACCTTAACTTCAGGAGTTAAGGTTAAGGTACCAAACTTAAGGTACATGGAAACGGGGCCTGAATGTTAATGATTCCATTTTTTGCTATATCCTTAAAAAAACTGTGCGTGTATGTGTAATGTTTTAGATGTAAATGGCATTTCATTAGGTTAGTGGGAAGAAATCAAGAGGTATATATATCCACCACTGCTTCATATGTCTCAAAGCTTTGCTGGTTGATTCTTTCCTCATATCAATCATAATTTTTTATCTTTTACCATTTTAGTTATATTATTATTATCTTCAAACAACAGGCAATTAAAGATGAAGTTAATTTAACACTGCCCAGTATTGTGTTGTTTTCTGAAGAGGAAAGGCCCTTAAACTTGCTTCATGAACATTGATGATTGCACTACCTTATTCAACTTTGTTCCTCCAACATCTCACTGAGCAATTCCACACTTCTCTTATTAATTTCACCACCCCTCAGCAGATCTTTAAGGAACCTTGGGTAGAATGAATGTAGGACAATCCAGGTTACCAGACATATCCTACTCCAATGAAAACTTGGCAATGAAAATGATATCAAAACATGACCAGTCCTACATGTTTCTTCCACAACTACCAGGAAAACCTCAAATCTAATATTTAATTGAAACTGAATTTCTTTGAAATGTAATATTGCATGTAGGGATGTAAACAAATCAAATATTTTAAATTCGATTCGCGATTCGTATTCGAATATGATGATTCGAATTCGCGTTATTCAAATACAAATTCAAATTCAAATATTATTTTTGATTCGAATATTAATCAAATACAAATACAAATATGGATATATTCGATTCGGATGATATTCGAATATTCGAATATATGTATATATACACAGACCATGTTTTCAACATCAAAAGTCAAACAAAGTAATATAGTATAAATTTTATATAAAATACTAAGAATTCAATAAATTAACGTAACACAAAAATCTAAAGCATATGATTTTTAATAGTTATATTTTATAAAATATAATTTGTGTAAGATGCAAATGTTTTAATGTTTTTATATACGAAATATAATATAGTATAAAGAGTATCGTAAGTTAAATTACAAATAGATGTTGGTCCATCATACAAATTACTCTGTACATATTATGATTATTCAAATATTCGTTTATGATTCGATAACTACTCGAATATTAATCAAATACTTATTCAAATCTTATTTTGAATTCGTCTCATATTTGGATTCGAAAAAATTAAACAAATACAAATTCAAATATATAGGTATTCGCTTCGATTCGGTTCGTTTACACCCCTAGTTGCATGTACACTAGGAAGCCAAGTGGGTGGCCACATGTACACTCACTGCCTGAATTTTCAAAATTCCAACAAGATTATATTTTTATGAAATTTACACATGACTAAAACATAAAAAGGGTCTGAATCAAGACTTTGAATATTCGCCTGAAAGCTAGTACAACTCTACTCAGTTTTAATGACGCGAGTGTGACTCAGTCAATGGGAACAATCTTCTTCTTCCCCGTCCATTTCTTCCTTGCTCAACTCGTCAAATCACTGAAATAAGTTCATGCCCCCCATGTTCCTTCTTCTGAAATTGATGGAATTTACCCATCTTTAACCAAAAAAGGGGGGAAAGAATCATATAGAATTATGTACCTTCCAAGCGTGTTCTGTTTGTTCTTCCTCGCCGCCATGTTTGCCGGAGCTGCTTCCAAACCTCTCGGAAATTACTGTCCAAACAGCACTATTTACACTCCAAACAGCACTTACCGGTCCAACCTCAACTCCCTCCTCTCCGCTCTCGCCTCCAACGCCACCCGTCCAAACGGATTCTACAACTCCACCTTTGGCGGCGGAGTCTCCGCCGCCTACGGCATGTTCATGTGCCGCGGCGACGTCTCCGCCTCCGACTGCCGGGCGTGCGTGATCGACGCCGGCGAACAGATACTGAAGGCGTGCCCCGTCCAAACGGACTCCGTCATCTGGTACTCCAATTGTATGTTGCGTTACTCCAACGCGTCGATGTTCGGAAGATCCGACGCGTCGTTCGGGCTGATCATCCGCAATTCGCAGAACGATTCGCAGCCGGCGAGGTTCATGGATTCGGTCGGGAACACGCTGAACGCGGTGGCGGTTGCGGCGGCGGCGGGGGACGGATCCGGCCGGAAATTCGCGACTCTGGAGGCGAATTTCTCCGCCTTTGAGAAGATCTACGCTCTGGGGCAGTGCACGCCGGATCTATCGGAATTGGATTGCCGGAGCTGCCTGACGCGCGGAATCGGCCAGCTGCCGGGGTGTTGTTACTCGGCAAAGGGTGCCAGAACTGTCTACCCGAGCTGCAATGTCAGGTATGAGGTGTACCCTTTCTACAATAACAAGCGGCGGGCCTCTACACCACCGCCGTCTCCTGCTCCTCTCCGCCCTGCTCCGTCTATTCCACCGCCCCCCCTTTCTACCACCTTTGAAAGTAAGGCTCTTGAGTCTTGACCATTATATTTCTTTCTTTCAAATAAATTTCAAACATATTTTTCACTTTTGGTCAATTATTTTTATTTTCAAGATTTTTTTTAAAAAAAATTCATAAAGTCAAAGTGTCAAGTTGATTTAGAGACGGATGAAGAAGGTGTTTGGCATTGCGATAGATTCTTGAAAAGCGAAAGTCATAATGCCGAAGTCCAAAAACATTTAATCCAAACTTTGCGAAAAAGTACTTTTGGAACCTATGTTACACTCAAGAGTGATACAACATATGTCAAACATAAAATTACTTTGGGACGAAGTAAAAACTCTGTTCTTATTACCACAAACTAACAAACTCTACCATTATTTGTCCTTTCAGCTCATAAATGGACAGTTTTAAGTGAAGTGTGTGTTAGGTGTGGATGCAGGAAAGAAGAAAAGTTCATCTTCCAAAGTGATCATTGCCATTGTACTTCCGGTGCTTGGGATAATACTCTTCATTGCACTCTTATGTTGTTGTATGAGAATTAGAAATGTCAAGAAAGGATATACAACTGCAGCACACCAAACAGGTTCATTGTTTACCATGTTTTACCTTTTGTTTGTTTGACTTGCCATCTTTTTTCACTTTTTGAAATTTCTTGTAGATGTGTCTGGGATTTCAAGTGTGGAATCATATGATTTTAATACCATTCAAGCCATTACAAATGATTTCGCCCCCGAAAGTAAAATTGGTGAAGGTGGATATGGCTCAGTATACAAGGTAATAACAGTTAAATGAAGTAATTCAATCAAAAGCTCAAACTTACCGTTAAAGATTCCCATGAATGTTTGTTTTGGCGAGGATAAATTGTTGGTTTTAGTCAATTATTATGCCTTTTGCTCCGTAACCAATACACAGGCCCAGCTTCCCGAAGGACTAGACGTAGCTGTGAAAAGACTTTCGAGATTCTCGGGCCAAGGCGCTCAAGAATTCAAAAACGAGGTCGAAGTAGTTGCGCAACTTCAACACAGAAATCTTGTGAGGCTGCTTGGGTTTTGCTCTGAAGGAGAAGAGAAGATACTAATCTATGAATTTGTTCCCAACAAGAGCCTTGACTACTTTTTATTTGGTAACCACTTTTACCTCATTCTTCACATAATCAAATAAGTTGCCTAAATTTTTGTCACGCACCGGTTTATTTAATTGTCTCATTCTTGTGACAAACACGTACTCAGATCCTGAGAAGCGGCGCCTATTGGATTGGCCAACGCGTTACAGGATTATAGAAGGGATAGCACGGGGACTGCAATACCTTCACGAAGACTCCCGACTCAAAATCATACACCGTGATCTCAAAGCAGGCAACGTACTACTTGATGAAAACATGAACCCAAAAATAGCAGATTTTGGCATGGCCAAAATCTTTGGAGTTGACCAAACCCAAGGAAACACAAATCGAGTTGTCGGGACATAGTAAGTATGAAATTACAGTTTAACCCTTGATATCATGACCTATAATTCGGTACACACACACACACACACTAATATCTTGTGTATGTTGGCTAGTGGCTACATGTCCCCGGAGTACGTAATGCACGGGCAGATCTCCGTGAAATCGGATGTCTATAGTTTTGGCGTTCTAGTTTTGGAGATCATAACTGGGAAAAGGAGATCCAAATTCAGTGAATTGAGTGAAGCACAAGATCTTCTTAGCTATGTGAGTATATATTAGTTGTCAGTGGAATTTTACTAGGTTTGTTGTCGTAGTGTTATATTTTTAAACATACATACATACATACATATACATATATATATATATATATATATATATATATAGGTTCTGGTGAGAATATGATCTTAGGAAAGAAATGAGAATGAATCTGGTGGTTTAGATTGTGAGATCCAAGGGTCAGGATTGCATCAAAATTGGATGCACCAAAATGGTTTGAAAATGCATCACGTCGAAATGCACCAAAATCCTTTGAAAATACACTATATCAAAATCTGAGCGCAAGATGCAATCTGAGCCGCACAATGCATCAGATCCAACGGCTAGATTTTATTCTCATTTCTTTTCACAAGGTGCATTCTCACAGGAATCGGCCATATATATATATATGTGTGTGTGTGTGTGTGTGTGTGTGTGTGTGTATACATACATACATATACGGATTGACCTCAGTGAGATGACATGTTTCGGTGAGATGACGCATATCTCATCACTGCGCACTATAAAGCTCATCAATGGACCATGCAAACTCAACTAGAAATAAAGTAAAGCTCACCACTTTGAACACCAAAACTTACTTCTTTTTTAATTTTGAAAACTAAAAATTAATAAAAAATAAAAGAGCAACACCGGTCAACTAAAGGTCTTTGTCAACGGTCAAAATCTAGTCAGCACCCCTTCTTTTAAGCTTGTAGTTGTGCTTGGTGAGCTTTGTAGTGGGCAGCGGTGAGCTTTGCGTCATCTGAGCGTAGCACGTCATCTCACTGTAAAGTGTCATCTCACTTGAGTCAATCCCGTATATATATGGGATTGACTCAGGTGAAATGACACATTACGGTGAGATGAAATGCTACGGGCAGATAACGCAAAGCTCACCAAGAAACACTACAAATCTCACCAAACCGTAAGACAAAGCTCACCATATTTTTTCAATACTTTGAATTTTTTTGAGAAAAAAAATCAAGGAAAGGGGTGCTGACTAGACATTGACCGTTGACTGAGACCTTTGACAACCGCCTGCCACCGCCGGTCACCGGAATTTGCCGCCGCCGGTCGCCGGAATTTTCCGCTTGCCACCGCCGGTCGCTGGAATCCGCCGCCACTCTGTCGCCGGTCGCCGAAATCCACCGCCGGTTGCCGGCAACCGCCGCTGCTTCGCCACCTGCGGCCGTCGCTGACCGGTTGTTGTCTGATGTTGCTATTTTATTTTTTATTAATTTTTAATTTTCAAAATTAAAAAAAAAAGTGAATTTTGGTGTTCAAAGTGGCGAGCTTTACTTTATTTTTAGGTGAGCTTTGCATTGTCCATTGGTGAGCTTTGTAGTGTAGTGTGGTGAGCTTTGCGTCATCTCACCGAAGCATGTCATTTCACCATAAGGTGTCATCTCACTAGAGTCAATCCCTATATATATATATATATATATATACACACACACACACACACATGTATATATACATATGTATACATATACATACATACATACATATATATATATATATATATATACACACACACACACACACAGATACATACATACATACATACATATATACACACACACACACACACAGTAAGGGTGGGGTTGGGGTGGGGGGTTTATGGGGAGGGTTAGGGGGTAGGAATCGTCGTTTTTACAAACAGAGCACCGTAGGTACCCCAAATAAACTGGTTTAAGCAACTGGTGTTTAAATAACTAGTGTCATTTTTTACGCTCCCATATATATTTAATTTTGTAGGTTTGGAAATATTGGAGGGATGAGAGGCCTATGGAGATACTTGACCCTACCCTAGGAGATTCATACTCAAGAAATGAAGTAATCCGATGCATGAACATAGGGTTGTTGTGTGTTCAAGAAGAGGTGGAAGAGAGGCCTACAATGGCAAGCATTGTTCTAATGCTCAACAGTTACTCCCCGACACGGCCGATCCCACACCAACCGGCATTTTTCTACAGCAGTAGATTGGAGACGAAAGACGGGGGGAAACTGTCGTTAAAGCAGTCGGCAAGCACTTCAGTTCCAGTGTCTATAAATGAAGTCTCCATTACGGAGCTTTATCCAAGATGAAGGATTTTGGTAGAATTCAAAGGATAGATAGACTAGAAGATATGTATATAGAGAATCAGAGAGATTGGCAAGTGTCGCAGCTTAGACGACAAAGAAGGGATGCAAAAACGGATAATATCCGAATTCGATTTTTAACTCATTATATTCCATAAATTTTCCACAAAAATGTAATTGCATTGTATAATATGTTGGAAAATTTTCAAGCTATACTTTCTTGTACATTTCTTATGTGTTGGTAAGTGAAATTATGCTTTTGAACAGGCCCGCCCAATGGGGAGTTCATGGTGTTCTTTTGCATAGGGCCTCCAAATTTAGGGGGCCCATCACTTATATGGCCAATTCATTTAAATGTGTTAATATTTCATTCCTGTTAAAAGATTTGATCTTTTTTGCATTGTTTTTTGTTATTTCAGAGCTAATTGTTTTCTGTTTTCATTTTGTTACTTCAAAATTAGATCTTTCAGTTATAAAAATTGATTTTGTATAAATAATTAATTGAATTATTAATTTTCTTTTTTAGTTTTTTGTCAAGAAGTGAATTGACTTTTTTTGGAACTTCAATTCATTCTTAAAAAAATGTTTGGTTTATAACAACTATTTTAGTTTTAAAATTCTGATATGTAAATTGATTTTCAAATCACAAGTAAATCATTTCTTGTAAAAAAAAGAATCATTTTTTATTCTTCTTTTTTAATTTTAAATTTCATTCTTCTTACAGGTAAACTTATCATGGGGAACTTTACCTTAGTCTTATTTTTCAAAATTAATTTGAGTCATCCTCTTTTGAAAAAATTGAAATTAATTATATTATGTTTAATGAAATAATTAATACTAGGGAGTAGTATTTTTGCTTTATCAAAATATCTAGTTTTAACATAAAATTTGGGACCTAAATTATAAAATTGCACAGGGCCTTATAGAATGATTGGGGGGCCATGCTTTTGAACAATAAAAAAAAGTACTCCCTCCGTCCATAAATAAACTTCCCACTTTCCTTTTTCGTCCGTCCACAAATAAACTTCCCATTTCCTTATTTGGTAATATTTTTGCATTAAAAAGACTTATTTACCCTTATACATCTCCTCCATATCTTCCGTATCTTTTTTACTTCTTTCTTCCTACTCTCTCTTTCTTCTTTACTTCTTTCTTCCTTCTCTCTTTCCGGTAATCCCCTGCCACCCCCCAATTCTTTTTCTTTTCTTCTCTTTTTATCTTCTTTCTTTTCCTCTTCCTCTCCCCTCCGATCGTGTCCAGCCAGCCGCTCCATCTTCTTCTTTATTACTACAGTACTAACACTTTTTCTTCTTCCCACTCATACCAATTTTGTCCAGCCACTAAACCTATCACCATCTTCCTTTCTTTCTTCTTTTCTTATTTGCGGTGATATCCACATGGATGGATATGATGATTTCAAAATTCTTTTTCATTCAATCTTTTGGTCATCGGGTCTTCTTCTTCATCAGATCTGAAGGAGTAAGTCTTGTTTTCGTTAGATCTGAAAATTGCATAGATTCTGTCCACCGAGATAGATGGTTGCCGGCCACTGCTGTTCAATTCGTATAGGAAGAAGACTAACTCGAGGTACTGACCATTGATTTCTGGTGCTGCCGGTGATGAGCTGAAGAAGGACAAACTGGAATTTAGGTAGGGTGGCCGGTCGAGAGAGGTGTTTGGTGGCAGGGAGGCTGGTTGAGTGGGGGATGAGAGAGGGGTAATTTGGGAAAGTCAAATACATTTTCACCTTACCTAAATCTGCGTGGCGGGAAGATTAATGTATCACGTACGCACCAAAATAAGTAGAAGGAACTAAATAAATTCACTTACGGAATATGGAGTATTAAGCAATTTGGACAATCAAGTGGGCCGCCACAAATACCCCTCAAAATTGAAGCCCATGAGCTAAACATAACATTTAGAATTTTTGTGGCCCGAAAAAAAAATGCAGCAACACAATTTTTCATATGACCCCCCTGGTCTTGGACAACGGCAGAAGTCTGGTGGCGGGGAAGCAGACTGTAATTTGGTCGATTGTTTGAATAAGGCGGCGGCGGCAATTGCCTTTGGAAGATAATTACACAGTGCCGACGGTTGCTTTTTTGGATTGTTTTCAATACTCACGCACCAGCACGAGCTCTTGTTTATTTCTATAGTTTTGATGGGTATATCCTTATACCCTGTCCGAATCACCGAAAAGGACAGGTCAAAAGTTGACCGGTCACTTTCCATGATTACAAAATGAGGCAAACTCTTCGATTGAAACGAGTCGAAAATTGACTGGTCACTTTCCTCAAAAAGTGACCGGTCACATTTTGGGCGATAGCCAAAATGTCACCTAATGTTGCAAAGGATATTCCGGAAGACCAAAGAGACGGGTTGCGCTCAAGAAATGACCGGGCAACCTTTCAGAAAAGGCGATCAGTCATATCACTCTACTTGGCTAACATTGGTCAGTCTCTTAAGCATGGCGAACCACGTCAAAGATTGGGGGACCACCCCGCCGCTCATCCATCACGAGGCATACAATGAAAGAGATGTTTGTCATCTTGCAGGGTTGATTGGATTGAGAATATCCATCTTATAGTCTTTGATTGAATAGTGTCTTGGCTTGTAGCTACTAAAATCACTGATTGAATAGTGATTACATTATGTACACTGACTTTCCTTCGAGTTTCCTATTTTGTCCATAGATGAACAGGGCAAGGTCACAAATCCCCCTCTATAAATATGATGATTATGGATAGAGGAGGGGATCTAAGTTTTATCTCACTAAAAAGTACACTCTTGAGACAGAGTAAGAAATATAATTCAGACTGAGGAGATTTACTCAGTCTAGGTCATACTTTGTGTTTTTGTTGTGTGTGTTATATTACGGGTCGAGTGTGTCCAGGTCAAACCCGGTCAACCCACCCATCTATATTTACACCATCAGTTTTCATTGGGTATTTGATAAAATAAAATATTGTTGACACCTCTTATTTCGAAAAATTTTTCATGTAGTTTTTTGATATGTAAATTTTATTTTTTTATTGAAAAAATAACAGATTACAATATATAGAGATGAGAGTCACACCCATAGACCTAATGAGCTCGGGCCCATACTAAAACTATAAACCCTACTAACTATAGCTTATTAAATAATACTACCTCCGTCCCACTCTCTTTGTCCACTTTTGATTTTTGGAACTGTTCATCTAAGTACTTTGACTCATCAAATTCTCTCAATGTGTAAGCCTAAATATAGTCATGTGTGATCTTGTTTGATTTGTCTTAACATATAGATTATTAATATATAATTTCTATAAATTTTTAATATACAAATTACAAGATAAAATAGATTAAAGAAGTGCATTGAATGGTGTGTCAAAAGGTAAGTGAACAAAGAGAGTGGAACGGAGGGAGTAAATGCTAATTAACTAGTATGCTAATCATCATACGTATCATAAAAAATTTGAACATGGGGTCTCACTCTAGAGATATAATGTAAAAAAATTTATTTCTATTCTTTTTACATTGAGAAGTATGTGGTATGGGTCTATGGGAGTACTTGCGATATACTTTTGGTGTACCACAAACATTTTTATTAGGTTGTGCGGTGTGGGAGCATATTGAGCGGTCCTAAAGGGGAACACACCCCTCCACCCCTGAATGACGTTGTCCATGAAACACAACCAGAGGGGTCAAACCGCGGAAAAGGGAAACAAAGAGGCAACCAACCTAAGAAAAAGAAGCACTAACAACTGTGGACGCCTCAAGAAGAGGTTGCATTGGCGAGAGTTTGGTTAATCATTTTCGAAGACCCCTTAAAAGGTATTTTTTTAATATACCCTTTTTTAATTCTTTTTTTGAATTTCATTTAAAAATGTGACTTTCAAAAAATATAGGCAACACACAAACGAGAGATGACTTTTGATTTTTGGAACTGTTTATCTAAGCATTTTGACTCATCAAATTTTCTCAATGTGTAAGTCTAAATATAGTCATGTGTGATCTTGTTTGATTTGTCTTAACATATAGATTATTAATATATAATTTCTATAATTTTTTAATATACAAATTACAAGATAAAATGGATTAAAGAAGTGTATTGGATGATGTGTAAAAATGAAAGTAGACAAATACTCTGGAACGGAGGTAATATTCCACTTCGTTAGTTCAAAGTTTCGAGACATGAACAAAAAAGTGGAATGGTTTATCGATTCCTACCAAAAAGCTATAGACAAACTGTAATACCCCGTATCAAGATGGGAATGGGAAGAGCTCAAAAAAGGATTGATAGTACTACTCATATCAACAAGGTGCATCTTCTTTTCGAGAGCTCATCACCTAGAAACTCCAAGGTTAAGCGTGCTTGACCTGGAGCAATTTTAGGATGGGTGACCCCGTGGGAAGTTTTTCTTGGGCGCGCACGAGTGAGTGACAACTGACAAGTGGTTGACTAGTGTATTTCACTTTTAATTAAATTTTTTAATTTTTTAATGTTTAAAGAAGAGGAATTTTTGTGTTTAAAGTGATGAGATTCGCTTTAAGTTCAAGTGAATTTTGCATTGACGATTGATAAGCTTTACAATGTAATGAGATGAACTTTTATGTTATGTGATCATCGAACCGATCTGAACCGAGTCATTCAATCAGTCGACTCAGTGGCAAGTTACCGTACTAAGAAATATCAAAGGGAGTGACTGAGTCCAAGCAAGGGGAGTAATCCATTTTCTTCCCATTCCCATTTTCATTTCTCTCTGCTCAACTCGTCAAATCAGTTTTATGCGCCCATCATAAATTGTGTTCCATCTTCTTCTTCTTCAAAATAAATAAATAAATAAATAATCAGACAGAATCATGTATCCTCCTCCTCCCTGCCTGTTCTGTTTGTTCTTCATCGCCGCCATGTTTGCCGGGGTTTCTTCCCAGCCTCTCGGAAATTACTGTCCCAACAACACAATTTACGCCCCAAACAGCACTTACCGATCCAACCTCAACTCCCTCCTCTCCGCTCTGGCCTCCAACGCCACCCGTCCAACCGGATTCTACAACTCCACCGCCGGCGGCGGAGCCACCGCCGCGTACGGCCTGTTCATGTGCCGCGGCGACGTATCCGCCTCCGACTGCCGCACGTGCGTGCGCGACGCCGGCGAACAAATTCTGAAGGCGTGCCCCGTCCAAACGGGCGCCGTCATCTGGTACGACAACTGTATGTTGCGTTATTCGGACGCGGCGTCGATGTTCGGAAGGGCCGACACGTCCTACACGCTGAATCTGTACAATACTCAGAACGATTCGCAGCCGGCGAGGTTCATGGATTCGGTCGGGAACACGCTGAACGCGGTGGCGGTTGCGGCGGCGGCGGGGGACGGATCCGGCCGGAAATTCGCGACTCTGGAGGCGAATTTCTCCGCGTTTGAGAAGATCTACACTTTGGGGCAGTGCACGCCGGATCTATCGGAATTGGATTGCCGGAGCTGCCTGTCGAGCGCAATTGGCCGGCTGCCGGTGTGTTGTTACTCGGCAAAGGGTGCTAGAACCATCTACCCAAGCTGCAATATTAGGTATGAGGTAGAACCTTTCTACAGTAACAAGCGGCCGGCCTCTACACCACCGCCGTCTCCTGCTCCTCGCCGCCCTTCTCCGTCTATTCCACCGCCCCCCCTTTCTACCACCTTTGAAAGTAAGGCTCTTGACTATTAAACTAGCTACTCCATCTCTCATGAAGTGATTCAATTTAACTCTGATATATTTTTATTACAAATTAAATATAGTAAAATTTGCAATAAATAATGCTAAAACATATGTCATTTTTCAATATAGGTATTTAAAATTTATCATTCTTTAAATAGTACTTGAATAATATCTAGTGATTAGAATAATGTCTAATAATGATAACATTTAGTTTGAACAATTCTAGTGACGATGAACATTTACTTGAGCAATAACCACTGCACAATGATTAGTGAAACTACAATAGAAAAAAAAACATACGGAATATGATACTATATTGGGAAAGTCACTATGTTTTAGTATTATTTTGATAAATTCCCAAATACATAGTTTTAAATTCATAATGAAATTTTAGAGTTTCGAACATACTCCCTCCGTTCCAAAAAGTTTGTTACGTTTAGAAAAAACTGCGTCCCGTAAAGTTCGTTACATTTCTATTAAAAAACCACTTTTACCCCTTACTTTTTCATACCCTACCTATCACATCATACCTTTTTCCTAATAATCTACCCATCCCATCCTACTTTTACCTATCACATCAAGGGTATTTTTGGAAAGTCAATACCAAAATATCTCTCCCTTAATTTTCCAAAAAGTCAAACTGTCCCATTCTTTTTGGGACGGAGGGAGTATTATTTATAGTCACACACTATGGTGGATTACATAAAATCATTTTATATGTAAAACTTTATAAAATGAGAATATATCTAAAGGTCATAGAAGAATTTGTCAAAAATTTGATATACGGGTATCGAAACTAAATCCTAAAATGATTTCAATTACGGAGTACAATATTACCTTTTCACATACTTTAATATTATATCAAATCAAATAAATCTTTTCTCAAAATAACTCTCATCAATGACTAGCCTCGTATCTACGTTTTCCACACATGGGGTGGAGGCATAAAAAGTGAGGGTATTTTTATCTTTAAGGTGTTCAAATGTTACCAAAGTAGATATTATAATCTATTTTGAGACTATAAAAAGCGGGAATATTGTAATCAAAATTTACATTACAATTATTTATATCTTTTTTTATTATATGTATTTAAAGAATGTGAGTTTGACAAAAATAAATCTAACCTTCATTTTTTTTAGGCAGGTAATGTCGGTTTAGGACTTTTCAACTGTTTGACTATAGTGATTTGGGCTCCATTTTAAATTTTATTACTCTAATCTTCAAGTTTTGACTTTTTTCTTATTTTAAAAAATGTTTAAATGAGGTTGATTATGGGTAGAATTGTCCAAAATACCTTTACTAAAAAATGTTTAAACATGAAAAAAAATTAAATCCGTATGGGAAAAAAAGAGAAGGGGTTTTTGTCCAAACATACATACATATGAGAAGTGAGAAAAATAAATTCGGACAAGGAAAAAGAGAAACAAAAAGATTAAATCCGGACAAGTATTATTATATTCAAGGAAAAACACCCTTTTTAATCATACTACACTCATATGTGTTTTTATGTGAAATAGATAACTAAAATACGGAGTAGTTCTAACAATTACATAACAACAACAAGTCAACAACCTAGTTGGAGCCCACGTGATATGGGTATGGGGAACTATGTGTACGCAGGACTTATTCTTATGGTCCTACTCGAACGTAGGGACACCGTTTCCCAACAATATAATGACAAAAACCATGACTTGTTATTTTAGACATGTCACTCTACTCACTTGCTACTTTATGATTGATTTTATTTTATTAATTGACTACTTGCCATTGTGTTTGGAAATCCATGACATTGCTTAGTGGCATAAATTATACTTGAGGGTGTTTAAAAATTAACTTTACACTTCTCTATTTTCCTTTTAAAAAAATAAAGACTTGGACAATTTATTTCTTCCTTCTAAATACATTTCAACCATTTTAATGACTTTTCACCAAAATTTCTTATTTTCAAGATTGTTTTTAAAATTTCATAAAGTCAGAGTGTGAAGTTGATGTAGGGTATGTGTTATCAGGCGTGAGGGAGGCACGGCGCCGGGTTTTGCCACATCACGGGTTTTGCCCGCTTCCTTCCCCCTTTATTTTATTTTTAATATTTTAACCAATCAAAAGTTAACACCTATTTATATCTCATTATTTTCCATCACATTCACCATAACACACATTTTTTTATCACTATAATCATATATCTTTACACCCCATCAAGTCCCATCAAGCCCGCCATAACAGATGGCCTTATAGAGACAGGATGAAATGTATTACCACAAACTAACAAACTCTACCATTATCTGTCCTTTCAGCTCATAAATGGACAGTTTTAAGTGAAGTGTATGTTTGGTGTGGGTGCAGGAAAGAAGAAAAGTTCATCTTCCAAAGTGATCATTGCCATTGTAATTCCAGTGGTTGGGATAATACTCTTCATTGCACTCTTATGTTGTTGTATGAGAATTAGAAATGTCAAGAAAGGATATACTACAACAACACACCAAGCAGGTTCATTATTTACCATGTTTTACCTTTTGTTTGTTTGACTTGTCTTTTTTTTCACTTTTTGAAATTTCATGTAGATGTGTCTGGGATTTCAAGTGTGGAATCACTGCAATATGATTTTAATACAATTCAAGCCATTACAAATGATTTCGCCCCCGAAAGTAAAATTGGTGAAGGTGGATATGGCTCTGTATACAAGGTAATAACGGTTAAATGAACAAATCCAATCAAAAGCTCAAACTTATAGTTGAAGATTCCCACGAATGTTCGTTTTGGCGAGGTCAAATTGTTGGTTTTAGTCAATTGTTATGTCTTTAATTTGATCCCTAACCAATACACAGGCCAAGCTTCCCGAAGGACTAGACGTAGCTGTGAAAAGACTTTCGCGATTCTCAGGCCAAGGGGCTCAAGAATTCAAAAACGAGGTTGAAGTAGTTGCGCAGCTTCAACACAGAAATCTTGTGAGGCTGCTTGGGTTTTGCTCTGAAGGAGACGAGAAGATACTGATCTATGAATTTGTTCCCAATAAGAGCCTTGACTACTTTTTATTTGGTAGCCACTTTTACCTCATTCTTCACACAATCAAATAAGTTGCCTAGATTTTTGTCACGCACCGGTTTATTTAATTGTCTCATTCTTGTGACAAACGCATATTCAGATCCTGAGAAGCGGCGCCTATTGGATTGGCCAACGCGTTACAGGATTATAGAAGGGATAGCACGGGGGATGCAATACCTTCACGAAGACTCCCGACTCAGAATCATACACCGTGATCTCAAAGCAGGCAACGTACTACTAGATGAAAACATGAACCCAAAAATAGCAGATTTTGGCATGGCCAAAATCTTTGGAGTTGACCAAACCCAAGGAAACACAAATCGAGTTGTCGGGACATAGTAAGTACAAAATTACACTTTAACCCTTCATATCATGACCAATAATTCGGTATACACACACTAATATCTTGTGCATGTTGGCTAGTGGCTACATGTCCCCGGAGTACGCAATGCACGGGCAGTTCTCCGTGAAATCGGATGTCTATAGTTTTGGCGTTCTTGTTTTGGAGATCATAACTGGGAAAAGGAGTTCGAATTTCAGTGAATTGAGTGAAGCACAAGATCTTCTTAGCTATGTGAGTATATATTACTTGTCTGTGTGGGATTTTACTGGGTTTGTTGTTGTTGTGTTATATTGTTAACCATATATATAAATATATAAACTTCAATTATGTAGGTTTGGAAATATTGGAGGGATGAGAGACCTATAGAGATACTTGACCCTACCCTAGGAGATTCATACTCAAGAAATGAAGTGATCCAATGCATGAACATAGGGTTGTTGTGTGTTCAAGAAGAGGTGGAAGAGAGGCCTACAATGGCAAGCATTGTTCTCATGCTCAACAGTTACTCCACCACGCGGCCGGTCCCACACCAACCGGCGTTTTTCTACAGCGGTAGATCGGAGACGAAACACGGGGGGAAACTGTCGTCGGAGCAGTCCACAAGCACTTCAGTTCCAGTGTCTATAAATGAAGTCTCCATTACTGAGCTTTATCCAAGATGAAGGGTTTTGGTGGAATTCAAAGGATAGGTAGACTAGTAGATATATCTATAGAGAAACAAAGAGATTGGCAAGTGACAAAGAAGGGGTGCAAAAACACATAATATCCGGATTCAATTCCTGACAACAACAATGAACAGCACAACTGCTCTAGCATTGAGTCCCTGTAGCGCATCCGGGCAGAGCTGACTCTTTATTTTCCATAAATTTTCCACAAAAATTTAATTGCATTGTATAATATGTTGGAAAATCTTCAAGCTATACTTTGTTGTACATTTCCCATGTGTTGATAAGTAAAAGTATGCTTTTGAACCATAAAAAAAGTATGTTTTCGGATCATGGGCGGCCCGGAGGGTGTGCACCCACACAGGGCTCCTAAATTTTTGAGTCAAATTCTGTTCGATGTGTATTATTCTAATTATTTGATACGGAGTATTTTTAAATTTAATACAAATTTAAACTTTACTATTCAAATTGATATAGAAGTAGTTATAAAAAAAATTAAATTTAGCACTAATTTTAAAACACAAGTACTCTGCAAAGAAACAAAATAGGACTCAACAAGTGATTTTGGCAAAAGGCCAATCTTATTTTTTCACATTTTCGAGTCGACCATGTTTCGGTTTACGATCTTTCACTAAATTTATTTTTTTCACGTCACAGAAATATTATGTAATAAAATTTAAATAAATAAATAAATATATGTCTTTAAAAATTATATCAAAATAATGTTCTATAAAACTTGAGATGAGTTGATTAGATTATTTCCACTAATAATTAGAATAAATAACTAAAAAAAGATGTAATTTCATCTTCTTGTTTGGTGACTAGTATGCCGGGTATGATTGAAGTTTATCGTACAATTGTTAGGTTTGGGTAATGTTTTTTTTTTACGAGTCTTTTATTTTTTGAACAAGTCTGCGTACTTGCGTTTACATTTTTCTCATTGTAAATGGTCGAAGCTGAAAAGTCCAGTCTTCCATAAAAATCACATCACATTCATTAACTACGAGTGCAATAAAAATGATAATCATAATAATAATAATAATAATAACAATAATGATAAAAACAATTATAATGGTAATAATAATAAAAGTAATAATAATGTTGATGATGATGTCGATAATAATAATATTATGGAGTATAATTATAAGGCTTAGGGTTCGTTCCGTAGGACTTATTTTTTTACGAAGTACTTATTACTTATTCTTATTAAAATCAGATCAGATCAGATCAGATTTAATCATATCAGATCAGATTCAATCAGTCAGATCAGATCCAATCAGATCAGATCTAATCAGATCAGACCAGATCCAATCAGATCAGATCAGACCACATCAAATCCAAAAATATTAAATCATGAAAAAATATAAAAAATATTTATATTTTTCAAGGATTAAATAATAATTACTATTATTTGATTAAATCACATTACTTTATTTAAAGCTACACACACCTAAATCTTAATTAATATTATAATTTTAACTATTATTATTGTTATATTATTATTATGATTATTATTATTATTATTATTATTATTATATTTCAACAACAAACCATTATTTTTAATAATTGCTTAGCTTGTAGGAATGATGCATGGAAGTAATGTTAATGCTTAAAAAGTCTATTTTTAATACTTAACAAGAGTTGTTTTAAAAATACTTGTTTATAAAATAATTATACAAAACTTAGTTTTCAAAACCATTAATGTATTATACTTAAAACGACTTACTTTTAAACTTTAAGATGATATAATATATACAAGGGTGAGTTTATGACAAAATTGATTGAGCTAAAAGGAATATTAGTGTTTACGATTTTATATGATATCTAATTTATAACATTAAATATGTTATTATGTAATATGCATATAGAATATTTTTTTAAAAAGCATCTATGTTTGTAATATTTGGTTATTTTAATGCTGATCATTAGTTTTCACAAAAAATCAAAAATTAGTGATATTGAAAAGAAGTTTAATATTTTCTTATTTTAAATATATCAATGATTAGCTGATTTTCTTATTTTACTTTTTTATGTATGTATGAATTGTAATATTTTAAAACTATTAAATTTTGTTATAATTTTAAGTTTAATTTAATAAATCAAATGTAAATTCATTTACTAAGATCTAATGAGATAAAATCAGATCCAATTAAATCAGATCAGATCCAATCATATCAGATCAGACCCAATCAGAAGGAAAAAAATGAACAAAATGAATCTATTGATAGATAAAGAGACATTGGCCGTGTTTGGATAACAACATTTGGGATAGCTTTTGGCATCTTTGACTGACTTTGGCTTTTTTGACCAAACAAACCGCCGAAACCATTGTTTGGCTAATGACTTTTTTCACTTGGCATTTTGATCCGAAAAGCTAAAATCTGAAATGCCAAGGGGAGTAGCATTTGGACTTGGCGGTTAGGAAAAAATAATTTTTTTAAAATCATTTTTGTTGAAAGATATTTTTTAATATATAGACACACACACCACGATATTTATTTTTTAGTTTTTTACATGTAAAAATTAAATCTTTACTCTATGGAGCATTAAATTTTAATTTCATATATATATATATATATATATATATATATATATATATATATATATATATATATATGAAAAACTATTTTCAAACAGCTAATTTTACCAAACATTTTTAACGATCAGCCAATTCATTCTGCCAGTCAAACCAGTTAAACTAAACAGCCATTCACAACAGCTCGCACGAACTGCCAACAGCCAACCGCCAACATCCAAACAAGTTGTGAAGAAAAATATTCTTTTATATGCCTCATATATTTATTGAAGGAACAAAAATAAAAAAAGATGTGGCTGCTGGGATTCGAGCCCAGGTCTCCACGGCCACAACGTGGAATTCTTACCACTAAACTACAGCCACTTTGTTGCTAACAATTGGCTATTTGTGTTACATATATACGTAATAAGTGCATACTTGCATACATACACCATTTTAAAAAATGTGGCTGCTGGGATTCGAGCCCAGGTCTCCACGGCCACAACGTGGAATTCTTACCACTAAACTACAGCCACTTTGCTTACAACTTTCTATATTTATTTTTTAAAACAATAGAAAACATTTGTTTACAATAAACCTTTCATTCATCAAGAAAAATTGACTCCATATACATGAAAGTTTAAACTTTACTAATAATAATAACAACAACAGCAAAATTAGTAATAGTAATAATAATAATCTTAATAATAATGATAATAATCTTAATAGTTGATGGTGTAAATTACCACACAAATACAAAGTAAAAGTAGTCGGAAGGGCTGTAGGTGGAAACACCTATAACCCGGTTTGTAATTGATAATGCTAGGACTATTACAAAGTACAAGCCGTGTAGGTTCATTAAAACATACCTCACAAATGAGGATTTTAGGGGTATTTATAACATAATTAAGCACGTCAAGCACGTCCCTCGTTATTCAACCGGTCCGCCGCTGACCGGTCTCATAAGAGCACTTGGAGAACGTTTCTATCGTTGTAAGCATCGAAGCCAACCAACCAACCGGTCTCACGACCTGGTCTGGGAAGGATGCGCTCCGTCACTTCAATCACCACCCAGTCGGACGGACCAACCGGGTGGTATCCATGGGTTATTACCCATCAAGAGTCCTCCGATTCCCGGTCCTGTGGGGACCATCAGGGGCGGGAAGCATATGCGATCATCTCCTGAAATTTGAACTGCCCAGTCACCTTTTGGCGGGAAAATCACCTCGGAAAAACCAGCGCCCACCCGAAATATTTAAAATTTGAAATTTGAATTTTGAAATTTCAAAAACCGGGCGTCCAAGGCGGGAGGATCTTCTCGAAATCGGGTACAGAGCCGCCGATTTAAGGTGCCGTTTCGTCTCCCCGAGAGGTTATGATGACGAATCATTTCAGCTGCCACGTGTCATTCCTTCATTCGCCCGTCTGGGCGGCATCTCCCCTATATAAAGCGTCGTTCTCCTTGGAATTTCCTCACTTGCAAATCTTCGATTCAAAAAACTGCCCGGCTTCTCCTGCTATTTCCGAGTCTTCTAATCGTTTCCAAGTAAGTCTCTCCTTCCCTTTCTGAGTCATGTCAGACCGTGAGGATAGCCAGAACCCGTCCGTTCACTCCTATGGTTCTGGTGGCTGGTCTCCAACACCTAGTTCCTCTTCTTCTTCATCCTCTGATTCCGAGCGCCCGGCTACTTCTCCACAGAAGAAGCCGGTTGATGCTTCCGCTTGCGCTCCTTCTTCTTTCGCGGCGCAAGTGGTCTCGGTTGCCCAGACCGGGGATGAGGGCTTCATCCAGCTAGACGACCGGTTGCTCCAAGAGCTACCGTCGTATATGCAGAAGCCCCAAGTCCACGAGCTGCGCAATCTGATGCCTGATGGGTATCAATTGACATACCGGGCGACATGGAAGAGCATCATACCTCTTCACACCGGTACGTCGATTGGTATCCATTACCACTCGATCAAGGACTTGGGGTGAATTCTCTATTCACCCATTCAAAGTCCTTTTCCTTGAAACCTACGGGATCATGCCCGGGCAATTGGCCCCAAATGGTCATCGTCTGTTGAGCAGCTTCATCAACGTCTGCCGGTTTCTCCGTATTCCCCTCTCTCTTCGTCTCTTTGATCACATGTTCGATGTCCGGCCCGGGTCCAAGGAAACCCTTGGATTCGTGGTGGTGTCCTCCCACCAAGGCCGGGCATTCCTCTGTGGCCTTCCACCTTCTAACAAGAAGTGGAAGGACAAATACGTGTCCATCAAATTCCCCCCGGCCTCTTTTCCTTTCGCCCAAAATGTCTGGGGGAAGAGGATGAGGCGTCAGGTCAAACCTGCGGAGGCTGATGACCTAGCTACTTGGGAAGCCACTCTCCGGGCCGGGGACGCCTCCACCCGCAGTCAGTACCACGTCGGGAAGTGGGGCGTCTACCCCGGCCGGGAGACCGACCCCGAGCCAGAGATTGTTCTGCCCGGGACCATCCCCGAAGCCATCCCCATCAGTCGGGCGATGAGATCCAAAGCCAAGGCCACAGTCGTCGCCGGTCCTTCACGCCCGGCGAAGAAGAAGAAGGAGAAAGGTCAATCAACCGCCCTTTTCTATTTTTTCTTTTTATATTCGCAACTCCTTTCTTCTAACCGGTTTCTTTTTTGCTTCAGTGGTCAAATTTCAGTCCAAGTTTCCCATCCCATAAATAGTGGTTGAGGAGCCCTCCACCGCTCAGCCACTCAACCCTCCATCCGGCCAGCCCTTCTTCCTAGAGGAGCAACCTACCCAATCCCATCAGGGAACCAACCAGCCCCTTCACTCGGGGGATCTCTACCTCAATGTAGAGACCTTCGAGTTTGACACCCTGATGGGGGAGAATGGGCATACCTCTCAAGCCGGCCAGGCGGGTCAACCCAACGTGGACGGCGAAGGCGAAGAAGAGGCTGCTGAAGAGTCCCTTCAGCGGAAGAGGCGGAGGACTGAAGAGGTCAACCAGCCGGCTCACCAAGGACCCATAGTGCCCCGGTCTCCACTTCTGATGAGCCGGTCGAACGAGGAGCTTTTCCAAGCTTTTCGTGCCGACCTGTCTGAGGTAACCCCCCTTTCCTTATCGTTTTTGTTTTGTTTTTTTTGTTGTCTGAAAAACTTTCCATGTCTTTAAAGCAGGTCGGCCGGATCGGGGAGGAGTACTTCGCCCGGCTGGTGAAGTCGGCGGATGAGGAGAAGGCCCGGATGGAGGCCATGATGGTCCAATGCCGGAAGGATGCTCAGGCCGCCCGTGAATACGCGGAGAAAACGGAGGCGAAGTGGCTGGAGCACTGCACGGTCTACCGTCAGCTCTACGCCAAAAACGACGGCCTTCTCAAGGCCGCAAAAGAGGCCGATGAGCAGGCCGAGGTCAAGATCCAACAGCTGGAGGCCGACAATGCCCGGTCAGCTGAGGAGATTGCCCGTCTGAGCGATGAGCTGGAGAGAGAGCAATCGGAGCGGGCTGCCGTTGCCGCTGCCTGGGCTGCCCAAGCGCCTGAGGAGTTCGCTGCTAAGGCACTTCCTGACCGGGAGACAGCAATCTGCTTCTTCCAAGGTCTGTATAAGCACCCAATTTCGGCCGGCATTGTGGACGAGATTGGGACTTATGGCTACGAAAGTGGCCAGTGCTCTGAGCGAAAGGCCCTCTACGGCATCCTTGAGCAGCGGATTCAAGGCTTTCGGCCGAAGGCTCTATCTCTGCCCGAGCTGCATAGCGAGGCACCTGAACCTCCCTTCCCGGGCATCTGATCCATCCGACCTTCTTTTTTTTTTATGTTTTGATGTAATGATATGCCTCCGGGCACTTGTGTAACACTGAAATATTAATGAAAAAATTTCTACATCATGTGTTGAGTACTTTATTTTTTTTCTGTCTCATTAATAATTTTTTTTTTTTAACTCGGATTCTTCAACCGTTTAGATTAGTAGATAACAGCCCGACTGTAACTACCCGGCTTAGGATACAATTCTATCCAAGTCTTTTCGAAAGACTGTATAGTCAGCCGGGAAGGCTCTAAGTTTTATTAATTTCCTCCCGGTTTGGTCTTTACCTTCCATGGCGTACTGACTTATCCTTTGCGAAAGGATAAGCACTTGCCCGGGTTCTAACAAGGCCGACCTGTTTACACAATGGCTTAACGCCTCGTGTAGATAGGCAACCCTTAAATTTTTCTTCCAAACATCTGGCTTAAACTGGCCGGGATGCTCTCCCACTAGAAAAGCCAAATTGTTTTTTAACTCCCGTGTCAATACGGATGAGGTCTTAGACCGGTCAGACCGGTTCTTCTTTTTTTTTTTTTGCTCGATGTCCAATTCGATTGGACACCTAACCGGGTAGATCGGAACATAATATATATACGAGAACAATCCTTCTGAAAAGAACGGACTTTTATTAATGGCTGGGAACTCATTACACTTTATCTATAAAATTTGCGTAAGTGGTGAGAGTTCCAATGTCGCTCGACCCGGCCGCCTTCCATTGTCTCCAACTGGTAAGTGCCCGGTCTGACAATCGCTTTTATGCGATAGGGCCCTTCCCAGTTTCGCACCAGCTTGCCCTTCTCATTAGGCTTACTGGCATCCCTTCTGCGCAAGACTTCGTCATGTACTTGGAAGTACCGCGGCCCAACCCGGTTGTCATGATACCGCTTTACCGACTGCTGGTAACCGGTCATCTTGACAGCTGCTATGGTCCTTCGTTCCTCCACCAGATTTAGCTCAGCTAGGTGTTCAGTCTCATTCAGACCGGGCTGATAGACGGTTTCTCTGAATGTTGGAATTTCTGCCTCCACTGGTAACCGGGCTTCACACCCGTAGGTTAGCACGAAAGGAGTCTCTCCAGTTGCTCTTCTTGAAGTCACTCTGTGTGCCCAGACCGTGTGAGGCAAGGCTTCCAACCACTTGTGTCCTTCCTCACCTAACCTCTTTTTTAGACCGTCGAGAATTGTCCGGTTAGCGTTTTCCACTTGGCCATTTCCCTGTGGGTATGCGACCGAGGCCTTGCTGTGCTTGACCCCAAAGCTAGCAAGGTACGCAGTGAACCGGGGATTACGAAATTGTGGGCCATTGTCGGTGACAATGATTTTTGGGGAACCAAACCGGGTAATGATGTTCTTCCAAACAAATTTCTCACATTGCCGTACGGTTATGGTGGCCATCGCCTCAGCCTCAATCCATTTGGTGAAGTAATCAATAGCCACCATCACAAATTTCTTTCCGCCTTGGGCAACCGGGAAGGCTCCAATAATGTCAATCCCCCATCGGGCAAAGGGTATAACATTAGAGGTTGGTTGGTAGTAAGTGGCCGGTCTGCCGGGATGTTTGTAAAAAACCTGGCACGTCCTACATTTCTGGACATACCTCTCACAATCCCCAACAATGGTCGGCCAGTAGTAGCCTAGTAGGATTATCCTTTGAGCCAAAGTGCGGGACATTTGATGGGCTGCACAAACTCCCTCATGTACCTCGGCAATTACCCGCTCAGCCTCTGGGTTGGTAAGGCAACGCAAGAGTGGTCCGCCAATTGCTCGTTTGTATAAGTGGCCGTCGATCACCTGGAAACGTGGAGCCCGTAGGACTACGTTCCTGGCTCGTTCCTCGTCATCAGGCTTCTGACCGGTCTCCAAATACTCCATGAGCTCGTACCTCCAATCATCATCTGCCTCGATTATCCCGGATGATGAAGTCTTGCCTGGTTGGATGGCCGCAACCTCGAACCGGTCTGTACTCGACACGTCTAGTATCTCAATTTTTGCCAATTTCGAGACATGCTCCGGGCAAGCTTGCGTTAATTTCGAAAGCATGTCTGCATCAGCGTTTTCCGACCGGGGTATTCTAGTCAGACGAAACTCTTCTAATTCCCTTAGAAGCGCTCGGACCAAATCACTATACCGGGCCAGGCGATCCTCTTTTACTTCCATCTCCCCATTGACCTGTCCGACCACTAGACTTGAGTCGGAACGGATCTTCATCCTTTTTATTCCAAGCGCCCGGGCTATTCTGAGACCACCGGCCAAAGCTTCATACTCCGCCTCATTATTGGTGAGTTTGAAGTTGAAGACCAAGGCATGGTAGATCTTGAACCCTTCCGGGGTAGTGAAGACTACACCGGCCCCGAGGTGATTTTCCCGCCAAAAGGGTGGGCGCTTTCGGGTGGGCGCTGGTTTTCCGAGGTGATTTTCCCGCCAAAAGGTGACTGGGCAGTTCAAATTTCAGGAGATGATCGCATATGCTTCCCGCCCCTGATGGTCCCCACAGGACCGGGAATCGGAGGACTCCTTGATGGGTAATAACCCATGGATACCACCCGGTTGGTCCGTCCGACTGGGTGGTGATCGAAGTGACGGAGCGCATCCTTCCCAGACCGGGTCGTGAGACCGGTTGGTTGGTTGGCTTCGATGCTTACGACGATAGAAACGTTCTCCAAGTGCTCTTATGAGACCGGTCAGCGGCGGACCGGTTGAATAACCAGGGACGTGCTTGACGTGCTTAATTATGTTATAAATACCCCTAAAATCCTCATTTGTGAGGTATGTTTTAATGAACCTACACGGCTTGTACTTTGTAATAGTCCTAGCATTATCAATTACAAACCGGGTTACAGGTGTTTCCACCTACAGCCCTTCCGACTACTTTTACTTTGTATTTGTGTGGTAATTTACACCATCAATAGTAATAATAATTGACCTAAAACTTTGAAGTACAACTGTATTAAAGTAACTTTTTCAAGTGATAGATTACGAGCTTAATCTCAATCAAGGCGATAACTCTAAATGCTTAAATAAATTGAGATAAGAGGTATGAATAGAAACTACAATTATATATTCGTGCACAAAAAAAAACAATAATGGTATGAGCCACAATTTTTTTACACAGAGTTGTTATCCAATTGAACAACACTATTTTAGTTTTTGTTTTCTTGGCATAAAGTTTATATTTTTCGAGTAAATTCTATAATTGGTCCTTTATAACAGGGGGGTTTCCCTATTTAATCCTCTATTATCAAATACGGAGTATTACTCAAGTGGTCCTTCTTTTATGGGTATCTTTCCACAAATAGTCCTTTTTTTGATCTTCTATCATGTTGGTGTTAATTTGAGGGCTAAAAGTGTAATTTCACAATGATAATATATCTTTTTTATCATACACAATTCCAAAGGCTGTTCCGTTTGCGTCGTTTGTGAATTACAGTCGCCTTTTACGATAACTATAGTTTACAAATATGATCTTTCGTCAGAATCCTAGCCCACAATCATAGTCAAAATTTTTGTGTTATCCGCTTAACAAATATTAGAACACGTCGCTAGACATAATGTTGACCTCAAATTATACTTTTAGCTTTTAAATTAACACCAATACGGCAGAAGATCAAAAAAAGGACCATTTGTGGAAAGGTACCTTTAAAAAAAGGACTACGAGGATAATATTTGATAATAGAGGATTAAATATGGAAACCTCCTTGTTATAAAGGACTAATTATGGAATTTACTGATATTTTTCTATTGTATTTATTTAAAAAAAGGTATGATGCTTCTCTTTCTTTTTTGGTAAAAAATACAGGACTCAATAATATTTTTCTATCCTAAACCGAATTAAAAAACTCGTTTTTTCACTTTTCAGCTTTTTAAAAAACTATGAAGTCATAATGTGAAATGTCTAACAATATAGTGGCCAACCAATCGACTACCTATCCGCCCTAAAATTAATTTTTCATTTGACTTTTAACGGTCTTTAATGCAACACTTTGATCATTAATATTTTTATTTGTATAATTATATATTAATAAAATAAAATATTTCAAAACTATGTTTCACAATTAATCCATTGATATTAAATTTATATAAAATTCAATGTATTTTTTCTGTAATATGCGGTCAAGTTTAAAAACTATGACAAAAATACAAGTTGCGAAATTAATTTTAGGACGGATAGAGTACTAAAATTCTCGTGCAAGGACTCACAAAATTTTAAATGAGTACCATTAGGGGTAAGCATGGTACATTATTTAGCTCGTATCGATACTGCACCAAATATTTGAATTCGGTATGAGACGTTACGTCATACTGATCCCGAATCTGAAATATCAATTTGGCATGGTTCGCTATTCATATCGATTTTAGTACAAATCCAAATGGTTGAAAGGTACAGAGTACATATCAGGGGAGTAGGACGTAAATTCGACTTTTGACAATGACAATAAAAAATAATCATGCTCTAAATGTGATTTTTGTACCTGTCAAAAATAGGCTTAATTTCCTATTGATCAGATTGAGATTATGACTAAACTTATCTCATTCCAGTCAAGTCTCCATATCTTTACTAGAGAGACCCTAGAGATTAGGGTTCAACCTTTTTTTTTGGTAAATAAATAGAAACTTGAAATAAAACTTAAAACACCTCTAAATTAAAATTTCGACGAAGTGTATGGATTAATAAATTAATAATAAATTAAGAATAAATTAAAAATAAATCAAAAACTATTTTCAAACACACTCCCAAACACCCTTTAGTAGCGTTTTAGTTTTAAAAACTTAAGCATATAATTAATTTATTTACTTTGATTTACATATAATTTATTGCTAATAAAATGTTGAGGTGCAAAAAGGAACAATTATAATTTGTTCAAAAAAGAGAAATATTTTACACTATCTAATTAATTGAGAAGAGAACCGGATTGTACAATACTTTTTGCCACAAAGCCACATACAAATACAGAAAATGTGTTCTATTGTAACTTGCAAAACAATAATTTATGAGTAAAAAAACTATTCATAAGACTTCTCAATAGGCATGTACAATAACATTGGAGACCAAAGTACAGTCAATTAATTAAATTCCACAACATTACTTTATTTCATAATTCCCATCACCCACAAAGTGATAGTCTAAAGCATAAATAAAAAGATTACTAGCAGATGATAAAGTCTCCCAAACTATGGGTAGTCAGTGCCCGTATCAGGTTCGGGAACCGTTGGAATCACTCTTTCTCTATAAGTCATTTACGTTCGAGAAAGAGAGATATATATAGAGAGAGAAGTGTGTGTGTGTGCCCGCGCGCACAAACAATGCTTCTTGATTGCTTCGGCTTCTCTAGCCGGTCATTTCCTTAACTTAAGGACTTCTGTAAACTACTTACCACTAAAATTTAAGCCATCGGGGAGCGGAGAGAGTGATCTTCTGATGGTACAAATTGCCACATGGGAATCATCCCAGCAGGATAGCCAGCAAAAGGGATCATCTTACTGCCAAGAACAGATGCAGGATGATGAGGAGCTAAGAAGCCTGCAGGTTGAGAGCTTATGGCTTTTAGCTGCAACTCAAGTTTCTCTTTCTCTGCCTTTAGCTTTTGCTTCTCTTCTCTGAGTTCGTTTTTCTCGGCCTGGGAAAAAAAAGAGCAAGGGCAATTTTTTTCTTCTTTGAGAATTTTGTTACTACCCACACACACACATAGAATAAATATGCATGCCTCACTATAAGACCATTCAAGGGCAGATGCTATTTATAAAAGAGGGAATAACTAAATATGCGGCAGAATTGACTAGGTAAGATTGTTAGGTTGTAGAGTATGATGTAATATTTGATGTACTGTTAAACATTTTTCATTTGCAAGGTTCAATGTATGTACACTCAAATAATTTAAGATTGTAACATGTATTATTCTTCGCGCAGCTATTTTTTAGAGTGTATTTTGTGTAACTATACATGCTGTGAGATCATCAATATATGGCCTTCTACCACCGTAGACTTTACTCGCTGGGCATTGCTACGAAAATCTGGAGAGCTGTTGTTTGTAGGAAGAAGAACAACCACTGGACATTTCTTCTGTGTAGTTTTTTTACTGTGGTGTTTTTAGCCCTAGCTCCCTTAAAATACTAATCTACACTTTTTACTTGAACCTTTAAAAATGCTTAGTACTTTAAGGGAGCTAGGGCAAAAATACTATGCAGTAAAAAAACTACATAGACAAGCCACTTTTAAGTTTGCAAATCATGTAAATATTTTAAGGAGATAATAAACTCAGAGAGACTAAAAAAAGGTGTAAGTTACATAGCTAAATTGCAAAAAACAAACTCCCCCTGTCCTGATATAAACTCCGTTGTGAATAAGTTTAGAGTCACATAAATCAAGAAATGGTGTTTGAGGAGGGTGTGTGTACTTCGGAACAAATGAGTATTATGACAAGTCAACAACCCAGAGAAATCCCGTGATGGGGTGTGACTTGTGAGGAGGGTGGGTGTATACATGCCTTAACCCTACCTAAAAGTTAAAGAGGCTGTTTCCAATAGACCCTTTGCAAAAAAACAAAAAAAGAAAAAAGACTGCTCCAGTATTACACTAATGTAAACTAGAAAAGAGAAACACTTATTGGGATAGAAAGTAATTTATTGTATGTCTTTTTCTGAAAGAGTTTGAATAAAAGACTTCACCTTTAATTCATTGACCTTCTCTTGTAAATCCTGAAACGAAACTTTCAGCTTCTTAGCTTCATCCCTCAGCTGATTTACCACTTTAACAGCATCACTCAGTATAGCTGACTTATCCATTTTTGGTGGCTTGCCGGGGTCAATGACAGAACTTAATTCTTGGAATCTTGTGATATATAAAAACACATCCACGTAACATATCCATATAAAAACAGAAGAAACACCCACAGCAATGTGCTTCATTAAAAAGTATGATCATACAAGGTGAGATGAGTACCGGTCATTCAGCCTATCCCTTCGCATTTTCTCTCTATGTGCTTTGGACTCAGTTGTGTTGCACGCCTCTGATCTTACCCTGTAATATATGAAAGCTTGAAGAGAGGTGAGATCGAAAAATAAATACATATACAAGATAACAAGGAAAGAGGAGAAGATAAAGGCAAGATATCATTAAGTACATTTTTGAGAATTCAACAACGGCATAAAGATGGACAATATACTAATGATGCACAAGCCAAAAACTCCACTATGTGTGTGTGTGTGTGTATGCTCACCTCTTTTTGGAGTTGCATTGCTTTACAATATTAGAATTTTCGTCTGACAAATCTTGTCCATTGCTGCAACATAGCAAACCAACAACCATTATATTCCAAACTGCAATGAACATTTATTATAGAAGGGTACATGTTACAAATTTCAATTGAAATTCATAGGAGAGTACTTCCAGGGAAAGGGTAACTCTATTGCCTAACAAACGCTCTTTTAAGTCAATGCCTTAATGGCTTTCCTTGACAAGAAAAACAAAAGTAGATCTTTGATAGAACTAAAAACTTAAAAAACAAAAGCAGCCTGGGACTCGAGTTGGAACACCTGAATAAGGCACTTCAAAAGAAAGTCATCAGACTACTTGACTTATTTGTCCATGAGTTCATCACACAAAAATTGAATCGGAATGTCCTACGTAAGATATGGTGGCATTCATCATCTGCGCAATTCTCTTTCTTTCTTTTTTTTTTTTGCAGAATCCCATTAAAAGGAGATAAATGGAGAATTATGGCATACTATTTTGGCTTTATTCAGGTTTGACAGTATCATGAAGTATGGATTATGGAATCAGTCCTTGTGATTTAGATATCATGGTCGAAAAAAATAATTTAATCATTACGACACTCATTGGATATAACCAGATATGACCAAATAAGCAAAAAACAAAAGAAGAAACTGATCAAGTAAAACAGAATTTATCTCTTTGTTTAGCAATGTAAATCAACTTTAGATACCATCAATAAGAACTCATTACAGTAAAAGCTCAACCAAACCGAATAAACAAACGGACTTCCAAATTGAAAGGTATTGCAAAAATATGAGATTTCAACCCAAAATTCTTTTCAAAATCCCCTCAAGTGCAACTTAATTTTTGAGTGATATTTGTTCCTTCTTTACTGAAGTTGTCACTTGCTCAAATAGAGCTTGACTTAATTTTTGAGTGATATTTGTGAAAATATGATATTCCAACACAAAACCAATTGGCAATCAGATGATTAACTCATATTGTTATATATCAATCTATTTTAAGGTTTTCGATGCCGGGCTAAATATTAGAAAAATAAGAATCCAATTAAAGATTCACGATTTAAAATTAAAAAAAAACGAGTTGTTTAATACTCCCAAAGATTTGGTTAGCTACATCTGATAATTCGATTAGGTTATCCTAAAATTCTAAGAGCGAATTCCAATGGGACTCTAGAAGGATTACTGAAATTGCGAAGGAAATTAATGACGGGGGGTCGGAGGTAGTACCTGAGGGAAGTTGGAACGGAAAACGCATTGGTAGGCCATTGAAACGCCGGTTCAATCGGAGGAAAGATGTCGCCGCCGCTGCCGGTGCCGCCGCCCGGAAGAGAAATTCCTTCCAATTCCAGATCGACGAGCCAGTTGAAGTTGCTCTCTTCCGGAGCCGCCATTGTAGTCGGCGACGGTGGGTCGATTACAGCGGAGATTTTCGGGAGAGCGATTATTTTTTATTTCATGGGAGAAAAATTATGTAAAGGAAGACGAAGGCAATTATATGGAGAGAATATATCCATCCGAGAGGACGTTTAAAATTAAAGAAGGGTGAAAGAAGAAAGATGCGGCGTCGTATGATGAGAAGGCTGACGCGTAGACGCCACCCACTCCCTCCCCTTAAAAAGAATGAAAATAAATATTCTCCTAAATTTCATCATTGGTCCTTCGAATTATTGTGTATTACAGAGTATATATTAATTTTTTAACTTTGAAAATTCTACGAATAGTCTTTCAAGTCATGTTAGTATTACATGGTTAGCCTTTCAAGTTTAAAAATTTCACGGATAGCCCTTCAAGTCACGTTAGTGTTGTGTGATAGCCCTTCAAGTCACGTTAGTGTTGTGTGGTTGATACTTTTATTAATTTTTTTGTTACTCTATGTATTTTTCCATTTTTCAGTATAAATACACGTGAGGAGCTGTTTCTTTTTTATAAAATTGAGTCATACTTTTTCGTTGATTTATTTTAATTAAAATATTGGTAAGAAAAGTCAACATTGTTGATTGTAAAAAGTCAAAATTTGATAAAAAAAAACTTTCAGTCGGAGTATAAATTTTTTAATAAAATACAACTAAACAAAGCAAAAGTAATTTATTTTATTTAAAAAATCAGAGTAGTTAAAGTAATTTATTTTATTTGAAAGGAAAAATATATAGAAAATGTATGGTAAAATTAATGGAAGGACCAACCATACAATGTTAACGTGACCTGAAGGACTATTTGTAAAACTTTTAATGTTGAAGGACCAACCATATATAACATGACTTGAAGAGTTATCATGAAATTTTCAAGGTTGAAAGACTAATTGTACATGACGCAATAACTTGAAGGATCAGCGATGGAATTTAGCCTAAATACTCCAATGTTTAGTTCTCATACCAGTATGCTCACAAATCATTAGACAACTAATCTTGCCTCCTCTCAAATTTCTTTTTTGTGTGAAGTTTGAATAAAAAAGTTTTGTTATCCATTTTTTAATTAAAAATTGTTATTCTTATACTCCCTTCGTCCATTGATCTTTTTCTCACGTTTCTTTTAAAAAAAAATTCATTCTCGTTTCTTATTTGACAACAAAATTTTAACAAATGTTCTATTATGTCCTCAATTTTTATTTACACTATTTACTTTATTTCATCATATTTAGGACAAACCATAAAAACTCTTTACATTTATTAACTTTTCTTAATTTTTGTGGTAAATCAAAATGAAAAAAAAAGTTTTTGGATAAAGGGAGTAATTTTTCATTTTTTTTGCATTAATTTCAATCACACTATTTTATTTCTTTGAAAACCTATCAAATAAGAAATGAAACATTTGTTTAGAGTAAATGGATGGTGGATATGTCTAAGGTCATGTTTTTATTACGGTCAATTTGTTTGATAAAATAAAATATTTTTGTCACCTCTTATTTTGTAATTTGTAATGAGTAAAACTTTTTGTGTATAGATTACTTACAAAAAAGACTAAAATAAAAATGAAACACTGAAAATATAACAAGAGTTTCATCTTTTTATTTCGAATTGAACCTAGTGACCCACCGGCCTTAGTCTATAATTACCGTTCCCGGGCTGCCACGTCTGTCCGCGGCGATTCCCGGCGGAGTGTTCGATCAAACAATTCCACCATTTTTACAATCATTCATTTGTAAGTGGCAACAAATTTTCAGTCGAAAGTTAACCAGATCAGTTCCTAACATGTGATAATCTTCATTTTATTTTATTAATTTTTTTTTCTGGCAAATCAAAATGGAAATCTGAACCATAGTTATTCTATTTCATTTGCTTATTCTGTTGGGTCCTATGTGAAACCCTCTAGTATTTGAATGCAGTCTAACTGTTCGATAGAATTCCTGAACCAATCCTCTTTCTACTTGTTCAGTTTCTTCAACTTCTTGATATGGGCTCCAATTTGATCTAATATTACAATGGGAAGTGTGTTATATCTATCTCTGAACCATTGTAAATCAATGGGATCTCGTTATTTTTATGGTTCATAGTTTATTTCATAATCTTCTCTAAATTTACTAGTTCTCGCCCATTCTTTGAATGCAAAAGTGTTCATTTTTGTCACGTATTTGAGAAAATAATATAGCATTGTTGTAGAACTTTTGATTTAGTTTTTAAATATATAAATTTTATATTTTAGTTCTATACTAATTTTTGAAGATCATATGAACTTTCAGTTTTCAAGATGGACTTTTTGTTTGTTTGGTTTGGTTTATGGTTTTGTATAGCATTCAGTTTTCAATTGTTATGTTCTGTAGGGGTATTTTCTTCTGAAAAAAAGATGCATCCTCCCCTAACATTACATCGGCACCCAATGTGTGCAGAGGTATGTTCTTCGTAAACACACTCTTCACCGATCGCCGGTGTCATATGTTGGTGTATAACAACTGTGGGAAACAATCTTTCACAGCTGAAATGTGAATTTTACATTACCAGATAATTGAGCAGTTCCAAAAATGTCATCTGGACCATCCTATTGGGAAATTCTTTGGCCAATGCACCGACCTCAAGATCAAGCTCGACCGCTGCTTCAGGCAGGAAGTAAATTTTTTTGCTCTATTTTTTCAATTCTTTAAACATTTGTTTAGCGACTCCCGAGGAGAAAAGCCAAAAAAAATATTTCGAATTCTTTTTTTCGTTTTTGCAGAAAAGTGTGAAGCGGAAGGCAAACTTCGAGGAGAGCAAGAAGTTGAAGGAGCGCCTGCGGGCGTACAAGAAGGAAATTGATGAGGTGAGTAGCCACGAAAGCTCATTCGGGCAAGCTTAAAATCATATTTGAATGCCCATTTGAGCTCCACATATATGCTGATTCTTGTTATATTTATTCATGAGTTAACTAGTGAAATGTGCTGAAACTCAAATGAGTTTTTTTTTTCAATTGCTGGACTTTGCACAAGTTTTGTATTGGAAAGATTTCTTAATAGTACATGGTTTGTCATATATGTAATGGTCTATGGTCATAAGCAACTGTTTTCCACTTTTCCATGTTTCCATGTTAATATGTTATGAATAAAGTTAAGTGTTACTAATTCAATAATCTCCTAGACCGACAATAATCCTTCCAAACTAGTAAGTTCAACCTACTACTCCCAATTAATTTCAAACCGTTCTTATTGTTGGTCATTACTCTTCCCATTGTGGTTGATTTGTGTGGCACGAGAAAGTATTTACAATTGAATGAAAAATTGGAAACGAATATGGATGCATCCGATATCTGACTGATATCCGATTGATGCCGATACGATTTTGATTTTTACCGTTTGTCATGACCCGTATTTGAAAAAAAAATAAAGAGGAACGGATTTGGTACCAGTACATCCGATCCGAATCATCCGACTAACATCCGTTAGGATGAATCAACATATATATACTTGCACGGGGGGATAAACCATGATTGCAAGCAAGCAAGCAAACTTTTCAATTCCATTCTTCTTTGGAAGAAATTAAACTATACTCCGTACAATGCATATATGGTTACCACTAGCCTTGGTTTTTTGAAGAAATCCATCAGAGGAGAAAAGGAAACTAAACATTTCAAGGAAGAATCTTTCAAAATTTCACATAATAATAAGAAGAAAAGGACTAATCAGACAATGAAACATAACCTGAAAATCTTTTGAGAAAAAAGAAGAAAGGCAATTAAACATTAATATATATATATATATTTCAGAGAGAATTGAAGGGCAGGGCAATGGGTATTGTTGCTGCTGCTGGTGCCAAGGTTTCAGAGTACAAGAAGGGCATTCTCGTCTTTTTCTTGACATCAACAGTGCTTGTTTCTACCATAGTTAATGTGGCCCCCCGATTTGCAGACATGTTTGCTTACTTCTGGCCTCTTTTCATGTCGACAACGTTGTTCATGGGAGCCATAATCGCATTCACGCACGTGCCGCCTTTAGTTGTCGACTACGGAGACAAGAGAGATGGCGAGTGGCTGTTGGAATACCTTACTGGCCTCCCACAACAACATTAAAGGATAAAGGTAGGGTAACCCAACATTTTGGTACTGTAGTGACAGCTATTGTGTATACGTGTCTGTGTAAAGCATGAAATTATGGTAACCCTAAAATGGTGAGATAATTTACCCTAACACGACTCGACTTTGAACAATATTGTATAATGCTTCTTGTATTTGAATAGTCACCCATGTTCATGTGACATTGTACTATATTCTATTTGAAAAATGGATTATTCTTATCCCCTAACCAACTTCTTAAAACCATGTTCTCACCCCCTCTCCCTTCCTCGATTAGCTACACAATTAATCATTGTAGCCAATCTTCAAATGAAGGCGGCAGAAAGTTAGGGTAGGAACTACAAGTATATATTTTTAAATAAAGTAGCTCTGAGTTATCATATGACAATAGTTAGTGACCAATGTGACATGATTGGCCATGAGTATCTCATAGTAATAAAGATATGAGTTAAATAGCAATTCCAAAAGACAAATAGGGACTAACAAAAATCTCATCTTCACAACCCGTTGGACGAAAAGAGTACCACCAAAGTAATTTACTTTAAATTCTAAAACATCCCAAGTGTTATTTCTGAGAATATGGGATCCCAAAGCTCTAACCACAAAATAAAAAATACCCAAAACTAATTTTTTATTTTCGAAGCCAACCAGACCAGATTTCAGAAAGAAAAAATCCAAATTGAATTCATTATTGAGTTTAAAAAATCGTAATGCATTTTCTTAAGCTTTTTTAATAAAAAATTATGTATTGTTATTACATTGCAGTCCAACTGTGAAAGGGAGCATATTCTTGGGATTCTAGTTAAACGCAAAACGGGATTGTTCTTTAGCAAAAGGTGATTGTATTCCTACAAACACAAACCTCTTTTGGAAACAAGAGCTCATCAAGCTATCTAGCCATTGAGAAAGAAACAGTGTTGTAAAGGCAACAAATGCAGAAGTAATGCCAAGAAAAGAAGCAATTAGTAACGTACACTTGAGACCAACAAACTCAAAACATAGATAATAGATTCGAATTGCTCTTCCATTGCAACTTAAAAGAGAGAAGTTCCCTTTCCTTTCTTATCCCCACCAATCTCGAAATGCTTGCACCTCTGCACAATAACCAGAGAAAACTTTAGTCAGCTTCAAAAATGCACCATTTACCTGTCATCCAATAACAATAAACATAGTAGTTCAAGCCAAACAACCTTGATTGCATGTTGGGAAACATGCTTGCATCCCTGACATTGGAGTCTCAGCACAATCTTCTTAGTAGTTTTGGCCTGGATTGAAGAACGGTATAACATACACATAAGTACTTTCACACAGTGTCAGCTTTGAATCAATCAATACCTATGAACTTTTAAACAGTGAGTACACTACAAGCAGACCTTTTTGTGGAAGACCGGCTTGGTCTGTCCACCATAACCTGATTGTTTGCGGTCATAACGACGTTTTCCTTGTGCAGCAAGGCTGTCCTTTCCCTTCTTGTATTGAGTAACCTTGTGCAGTGTGTGCTTTTTGCACTCCTTGGACTTGCAGAATGTCTTCTTAGTCTTTGGAACATTCACCTGGATGGACAAGATAAGAAAAGGTTTCCCATTAGCAATTTGCAACTCTTAATTAAAGGAGAAGAGTTGATATTGGGGAGACCAGACTACTCGTATTAGCAAACTGCTAGATTTTCAAAATTAGGAGTGAGATTGCTGCAATGTGTACACATCAGATAAGCAATCTTCATTAAGTAGCTACAGAATATTATTTTGAAAAGAAGATGAAGCCCTAAGGTCACAGCTATCATTCTTGAACTAATTTGAAACATTAGTACAGTAATAAAAAGTAAAATGCAGCCAAATACTAAAATATCAAACAAAATATGGTATGCCACTAGTTCAGTATTAAGCCAGTAAACCATAAGGCCTATGATGGTCCAATCATGCAAGGAAAACCAATCTGAAATTTCATTTGAAATCTATGCAGAAAAAAACCTCCATATGATGTAAATACATGTAATCCAGATCAATATACCTTTGACTAATTGCACTAGTATATCATTTTCAACCAGTATGAATTGCATAGATTACAAATCATGTTAAGAACCATAGTTACATAAGTCTAACAAAGATGCTTACTTAGAATTAAGGATACTCCATATACAATACCATGGATGAATAAAAAACAAATTCAAAATGCCAAGTTCAAGTATACAAAATTCTAGAAAAAAGATTGGGGATCCTTACCATTGTTGGGTGTAGGCGATTAGCTTGGGATTGACTGAAAAGGCTTTCCTTCTCTACACCCTAGAATGGGTCTGTGCTCAGTACAGGATACTTGAGGTTAGCAGAGTTACCATACCATACTTGTTCATATACCAGCACATACTAAATGATGAAACACCAATAACAATAAAGAAGTAGGGATATGCTTTGAATTCAAGTACAATGAGAGTTTTATTCCATCCATTTTTAGTCTTTTGTTGTTTGATAAAACGTACCATGGCAGTTTTATTCATTCCATTCATTTTTATTTAACAACAAAAACAGTCACTAGGAGTGATGAATAGGTTTAAGGTGTGATTTCTTTTTATCTGAAAAGAAATGGTTTTATCGTATGAGCTATGAGGTCGTGTTATCGTCTCATTATAATTCTTCTTACACTATGTTGAAAAATCCGATGCTCAAGAATCTAATGCATATTGAATCTCGAACATAAATTAAAAAAAGTTCGTAGGGATGGCATATTATAAAACAAAAAACTAGAAAAAATAAAACTTGAGGCAGAAAAATGCTCAAAAAAATTAATAGAGAGCTCAGAAAAAGAATAAACAGACTAGAGAATAGCAATTCGTACCGATCTAATTCAATACAGTAGCGAAGAAGAAGAAGAAGAAATAAAACTTTACCAGGTATATGGACGGATCGTCGTCAGGAGGAGGTGGAGAACGAAAGGGGAATTAGGGTTAGACGACGATAACATAAATAGCATTATAGGGCCTTGGGTTTGTTAATATTGGGCTTGGTTTTTAATTATAGGGCCCATTCGGGAACTATGGATTACGGATTGAGCCAAGCCCAAGTGGTCCAAACTAGGTTTCAGGGCAATAATGGGATAATATGCATGGAGTTTTCAGGGAAGTTTTTCTCCATTTGTGCCACTAGGCCCACTAATGCATAACTACATTAAGACCATTTTTAAGAGCTCCTAACAAACTCCAACATGAACTGCTCTTCTGGCTTGAGAGGTAGAAAGCTCACTCTTCAAGATTCATGAAAAAGTTTATAGAGGTTCTAGTCCTAGCAGAGGCGTAAACATTAATTCTTTGTGTGTCATTAAGTTAAAAATAATATGTTGAAAAAACAAGCTCGAACACAACATGCAGTAAACATTAAATTTAAAGAGTAATTTATTTCCAATTTATTATACCAAACTCAATTATAAAAGAATATTATCACTCTATATTTATTTTCTGTGACATCAAACATTGATACAGTTCATGTTTTATCTACTTCTTTGCTAGATTTGTTTTATGGAGAAGTCCCCATAATTTCCTTAACTTTGATCAAACTCTTTTTCTTTATCATAAGAAGTACTTTATTTTCTTCTCTATTTTGCGTCTTTTGCCCACCTCATATGCATCATTGTTTATCAATTACCTCTCTTATTTTATCAAAATTATGCATGACTTAGTTTAGACTCGAAGGTCAAATTTAGGGGGCATAATGGATACAACGAGTTAATGACTTTTTGTTAAATTGTGGCATGGTTTGATCAAAATAAGTCAAATTGTATGCCTTTTGGTTTGGCATAGTCTTTCTAAATATATCATAGATTCAATGATTATTTAAGTTAAAATGACTTTTGCCTTTTAATCATTCGATAATGAGAAAAAGAAAAAAATAAGAATAAAATATTAAAAACATATCAAAATAGAAGTGTTACATTTACTCCATCCCATATCTTTCTTTATGTTTCGAAAAATAAGAAAAATTTTAAATTTTTTCAATCTATTTTATTGAAAGATTGATATAAAAATAAAATTTGAAACTTACATATTTAAAAAATAAATAAAAAATTAAATAAAATAAATGGTGACAAAAATATTTTATTTTATCATATATGTCATGAAAAATGTAAATTTAACTAAAGTTTCAAGTTGAAATAGTGCTATGTGATTAATATTTTATGAGCAATGCTAGTAGTACACCAAAAGTGTACCCCAAATGTACACCACACCTTCTTCTCCACCCATTTTTATTTGATTTTTATTTATTTATTTTTTGTGAATTTCTTAGCCAATTTAGAAGTTATACTATAGTAGTGTTAATCTCTAGAAGACGCGGAAAGCTTCCTTGCATTTCTTAGAACATTCTCTCTCCAATGGATAAATCAAACCAGAGAGAGATAGCGAGCGAGAGAGAGAGGGGATGGCATCATACCGGTGGAAGAGCTTCTCCGAGGACGAAGATCGGCCGGAGAAGCCGAGGAAATATGGCGTCACTGAAATGAGGTCTCCGCAATACTCTCTTTTCTCTCGCCACCTCCTCCAGGTCCGTTCCCTTCTTTCCCACGCCATCTTCCCCTTCTGCTTAGAGATTCAACGTCTTCAGCCCTAAATTTCGACATAATTCATCTGTTTTTTTTGAAAGAGTTACTTCGTTTGTAGTTCAATTTGTTGGAGAAACTACTAGATATACGTGTTTATAAAAAGCTAACAAATGATAAATTCACACTTTCCAGTTTCCTCTGACTTAAGTTGATGGCTTCAATAGCTATGAGGATTCTGGTTAGTATTGTATGAACTGATGAACAATTCCGTCTTCGTAATGTATTGGGATTTAATGACTTTCGATTGGATGTCAATTGTTCTCGTGTTTCTCTCAGATGCTTTGGTCATTGTATCCTAATCTCTATAGGGGGTATTTGAATAGATCTCGATTACAGGGTCATTTAATAGTAAAATTAATGTACTGCATCAGTAGTAGAATCCTATCTTGTCTTCGTATATACATAAAAATCAACAAGCCAACAACCCGTCCGGAGTTACTGAATTAGATTTCATTTAGGTGAATCAAAGGACATGTCTGATGGTATTAGTGGCTTTTTTTAATCCTGTGAAGATACAGTGCCTTTAGTAGTAGCTGAAGAACAAGCGGATGAATGTCCGGATGATGATTCCAATGAGGTGTAGTAAAATACTTTTACATGTTTTAAGTTAGGAAATATTGGCAAAGACTACTAGGACATACAAACACCCAAGTTCAATTTTAGGTGCACAAAGTGCTCCAAGGGGATCACATTCAAGACATGTATGAAAACCATGTTTATGTCGTTTAGTGAGGCACAAGGAATTTTGAGTCCTGGTGTGAGCAGGATGAGCAAATAGATTAAGCGAAACTGAAAAGGGAGGCTAAAGTGATGTAGAACTAACTTGTTGATTCTATAAAGGCTTGTTCCTTTAGAATAGAACACGGCCAAAGTTGTTAGAAGATACTCCTTAAGCTTCTGGACTAAAAAAGAGAAATGGATATTCTTGCTGCTTGGGATGAAATGAAATCCACGAAGTTTAGACAGACGTGCATGAGTGAATGCAATGCTTGTTTGGCAAAGGAAGGAAGTGTAGAGGAAGGAAATGGAGAGGAAGCAGGAAGTAGAGTGGAAATCCAACTTCCACTTGTTTGTTTGGTTGGAAGGAAATGGAGTGGAATTTAACTTCCCTTCCATTTCACCCCAAAAGTGGGAGGAATTTTTTTAAAACTCAAATTCAATTGCTCTCTCATTTCCTATCTATTTCCTTTCCTATTTCTCTTCAACCAAACAATGGAAGCTTTTCAATTTCCTTCACACTTCCCTCACTCCTTACTTCCCTCCCACTTCCCTCCAACCAAACATACCATTATAAAACCCTATTCAAAGGTGAACGTGGGAAGTTTATTTACTGTTCATTTGGATTCTGAAATGACTTTTAGGAGTCATTTTTGGATTTCCTTGTGTTTGGTAAGCAGTGAAATATGAGTCAAAGGAAAAAGACTTTCAAATCCAATGGAAAATCAATCCAAAAATTAGGAAAACAAATCCTTAAATTTTTTCACAGGAGTCATTTTACGGATTTGTTTAACCACTCCCTGACCTAGCCACTGACTGACATTAACGTCCACCTTATCACTTTCCTCCGATCACTTGCAACTTCTAATTGCTGTGTGGTGTCCTGGTATTCGACATCCACCAACACTGGTTGGTCATGCGCAATCTAAGAACCCAAGGCCCTAAGCCACCAACACTAACATCCACTCCACCACCGGCAACCGGTCACCAGTGATTGCCAATCGCCAGCTGATCACTGTACCACCTGCCACCCAAGAGCATTTTTGAAAGTAGTGACATTTTCTCCAGACAGTGAAAAATTATGCGAGTGGTTTAATTGCGCACAATAATAAGCATAACACTGGGAGGAAAGTAAAATAATAGAGATGATGTTTCGCTATAACTTTGATGTGTTGCTGCATTTAGCACCCAAAACTTCATGGAATGTTGGAAGTTTATGTAGTGTTTGGATGAGGAGAAATTGGGGAGAGAAAAAAGGAAGGAAAAACACAACATTCAAGGAGTTTTCTCTTGTTTGTTTGAAAGAGAAAATGGAAGAAGGAAAGAAAAGGAGATAGATTTCACCCCAAAATATTTTCTCCCCTAAAGTGGCGAGAAAACTACAATGGAACAGAAAACTTATGGCACATTTTCTCTCAATTCCTTTTGCTTTTCTTTTCATTTTCTCTTCTCTTCAGTTTCTTTCCTCTTATTTTCTTTCCTCCAATTTTCTCTCATCACCCAAAAATGCTATTAGCGCTATTTAATTTAGTCCACCATCTACCTGATGCTAAAACATTGTCAAGAATGACTCTTTTAGCTCTTTTGGTGATAAGATGAATGCTCTAACTTCTAAGACCATCATCAGCATCAAAGTTTATTTCCAAATGCATCATCAATCTCCGCTATGGTCTATTCCCTATACCATTAATCCCCTTGGCGAGCTTGTCAATTGCAATCAATGTGGAAAACACATTGAGGATTTTATAGACAACTTGATCAATTTGGACAACACATTGAGGGACCAATAGGTAGATTTATTTGGAGTCTTGGATGACATCCTACACTTGTATGCCATATCCCTTGGTCAAAGACTCACATCCATCCATGTGCCTGTATAATTCTCCTCTCAAGTTTCAGTTACNTATTTCCTTAATTGTAAATCCAAACAGAATGAAAGATACGAAACAAGGAGTATTAGATAAAGGCATTTAGTAGAAAATGTTTTTTATGTCTCATATATTCATTGAAGGAACAAAAATGAACAAAATGAATATATTGATAGATAAAGACATTGAGAAGAAAAATAATTTTTTTTATATAGAAGGAACAAAAAAAGAAAAGATTGATGTGGCTGCTGGGATTCGAGCCCAGGTCTCCACGGCCACAACGTGGAATTCTAACCACTAAACTACAGCCACCTTGTTGGTTAACAATTGGCTATTTTTGATACATATATGTGTATAAAGTGCGTACCATACACGGTTTCAAAAAATGTGGCTGCTGGGATTCGAGCCCAGGTCTCCACGGCCACAACGTGGAATTCTTACCACTAAACTACAGCCACTTTATGCTCTACATGTATTTTAAAAAAACATAGACAAACATTTGTTCACTTTATTCATCAAGAAATATTAAACTTTACGAAAGTAACTTTTTTAAGTGAGAGATTACGAATTTCATCTCAGTGAAGGCCATAACTCTCAATGTTTAAATAAGTTGAGATAACATGTATGAATAGAAACTACAATTATAATACGAATATTCGTGCACCAAAAAACAATAATAGTATGCGCCACAATTTTTTACACGGAGTAGTTATTTTCTATCCAATTGAATAACACTATTTTAGTTTTTGTTGTCTTGGTATAAAGTTTATATTTTTCTATTGTATTTATTTAAAAAAAGTATGATGCTTCTCTCTCTTTTTTTCTTTTTTGGTAAAAAATACATGACTCAAAAATATTTTTCTATCCTAAACCGAATTAAAAAACTCGTTTTTTCACTTTTCGATTTTTTTAAAAAAACTATGAAGTCATAATGTGAACGTTCTAACAACATAGTGGCCAACCAATCAACTACTCTCTCCATCTTAAAATTAAATTCTTATTTGACTTTTCACGATTTTCAAGACAACACTTTTATCATTAATATTTTTATTTATATAATTATATATTACTAAAATAAAATATTTCAAAACTATGTTTCAAAATTAATCTATTGATATTAAATTTATATAAAATTCAATGTAATTTTTCTGTAATATGTTGTCAAGTTTAAAAAGTTTAACAAAAAAAGGCGAGAAATTAATTTTAGGACGGATAGAATACTAAAATTCTCGTGCAAGGACTCACAAATTTTTAATGAGTACCATTAGAGGTAAGCATGATACAGTATTTAGCTCGAATTGATACTGCATCAAATATTTGGATTCGGTATGAGACTTTACGTCGTATCGATCCCGATTCCGAAATATCAGTTTGGCATGGTTTGCTATTGGTATCGATTTTAGTACAAATCCAAATGGTTGAAAGGTACGGAGTACATATCAAGGGATATGACTTAGATTCGACTTTTGACAATGACGATAAAAAATAATCATACTCTGAATGTGATTTTTGTACCTGTCAAAAATAGACTTGACCTTCTATTGATCAGATTGAGATTATGACTAAATTTATCTCATTCAAGTCTAGTCTCCATATCTTTACTAGAGAGACCCTAGAGATTAGGGTTCAACCCTTTTTTGGTAAATAAATAGAAACTTGAAATAAAACTTAAAACGCCTCTAAATTAAAATTTCGACGAAGTGTATGGAATAATAAATAAATAAAGAAACACTCCTTATAAACACACCAGAGTTGGTACTAAGAAGGTGTTTGTAAGTGCAGTGAATTTTGAAAAAACCAAATGTGCTAAAGCAAAAGTGAAAAACAATTACTTTGAGCTTTGGTGAAAGTCACTTCTAGAGCACAATTTATACTTCTGATATCACAATCTATAATCTAAAGCTGATCGGAAACACTTAAAATTGTGTTTCAATGAAGCCAGCTCAAAAACTATTTTCAAACATACTCCCAAACATCTTCTTAGTAGCATTTTAGTTTTAAAAACCTAAGCATAACTATAGATGCAATTAAACATGAAAATAGATGCTCTTTCCGTTGGAAATTAATTTATTTACTTTGATTTACATATAATTTAATACTAAGAAAATGTTGAGGTGCAAAAAAAGGAACAATTATAATTTGTTCAAAAAAGAGATATTTTACACTATCTAATTAATTGAGAAGAGAACCGGATAGTACAATTTCTAACTCGCAATGTTTAGCATATTTAGAGCACTTGGGCAATCCACAAAACTTTATGCCACAAAGCCACATGCAAATACAGAAAATGTATTTTATTGCAACTTGCAAAACTAATAATTTATGAGTATAAAAAAACTATTCATAGGACTTCTCAATAGGCATGTACAATAACATTGGAGACCAAAGTACAGTCAATTAATTAAATTCCACAACATTACTTTATTTCATAAATCCCATCACCCACAAAGTGATAGTCTAAAGCATAAATAAAAAGATTACTAGCAGATGATAAAGTCTCCCAAACTATGGGTAGTTAGTGCCCATATCAGGTTCGGGAACCGTTGGAATCACTCTTTCTCTATAAGTCATTTACGTTCGAGAAAGAGAGATATATATATAGAGAGAGAAGAAGTGTGTGTGTGTGCGCGCACAAACAATGCTTCTTGATTGCTTCGGCTTCTCTAGCCGGTCATTTCCTTAACTTTAGGACTTCTCTAAACTACTTACCACTAAAATTTAAGCCATCGGGGAGCGGAGAGAGTGATCTTCCGATGGTACAAATTGCCACATGGGAATCATCCCAGCAGGATAGCCAGCAAAAGGGATCATCTTACTGCCAAGAACAGATGCAGGATGATGAGGAGCTAAGAAGCCTGCAGGTTGAGAGCTTATAGCTTTTAGCTGCAACTCAAGTTTCTCTTTCTCTGCCTTTAGCTTTTGCTTCTCTTCTCTGAGTTCGTTTTTCTCGGCCTGGTAAAAAAAAGAGCAAGGGCAATTTTTTTCTTCTTTGAGAATTTTGTTACTAACCACACACACACATAGAATAATTACGCATGCCTCACTATAAGACCATTCAAGGGCAGATGCTATTTATAAAAGAGGGAATAACTAAATATGCGGCAGAATTGACTACGTAAGATTGTTAGGTTGTAGAGTATGATGTAATATTTGATGTACTGTTAAACATTTTTCATTTGCAAGGTTCAATGTATGTACTCTCGGTAATTTAAGATTGTAACATGTATTATTCTTCGCGCAGCTATTTTTTAGAGTGTATTTTGTGTAACTATACATGCTGTGAGATCATCAATATATGACCTTCTACCACCGTAGACTTTACTCGCTGGGCATTGCTACGAAAATCTGGAGAGCTGCTGTTTGTAGGAAGAAGAACAACCACTGGACATTTCTTCTGTGTAGTTTTTTTACTGTGGTGTTTTTAGCCCTAGCTCCCTTAAAATACTAATCTACACTTTTCACTTGAACCTTTAAAAATGCTTAGTACTTTAAGGGAGCTAGGGCAAAAATACTATGCAGTAAAAAACTACATAGACAAGCCGCTTTTAAGTTTGCAAATCATGTAAATATTTTAAGGAGATAATAAACACAGAGAGACTAAAAAAAGGTGTAAGTTACATAGCTAAATTGCAAAAAACAAACTCCCCCTGTCCTGATATAAACTCCGTTGTGAATAAGTTTAGAGTCAAATAAATCAAGAAATGGTGTTTGAGGAGGGTGTGTGTACTTTGGAACAAATGAGTATTATGACAAGTCAACAACCCAGAGAAATCCCATGATGGGGTGTGACTTGTGAGGAGGGTGGGTGTATACATGCCTTAACCCTACCTAAAAGTTAAAGAGGCTGTTTCCAATAGACCCTTTGCAAAAAAAACCAAAAAAGAAAAAAAGACTGCTCTAGTATTACACTAATGTAAACTAGAAAAGAGAAGCACTTATTGGGATAGAAATTAATTTATTGTATGTCTTTTTCTGAAAGAATTTGAATAAAAGACTTCACCTTTAATTCATTGACCTTCTCTTGTAAATCCTGAAACGAAACTTTCAGCTTCTTAGCTTCATCCCTCAGCTGATTTACCACTTTAACAGCATCACTCAGTATGGCTGACTTATCCATTTTTGGTGGCTTGCCGGGGTCAATGACAGAACTTAATTCTTGGAATCTAGTGATATATAAAAACACATCCACATAACATATCCATATAAAAACAGAAGAAACACCCACAGCAATGTGCTTCATTAAAAAGTATGATCATACAAGGTGAGATGAGTACCGGTCATTCAGCCTATCCCTTCGCATTTTCTCCCTATGTGCTTTGGACTCAGTTGTGTTGCACGCCTCTGATCTTACCCTGTAATATATGAAAGCTTGAAGAGAGGTGAGATCGAAAAATAAATACATATACAAGATAACAAGGAAAGAGGAGAAGATAAAGGCAAGATATCATTAAGTACATTTTTGAGAATTCAACAACGGCATAAAGATGGACAATATACTAATGATGCACAAGCCAAAAACTCCACTATGTGTGTGTGCGTGTGTGCTCACCTCTTTTTGGAGTTGCATTGCTTTACAATATTAGAATTTTCGTCCGACACATCTTGTCCATTGCTGCAACATAGCAAACCAACAACCATTATATTCCAAACTGCAATGAACATTTATTATAAGAGGGTACATGTTACAAATTTCAATTGAAATTCATAGGAGAGTACTTCCAGGGAAAGGGTAACTATATTGCCTAACAAACGCTCTTTTAAGTCAATGCCTTAATGGCTTTCCTTGACAAGAAAAACAAAAGTAGATCTTTGATAGAACTAAAAACTTAAAAAACAAAAGCAGCCTGGGACTCGAGTTGGAACACCTGAATAAGGCACTTCAAAAGAAAGTCATCAGACTACTTGACTTATTTGTCCATGAGTTCATCACACAAAAATTGAATCGGAATGTCCTACGTAAGATATGGTGGCATTCATCATATGAGATTTCAACCCAAAATTCTTTTCAAAATCCCCTCAAGTGCAACTTGTTCCTTCTTTACTGAAGTTGTCACTTGCTCAAATAGAGCTTGACTTAACTTTTGAGTGATACCTTGTGAAAATATGATATTCCAACACAAAACCAATTGGCAATCAGATGATTAACTCATATTGTTATATATCAATCTATTTTAAGGTTTTCGATGCCGGGCTAAATATTAAGGAGTAGAAAAATAAGAATCCAATTAAAGATTCACGATTAAAAATTAAAAAAACGAGTTGTTTAATACTCCCAAAGATTTGGTTAGTTAAATTTAATTATTCGATTAGGTTATCCTAAAATTCTAAGAGCGAATTCCAAAGGGACTCTATAAGGATTACTGAAATTTCGCAGGAAATTAATGACAGGGGGTCGGAGGTACCTGAGGGAAGTTGGAACGGAAAACGCATTGGAAGGCCATTGAAACGCCGGTTCAATCGGAGGAAACATGTCGCCGCCGCTGCCGCTGCCGCTGCCGCCGCCGGGAAGAGAAATTCCTTCCAATTCCAGATCGACGAGCCAGTTGAAGTTGCTCTCTTCCGGAGCTGCCATTGTAGTCGGCGACGGTGGGTCGATTACAGCGGAGATTTTTGGGAGAGCGATTATTTTTTATTTCATGGGAGAAAATTGATGTAAAGGAGGACGAAGGCAATTATTTGGAGAGAATATATCCATCCGAGAGGACGTTTAAAATTAAAGAAGGGTGAAAGAAGAAAGATGCGGCGTCGTATGATGAGAAGGCTGACGCGTAGACGCCACCCACTCCGGGTCTGTTTGGGAAAGCGTTAACCATAAGCGTTAGCGTTTTGAAAAGGTTATCTACGGACATTGTTTAACGTTAGCGTTTTTAAAATAATCTGCACCAGTTAAATTTTATCCAAAACGCTAACGCTAATCTTTAACGCTATTCCCAAAAGAATGAAAATAAACATTCTCCTAAATTTCACCATTGGTCCTTCGAATATTAATTTTTTATCTTTGAAAATTCTACGAATAGTCTTTCAAGTCATGTTAGTATTACAAGGTTAGCCTTTCAAGTTTTAAAATTTCACAGATAGCCCTTCAAGTCACGTTAGTGTGGTGTGGTTGGTACTTTTATTAATTTTTTTTACTCTATGTATTTTTCCATTTTTCAGTATAAATATACATGAGGAGCTGTTTCTTTTTTATAAAATTGAGTCATACTTTTTCGTTGATTTATTTTAATTAAAATATTGGTAAAAAAAGTCAACATTATTGATGGTAAAAAGTCAAAATTTGATAAAAACTTTCAGTCGGAGTATAAATTTTTTAATAAAATACAACTAAACAAAGCAAAAGTAATTTATTTTATTTTAAAAATTAGAGTAGTTAAAGTAATTTATTTTATTTGAAAGGAAAAATATATAGAAAATGCATGGTAAAATTAATGGAAGGACCAACCATACAATGTTAACGTGACCTGAAGGACTATTTGTAAAACTTTTAATGTAGAAGGACCAACAATATATGAACCGTTAACATGACTTGAAGAGTTATCATGAAATTTTCAAGGTTGAAAGACTAATTGTACATAACGCAATAACTTGAAGGATCAACGGTAGAATTTAGCCTAAATACTCTAATGTTTAGTTCTCATACCAGTATGCTCACAAATCATTATACAACTAATCTTGCCTCCTCTCAAATTTCTTTTTTTGTGTGAAGTTTGAACAAAAAAAGTTTTGTTATCCATTTTTTAATTAAAAATTGTTATTCTTGTACTCCCTTCGTCCATTGATCTTTTTCTCACGTTTCTTTTCAAAAAAATTCAATCTCGTTTCTTATTTGACAACAAAATTTTAACAAATGTGTCTTCAATTTTTATTTACACTATTTACTTTATTCCATCATATCAAGGACAAACCATAAAAACTCTTTACATTTATTAACTTTTCTTAATTTTTGTGCCAAATCAAAATGAAAAAAAAGTTTTTGGATAAAGGGAGTAATTTTTCATTTTTTTGTATTAATTTCAATCACACTATTTTATTTCTTTGAAAACCTGTCAAATAAAAAATGAAACATTTGTTTAGAGTAAATGGATGGTGGATATGTCTAAGGTCATGTTTCGTCAGTCAATAATTTTATTTGTTTGTATATTTTTATTAATTGTTTGATAAAATAAAATATTTTTATCACCCTTTATTTTGTAATTTGTATTGAGTAAAACTTTTTGTGTATAGATTACTAACAAAAAAGACTAAAATAAAAGTGAAACACTGAAAATATAACAAGAATTTCATATTTTTATTTTGAAGTGAGTGAAGCTAGTGACCCACCGGCCTTAGTCTATAATTACCGTTCCCGGGCTGCCACCTCTGTCCGCGGCGGTTCCCGGCGGAGTGTTCGATCAAACAATTCCACCATTTTTACAATCATTCATTTGTAAGTGGCAACAAATTTTCAGTCGAAAGTTAACCAGATCAGTTCCTAACATGTGATACTCTTCATTTTATTTTATTAATTTTCCATTCTGGCAAATCAAAATGGAAATCTGAACCATAGTTATTTTAGTATTTCATTTGCTTATTTTGTTGGGCCCCATGTGAAACCCTCTAGTATTTGAATGCAGTCTAACTGTTCGATAGAATTCCTGAACCAATCCTCTTTCTTCTTGTTCAGTTTCTTCAACTTCTTGATATGGGCTCCAATTTGATCTAATATTGAAATGGGAAGTGTGTTATATCTATCTGTTAACCATTGTGAATCAATGGGATCTCTTTATTTTTATGGTTCATAGTTTCGTTCATAGTCTTCTCTAAATTTACTAGCTCTCGCCCATCCTTTGTATGCAAAAGCGTTCATTTTTGCCACGTATTTGAGAAAATAATATTGTATTGTTGTAGAACCTTTGATATAGTTTCTAAATATATAAATTTTATATTTTAGTTCTATACTAATTTTTGAAGATCATATGAACTTTCAGTTTTCAAGATGGACTTTTTGTTTGTTTGGCTTGGTTTATAGTTTTGTATAGTATTCAGTTTTCAATTGTTATGTTCTGTAGGGGTATTTTCTTCTGAAAAAAAGATGCATCCTCCCCTAACGTTACATCGGCACCCAATGTGTGCAGAGGTATGTTCTTCGTAAACACGCGCTTCACCGATTGCCGGTGTCATATGTTGGTGTATAACAACTGTAGGAAACAATCTTTCACAGCTGAAACGTGAATTTTACATGATCAGATAATTGAGCAGTTCCAAAAATGTCATCTGGACCATCCTATTGGGAAATTCTTTGGCCAATGCACCGGCCTCAAGATCAAGCTCGACCGTTGCTTCAGGCAGGAAGTAAATTTTTTTGCTCAGTTTTTTTTATTCTTTAAACATTTCTTTAGCAACTCCCGTGGGGAAAAGCCAAAAAAAAATATTTCGAGTTCTTTTTTTCGTTTTTGCAGAAAAGTGTGAAGCGGAAGGCAAACTTCGAGGAGAGCAAGAAGTTAAAGGAGCGCCTGCGGGCGTACAAGAAGGAAATTGATGAGGTTAGTAGCCAGGAAAGCTCATTCGGGCAAGCTTAAAATCATATTTGAATGCCCATTTGAGCTCCACATATATGCTGATTCTTGTTATATTTATTCATGAGTTAACTAGTGAAATGTGCTGAAACTCAAATGAGTTTTTTTTTTCAATTGCTGGACTTTGCACAAGTTTTGAATTGGAAAGATTTCTTAATAGTACATGGTTTGTGATATATGTAATGGTGTATGGTCATAAGCAACTGTTTTCCATGTTTCCATGTTAATATGTTATGAATAAAGTTAAGTGTTACTAATTCAATAATCTCCTAGACCGACAATAATCCTTCCAAACTAGAAAGTTCAACCTACTACTCCCAATTAATTTCAAACCGTTCTTATTGTTGGTCATTACTCTTCCCATTGTGGTTGATTTGTGTGGCACGAGAAAGTATTTACAATTGAATGAAAAATTGGTAACGGATATGGATGCATCCGACCGATATTCGATTGATGCAGATACGATTTTGATTTTTACCATTTGCCACGACCCGTATTTGAAAAAAAATAAAGAGACGGATTTGGTACCAGCACATCCGATCCGAATCATCCGACTAACATCCGTTAGGATGAATCAACATATATATATTTGCACAGGGGGGATAAACCATGATTGCAAGCAAGCAAGCAAACTTTTCAATTCCATTCTTCTTTGGAAGAAATTAAACTATACTCCGTACAATGCATATATGGTTACCACTAGCCTTGGTTTTTTGAAGAAATCCATCATAGGAGAAAAGGAAACTAAACATTTCAAGGAAGAATCTTTCAAAATTTCACATAATAATAAGAAGAAAATGACTAATCAGACAATGAAACATAACCTGAAAATCTTTTGAGAAAAAAGAAGAAAGGCAATTAAACATTAATATATATATTTCAGAGAGAATTGAAGGGCAGGGCAATGGGTATTGTTGCTGCTGCTGGTGCCAAGGTTTCAGAGTACAAGAAGGGCATTCTGGTCTTTTTCGTGACATCAGCAGTGCTTGTTTCTGCCATAGTTGATGTGGTCCCCCGATTTGCAGACATGTTTGCTTATTTCTGGCCTCTTTTCATGTCGACAACGTTGTTCATGGGAGCCATAATCGCCTTCACGCATGTGCCGCCTTTGGCTGTCGACTACAGAGACGAGAGAGAAGGCGAGTGGCTGTTCTCACCGGCCTCCCACAACAACATTGAAGGATAAAGGTAGGGTAACCCAACGTTTTGGTACCGTAGTGACAACTATTGTGTGCACGTGTCTATGAAAATCATGAAATTATGGTAACCCTAAAATATTGGGATAATTTACCCTAACACGACTCAACTTTGAACGATACTGTATAATGCTTCTAGTATTTGAATAACCACCCCGGTTTATGTGACATTGTATTTTATTCTATTCGAAAAATGGATGATTATTATCCCCACTTAACTAACTTCTTATAGCCATGTCCTCACCCCTATCCTTTTGTCGAATAGCTACATAATTAATCATTGTAGCCAATTAGCGAATAAAGACAGCAAAAAGTTAGGGGTCGGAACTATATATTTTTAAATAAAGTTGTTCTGAGTTATCTTATGACAATAGTTAGTGATCAATGTCACATGAACTGCCCCTTGAATGATGTAATCGATACTCTTGACATTATTTTAATGCTTTTTCACCCTACATGCGTGTATATATTCTATCATTGGATGGAATTGAACTACCCTCTTTTACAACAACCAAGATTATAATTTTTTCCTTTCCCTTCCAAAATACATTTGAAGAGGTGTGATTTAACACATTATTCAAAGTGGGATGGTTATTTTGAAACAAAGAGTGAGTCTATAAGTACATAATAATAATAATAATAATAATAATAATAATAATAATAATAATAATAATAATAATAATAATAATAAATGTAATAACAACAACAACAACAATAATAATAATTTGTTGGGAAAGTCGCATACTTTGAAGCAATACGCTTAATTACTCAATGTACTCCAGGCCCATTGAGCATTCATCTTGTTTTACAAAGCTTTGATTTAGTATATCTAAGTTATTTATTCATCATGGGGCATTTCACAAACCTAGACTGGCAAAAACAGACCCGGAATTGATTATCCAAATTAAATTATCCGAAATCGAAACTAGAAGGATCTGAAAAACGAAGATTCGATTCACAACCAAATAACCGAAATGATCCGAACTGAACTAAAACCAAACTAAATATATCCATGCCCGATTTAAAATAAAAACCGATTAGACCCGATCGGTTAGATCCAAAACCGATAGGATCTGAAAACAATAAAACCCGAAACCGGTTAGATTCGAAACCGATAAAATCCGAAATCGATAAGATCTGAAACTAATTATATCCAAAATTGATTATGCCTGACAATAAACATATTATATTTATGTACATTAGTGAATAATTAGATTTGATTTCAAATTTTGATTTTTATTTTAACATTTGAACTAATTATATACATATATTACTTACTTCCTATGTCCAAAATTAATTACCATATCTAAACAAAATATATAAAATTATATATGTTTTAATTTCTTTTAATAAATTGGTATAAAATAAAATAACAACGCACATAAAAATGTTATTTAAAATTCATACAAACTAAAGCACGGTTAAAAATATTTTTTTCACCCGCTCTCATCCAATATTGTATGTTTGGCCAAACCTGTGTTTTGAATTATATTTAATTGCACTCAAATTTTATCTAATTACATTCAATTTCAACATATTTTAACCAAATTGTATGTGATTTGGTAATCCAATTATACTAGTTTTATATCAAAACTAAATATATTTTTTTCTTTCATAACTCGTAATCCAAAATTATAAAAAATGACTAAAAAGATAAAAATAAAAGATATGTAGCACGAAGGAAATATAAGATAATATAAGGTGATAATTTTATGATAAATTGATAAATGAGATATGATAAAAAGTGAACGTATAATTAAATTTTAATTCAAAAATAACATATATGGAAATATATCCGAAACTAAAATATACTCAGACCAAAATATATCCAAATTGAAATATATGAGAACCAGAATGTATCCAATTTCGATCCGAATCAATTGCCATTCGAGCCAAATCTAAACCGACCCAGAACCGAATCAGAACGAAAAAATGTATGAAACCAAAATTAAACCGAACCAATACGAACCAATAAAAATACCCAAATCCAATTATTCCAAACCGGAACTAATCCGATTGATCCGATTACAACCTCTGCACAAGCCTAACCACTAGGCGTCAGTGCGTCACGCCCCCCATCACAGTGATCTAACCACAGAGAAGATTAATATAGAGAAAACAAAAATCGCATCTTTATTCCTTACAGCCCGTTAGACGAAAAGAGTACCACCAAAGTAATTAAATTTAAATCCTAAAACATCCCAAGTGTTATTTCTGAAAACATGGTATCCCAAAGCTCTAACCCCAAAATCAAAAATACCCAAAACTATTTTTTTATTTTCGAAGCCATCCGGACCAGATTTCAGAATGAAAAATCCAAATTTAATTTATAATTGAGTTTAAAAAATGGAAATGGAAAAATGGAGAAAATGATAAACACAAGTGGCAGAATTACTCAACTCAATGAAGTAGCCACTGGAAACACCAAATGCACAGTTGATAACTTTACTTTGGAACATGCCAAAATGGAAACACCATTTTAGGACAAGGGAGCATATTCTTGGGATTCTAATTTAACGCAAAAAAAGGGATTGTTCTTTAACAAAAGGTGATTATATTCCTACGAACACAAACTTTTTCTGGAGACAAGAGCTCATCAAGCTATCTAGCCATTGAGAAAGAAACAGTATTGTAAAGGCAACAAATGCAGAAGTAATGCCAAGAAAAAAGCAATTAGAAACTTACACTTGAGACCAACAAACTCAAAACATGGATAATAGAGCATGCTAAGAAAAGAAATGGCGTCCCGCATGAAGTACAAACATTCGAATTGCTCGATCTTCCATTGCAACTTAAAAGAGAGAAGTTCCCTTTCCTTTCTTATCCCCACCAATCTCGAAATGCTTGCACCTCTGCACAATAACCAGAGAATACTTTAGTCAGCTCCAAAATCGCACCATTTATCTGTCATCCAATAACTATAAACATAGTAGTTCAAACCAAACAACCTTGATTACATGTTGGGAAACATGCTTGCATCCCTGACATTGGAGTCTCAGCACAATCTTCTTAGTAGTTTTAGCCTGAATTGAGGAACGGTGTAACATACGCATAAGTACTTTCACACCGTGTCTGCTTTGAATCAATCAGTACCTATGAACTTTTAAACAGTGAGTACACTACAAGCAGACCTTTTTGTGAAGAATCGGCTTGGTCTGTCCACCATAACCTGATTGTTTGCGGTCATAACGACGTTTTCCTTGCGCAGCAAGGCTGTCCTTTCCCTTCTTGTATTGAGTAACCTTGTGCAGGGTGTGCTTTTTGCACTCCTTGGACTTGCAGAATGTCTTCTTAGTCTTTGGAACATTCACCTGGATGGACAAGATAAGAAAAGCTTTCACATTAATAATTTGCAACTCTTAATTAAAGAAGAAGAGTTGATATTAGGGAGACCAGACTACTCGTATTAGCAAACTGCTAGATTTTCAAAATTAGGAGTGAAATTGCTGCAATATGTACACATCCGATATGCAATCTTCATTAAATAGCTACAGAATATTTTGAAAAAAAGATGAAGCCCTAAGGTCACACCTATCATTCTTGGACTAATAAAAAGTAAAATGCAGCCAAATACTAAAATATCAAACAAAATATGGTATGCCACTAGTTCAGTGTTAAGCCAGTAACCATAAGGCCTATGATGGTCCAATCATTCCAGGAAAACTAATCTGAAATATCATTTGAAATCTATGCGGAAAAAAACCTCCATATGATATAAATACATGTAATCCAGATCAATATACCTTTGACTAATTGCACTAGTATATCATTTTCAACCAGTATGAATAGCATAGATTACAAATCATGTTAAGAACCGTAGTTACATAAGTATAACAAAGATACTTAGAATTAAGATACTCCATATACAATACCATGGATGAATAAAAAAATTCAAAATGCCAAGTTCAAGTATACAAAATTCTAGAAAAAAGATTGGGGATCCTTACCATTGTTGGGTGTAGGCGATTAGCTTGGGATTGACTGAAGAGGCTTTCCTTCTCTACACCCTAGAATGGGTCTGTGCTCAGTACAGGATACTTAAGGTTAGCAGAGTAACCATAACATAATTGTTCATATACCAGCACAAACTAAATGATGAAACACCAATAACAATAAAGAAGTAAGGACATGCTTTGAATTCAAGTACAATGAGAGTTTTATTCCATCCATTTTTAGTCTTTTGTTGTTTGATAATTCTTCTGATACTGTGTTGAAAAATCCGATTCTCAAGAATCTAATGCATATTGAATCTCGCACATAAATTAAAAAAAGTTCGTAGGGAAGGCATCTTATAAATCAAAAAACTAGAAAAAATAAAACTTGAGGCACAAAAATGCTCGAAAAAATTAATAGAGAGCTCAGAAAAAGAATAAACAGACTAGAGAACAGCAATTCGTAGCGATCTAACTCAATACAGTAGCGACGAAGAAGAAGAAATACTGTAAAACTTTACCAGGTATATGGACGGATCGTCGTCAGGAGGAGGTGGAGAACGAAAGGGGAATTAGGGTTAGACGAAGATAACATAAATAGCATTATATGGCCTTGGGTTTGTTAATATTGGGCGTGGTTTTTAATTATACGGCCCACTCGGGAACTATGGATTACGGATTGAGCCAAGCCCAAGTGGTCCAAACTCCAAACTAGATTTCAGGGCAATAATGGGATAATATGCATGGAGTTTTCAGGGAAGTTTTTCTCCATTTGTGCCACTAGGCCCACTAATGCATAACTACATTAAGACCATTTTTAAGAGCTCCTAACAAACTCAAACATGAACCGCTCTTCTGGCTTGAGTGGTTGAAAACTCACTCTTCAAGATTCATGAAAAAGTTTATAGAGGTTCTAGTCCTAGCAGAGGCGTAACATTGATTCTTTGTGTGTCATTAATTGAAAATAATATGCTAAAAAAACAAGCTCAAACACAACATGCAGTAAACATTAAATTTAGAGAGTAATTTATTCCCAATTTATTATACCAAACTCAAATTCAAAAGAATATTATCACTCTATATTTATTTTCTGTGACATCAAACATTGATACAGTATATGTTTTATCTACTTTTTTACTAGTTTTTTTTTATGGAGAAGTCCCCATAATTTCCTTAACTCTGATCAAACTTTTTTATCAGTACTTTATTTTCTTCTCTATTGTGAATCTTTTGCACACCTCATAGGCATCATTTTCTTCTCTTAGTTTAGATCCGAAGGTCAAATTTAGGGGCATAATGGATACAATGAGTTAATGACTTTTTGTTAAATTGTGGCAAAGTTTGATCAAAATAAGTCAAATTGTGTGCCTTTTGGTTTGGCACAGTCTTTCTAAACATATCGTAGATTCAACGATTATTTAAGTTAAAATGACTTTTGCCTTTTAATCATTGAGAAAAAAAAAGTAAGAATAAAATATTAAAAATATATCAAAATAGAAGTATTACATTTACTCCCTCCCATGTCTTTCTTTATGTTTTGCAAAAATAAGAAAAATTTTAATTTTTTTCAATCTATTTTATTGAAAGATTGATATAAAAATAAAATTTGAAACTTACATATTTAAAAAATAAATAAAAAATTAAACAAAATAAATGGTGACAAAAATATTTTATTTTATCATATATATCATGAAAAAACGTAAATTTAACAAAAGTTTCAAGTTGAAATAGTGCTCTGTGACTAATATTTTATGAGTAATGCTAGGAGTACACCAAATGCACACCACCCCTTCTTCACCACCCATTTTTATTTATTTTTTATTTATTTTTTTTGTAAATTTCTTACCAATTTATGTGGATAAAAAGGAAGTAAGGGATATATGGGATATACCTTTGGTGAATTATTTATTAATTTTTTGTGAATTTCTTATTTTATTTCTTACCAATTGGTGTACTGCTAGCATTTTTCATATTTTATTTAGAAGTTATACTATAGTAGTGTTAGGGGCTGTTTGGCAACTTCTGAATGGGTAAGTGCTGAACCAGTAAGAGGTCTGAATCATTAAGTGCTGAACCAGTAAGAGGTCTGAACCATTAAGAGCTAGTATATTGCTTAACTATTCAGAGGCAAATGTCTGATCAATTCAGATAAGAGCTCTTAACCATTCAGACTCTGTATGATACTTAACCATTCAGAGGCAAATCTCTTAACCATTCAGACATCTGAACCATTAAGAGACTGAAACAAACAGTCTGAACCATTAAGTGCTGGTCATTCAGAAACTGAAACAAACAGTCTCTCCAATGGTTAAATCAAACTAGAGAGAGATAGCGAGCGAGAGAGAGAGGGGATGGCATCATACCGGTGGAAGAGCTTCTCAGAGGACGAAGATCGGCCGGAGAAGCCGAGGAAATATGGCGTCACTGAAATGAGGTCTCCGCAATACTCTCTTTTCTCTCGCCACCTCCTCCAGGTCCGTTCCCTTCTTTCCCACGCCATCTTCCCCTTCTGCTTAGAGATTCAACATCTTCAGCCCTAAATTTCGACATATTTCATCTGTTTTTTGAACGAATTACTTCGTTTATGGTTCAATTTGTTGGAGAAACTACTAGATATACGCGTTTGTAAAAAGCTAACAAATGATAAATTCACACTTTCCAGTTTCCCCCGACTTAAGTTGATGGCTTCAATAGCAATGAGGTTTCTGGTTAGTATTGTATGAACTGATGAACAATTCCATCTTCGTAATGTATTGGGATTTAATGGCTTTCGATCAGATATCAATTGTTCTTGTGTTTCTCTCAGATGCTCAGGTCATTGTATCCTAATCTCTATAAGGGGTAATTTGAATAGAGCTCGATTACAGGGTCATTTAATAGTAAAATTAATGTACTGTATCAGTAGTAGAATCTTATCTTGTCTTTGTATATATGGAAAAATCAACAAGACAACAACCCGTCCGGAGTTACTGAATCAGATTTCATTTAGGTGAATCGAAGGACATGTCTGATGGTATTAGTGGCTTTTTTTAATCCTGTGAAGATACAGTGCCTTTAGTAGTAGCTGAAGAACAAGCGGATGAATGTCCGGATGATGATTCTTATGAGCAATAGGTGCTAGGTGTAGTGAAATATTGGCAACGACTACTAGGACATACAAACATTCAAGTTCAATTTCAGGTGCACAAAGTGCTCCAAGGGGATCACATTCAAGTCAAGTACAAAAACCATGTTTATGTCGTTTAGTGAGGCACAAGGAATTTTGAGTCCTGGCGTGAGCAGGATGAGCAAATAGATTGAGAGAAACTGAAAAGAAAGGCTAAAGTGATGTAGAACTAACTTGTTGATGCTATAGAATAGAACACGGCCAAAGTTGTTAGAAGATACTCCTTAAGCTTTTGGACTAAAAAAGAGAAATGGACATTCTTGCTGCTTGGGATGAAATGGAATCCAAGAAGTTTAGACAAATGTGCATGAGTGAATGCAATGCTTGATGCTCCAAGACCCTCTTGTGAGGGAAAGGAAAGGAGAATGATGGAAGAAGATGAAACTCTTAGGGATTGTTTGGCAAAGGAAGGAAGTGTAGAGGAAGGAAATGGAGAGGAATGAAGTGGGGAGGAAGGAAGTAGAGTGGAAATTCAACTTCCACTTGTTTGTTTGGTTGGAAGGAAATGGAATGGAATTTAACTTCCCTTCCATTTCACCCCAAAAGTGGGAGGAAATTTTTTAAAACTCAAATTCAATTGCTCTCTCATTTCTTCTCTATTTCCTTTCCTATTTCTCTTCAACCAAACAATGGAAGTTTTTCAATTTCCTTCACACTTCCCTCCAACCAAACATACCATTATAAAACCCTATTCAAAGGTGAACGCGGGTAGCTTATTTACTGTTCATTTGGATTCTGAAATGACTTTTAGGAGTCATTTTTGGATTTCCTTGTGTTTGGTAAGCAGTGAAATATGAGTCAAAGAAAAAAGACTTTCAAATCCAATGGAAAATCAATCCAAAAATTAGGAAAACAAATCCTTAAAATTTTTCACAGGAATCATTTTACGGATTTGTTGAACCACTCCCTGACCTAGCCACTAACTGACATTAACGTCCACCTTATCACTTTCCTCCGATCACTAGCAACTTCTAATTGCTGTCTGGTGCCTTAGTAATTGACATCCACCAACACTGGTTGGTCACGCGCAACCTTAGAACCCAAGGCCCTAAGCCACCAATGCTAACATCCACTCCACCTCCGGCAATCGGTCACCAGTGATTGCCAATCGCCAGCTGATCACTGTCCCACCTGCCACCCAGGAGCATTTGTGAAAGTAGTGACATTATTTTCTAGACTGAAAAATTATGCGAGTGGTTTAATTGCACAAAAACAAGCACAACACTGGGAGGAAAGTAAAATCATAGAGAGGATGTTTCACATTTAGTGCTATTTGAATTAGTCTGCTATCTACCTGATGCTAAAACATTGTCGAGAATGACTCTTTTAGCTCCTTTGGTGATGAGATGAATGCTCTAACTTCTAAGACCATCATCAGCATCAAAGTTTATTTCCAAATGCATCATCAATCTCCCCTATGGAGTATTCCCCATACCATTAATCCCCTTGGCGAGCTTGTCAATCGCAATCAATGTGGAAAACACTTTGAGGATTTTATAGACAACTTGATCAATTTGGACAACACATTGAGGGACCAATAGGTAGATTTATTTGGAGTTTTGGATGACATCCTACACTTGTATGCCATATCCCTTGGTCAAAGACTCAAAGCCATCCATGTGCCTGTATAATTCTCCTCTTAAGTTTCAGTTACCAATCCCCCCCCCCAAATAATGCCATTTATCCAAATCCTGTCACAAATTACCATAAGTTTCAATTTCATGACATTTTTACCTTTTCTATAACAGGATATTTTCGAGTCCATGGGGCAGTTTGTTGATGGGCTGAAGTTCAGTGGTGGATCTCACAGCATGATGCCAAAGACATACATCAGAGAAATAAGTGACCTGGCACATAAGCACAATGTATATGTTAGCAGTGGCGATTGCATTGAGAATCTTCTTCATAAAGGTCCTTCAAATCTTGATGAATACATNGCCATTTATCCAAATCCTGTCACAAATTACCATAAGTTTCAATTTCATGACATTTTTACCTTTTCTATAACAGGATATTTTCGAGTCCATGGGGCAGTTTGTTGATGGGCTGAAGTTCAGTGGTGGATCTCACAGCATGATGCCAAAGACATACATCAGAGAAATAAGTGACCTGGCACATAAGCACAATGTATATGTTAGCAGTGGCGATTGCATTGAGAATCTTCTTCATAAAGGTCCTTCAAATCTTGATGAATACATTAAGGTACATAGGGAAGATGGATATTTATTTTCTTTTTCAAATGCAAACTACTACTCCCTCCGTCCACAAATAAACTTTACATTGCGCGTTACGATGTTTGACTAAAGTTATTTTCAAATCATTTTATATGAAAAATGGTGTAGAATTGAAAAATAAAAATTACATATTAAAAAACTATATCAAAAGATCTACAAAACTAGAGGTGACATGACTATATTATTTTATCAAATGGGTGACGAAAATAGGGCAACAAAGTGAATAAAGTTTGACCCTGTGAATAGTGAACGTAAAGTTTGTTTGTGGACGGAGGGAGTATATTATTAACACTTATGAGTTATTTGTAATGATGTTCTGCTAGGAATGCAAGCAATTGGGGTTTGATATCATTGAGATTGACTTCACATCCTTAGGTCTTCCGGAGGAAATTCTTTTGAGATATGTGCGGTTGATTAAAAGTGGGGGGCTTCAAGTTAGGCCTCAGTTTTCTCTCAAGTTCAACAAGTCTGACATGCCCTCGAGCGGCAATAGGGCTTTTGGTGCTTATGTTGTTCCAAGACCTCGAAGTTCAGGTGAGCTAACAAAAAAATGTTGAAATGAAGCACAAGGTTTTCTGACATAGAGATAGTTTGAGATTTTTTTTCAGCAATCGTGATTCCTGTAAACAAAAGTAACTGGAAGAAGTTTCTAGCATAATTACTTAGAGAAGTTGATTTATTCTCTAATCACAACAATTTGTTTTCAATTTTTACAAAAAATAAAAGTAAAACCTAGAGGAATAGGTCAGAGGATAACACATCAAAGCTGAAGATCAAATTTTATGGTACATCTGTCCTAAAATGAAGAGTCCGGCTATGAACTTCTATCCTAAAAAAGAGTCATATATCATTGAATTCCATGTAAATTTCTGAATCAAAAGGTCCCAAGCAAGTAAACTATGATGATTTTTTTTTTTAAAATATCAAATAAATTTCTAAATGTAAGTAAGAGTTGTATAATCTGAAAGAGTGTTACCTTTCCAAAAATAAAAAAGGTTCTGCCTTAAATAAAAGAATTTCTTTTTCCTTTTTGTTGAGGAAGGAGTTAACAGTAATAAGTATAGTTGAAGTGTGGTGTTTTTTAACCTTTTCATTAAATTTTGGAATTATTTCATGCAGACTATATTGAAGATGTGGACCTCTTGGTTAGGATGGCAGAGAGATGCTTAGACGTTGGGGCAGACATGATAATGATAGATGCAGATGAACTATGCAGGCACCCTGGCTCTGTCCGGGCAGACGTGATTGCAAAAATCATTGGTCGTCTTGGTCTTGCAAAAACAATGTTTGAAGCATCGAGTCCTCAAATCTCAGAGTGGTTTGTGAAACAGTACGGCCCCAAGGTAATTAATTCAGGTTTCTAAATTGAATCCTCTACTTAGAGCCGAGTTTTGTTAGGCCTAACATGGATAGTGGCTGAAATTCTGGCTGAAATGACTGAATATGCTCAAAATGTGAAATTATAGGACATTTAGGGCCTGTTCTTTAGAGCTTGAACTCTTAACTTCCAGTTCCTTACAATTTTTTCCAGTTTCTTCCAGTTTTTTCTAGTTTTTTCCAGTTTCTTATTTTCTTCAAATTCTTTCTACTTTCTAACAAATCACTCTAAAAATATATATATTATTATTATTATTACAACTTTTATGTTCATAACTATAGTTTATAAATTATTTCATTTTTTCATCTCACTATTTTTATGATTCACATTCATTCTTCCAGTATCTTCAACTTTTTAATATGCATAATACCATTTTTTGCATATTAATCTACATGAAAAATTAGGAAACTATTTAAAAAATTATGGATAAATAGTTATATAGAATATTTTTTAATCTAAATTTATATAAGGTAAATTACATTTAAGGGACTGAAAGAATAATATTATGAAAACCAAGAGAAAACTACATTTTGAAAAAGAAGAAAATGACCCAAGAAGTTTAATATTTATGCTAATTTTATATTCTAATTATTTTTTTAAACTAGCTTTTTATATATGAAAAATAATACTCGTAATATTTTTTATCTTAAAGATAATCATTAAGATAACATGATAACACCACCACTACCACCACCATCACCAACAACAACAAAAATAATAATAATAATAATAATTTATAACAACAAGAATCAGAATGAGAATAGTATAAAACCAAACATAATTTTTTTAAAAAAAAGTTTTTTAAGATTTTTCAATTTTTTCTAGTTTTTTTAGTTTCTTTTAATTTTTTTCAGTTTTTCCAATTACTTCCAGTTTCTTCCAATTTCTTCCAACATCCAGTTCTTTTTTTCCAGTCCTAAAGAACAGGCCCTTAAAATATATATTTTTCAAATAAATCGAAGAAAATAAGATCTATTTTTTATGACTAAAGAAAGAACAATACTTCCTCTACTTAAATAAAAGCAACGTATGAAAATTTTGCACTATTCATTTATTCTCTTTTGATTTTCTTTTGTGATGCATACAGAAAGAAAAATATAGTTATGTGGTATCTTGCTAGACTCGTTTGATATAACTTTGTAACATCAACTTTTTATTATTATATAATGGTTTACTTTATGCATTGGCATAGGTGTAAATCTTGATGTTGCATGTATTTAAGAACAGAGGAAGTATGAAATAACAAAATATTTAGAGCTTATTCTTTAGGATTGGAAAAAAAAAGAATGGGAAGAAACTAAAAAAATTGGAAAAAGTTAAAAAGGAACATTAAAAACTTATTTAAGTGTATTTTTCATATAATTCTTATTGTTGTTGTTGTTGTTGTTAAGCAAACTATATCACATATCAAGATTTACTTATTCAAGGAAAATAATTAATATGTATATGTTGAATGTATATTATTATTCGAATAATGAATATAATAATAATAATACTAATACTAATAATAAAATAATAATAAGAAGCCACAACTAGCAATGGGATTTTCACAATCATGAACAATAGAATAAAAATAAGAGTAGTCGTTAGTGGAGCCACAAAAAACATCCGCCACGTTCGTGCAATCTGATTCCAGCATGACCTTTGGTCAACTCTTCAATTTAATCCACTTAAGAGCCGCTCTAGCACACAAGCTTCCTCTCTCGGTGATACTTGAAGCTCCAAGGAATTTTTGTTTAACATCTCGTGCAAGAAATCCAAAGCCAACCATGTCATCCACAAGACCTGTAGAAGCATCAACATTAATCTTTACCCACCCCCCTTGGAGGCAGGCTCCACGTCACCGCTTCTTCGTTCCTGTTCACCATCCACGCCTGTCAACTCCCACCAATTTATTCAAAGCTTTTTTTGCTTTTGTCCAAGCCGGCATAGCATTCATATGCTCTCCTCTCCACACTTTGTTCTTTCGGACTTTTGGTTTGCCCATATAATATATAAAATCTTTGTTTGGTCTTCGGGAGTGTAGAATTGAAGTGCTGCGAGCATCCATTCAGCAAATGAACATAATGGCGGTGCAAACCACTCCAGATCTGAAGCTCTCCAAACCAGTTTAGCGAAGAGGCATTGAACTAGTACGTAATAAACAGATTCCTCTTGATCATCACAGATAGGACAAACATTACGCAAAGGCAGGCCTCTCCCAACCAAATTACTCATACATGGGAGGACATTATTTAATGCCCTCCAAGCAAAATTGTTCACATTAGGTTGAGCTTTAGTACTCCAGAATTTTTTCCACAAAAGCCGTTCTCAATATTTACTGATCTCCCCCACGTCAAATGTCTTTAGGCACTTTGAACCGAATATTTACCTGACTTCTCATAACTCATAAGCCCAGACAAGACTATCCTCCATCACCGATAAAGAAATAGGGATCACTTCAATTAAACGCTTATCACGGACATTAAGAATATCATCAATCTTTTCCCAATCCCACCGTTCATTGCGAATAAGATCTGAAACCATCACTCCTCTGTGGATTGGGAGTAGTCACCCAATCAAGGATCTTCCCAAATTAACCCCAAAATAACAGGCTCGTAAAAATGAAGGTTCAAAAGCAAGGCGTGTGACCAAAACTAGCACCATAATCTCATATTCTCATCCTAAACTCACTTTTCGGCTGTAATTTTCAGGTGAACCTCTTCGTGGACCATTCTCAAGTGATGGATTTGGAATGCCTCAGGGGACGAAACCTTGGTAAAAATCACACCTCCATTTTGGGTTCATCATATTCCCTCCTCTGATCTAGCCTCAGGCATGAAGAATGTGCATCTCTTTGGGTGGGCTAATTTGTAATGGTGTGTGCTTTGATCTTCTAAAAAACTGTGTAACTTTGCATGTTCTTGCTTCACTGTGTTCTCTGTAATAAAGGTGTTTCGTTATTGTGACTTTCTCCTGTATAAACTGATGGTGATTTTATGAGACTTTCATCAAACTTGCCTAATTCTACACATAAATTTCCCCATAAAGATCAAGTACTGAATATTTCTTAATTACTAGGAGGATGTGTGATTAGAAAACCTGAAAAACTCATTGAATTGAATTGATTAAATTACTTAATTGCACCACATCCCCTAATCAAAATGCTTATGATTTTTCCAATTCAATTTGATGTGGTCAACTGGTCATATTAAATGTGCATTAATCCTTGTTCACATCTGAAGAATCTCACCATATTTGGAAGGATCTCTTATTTCTCTACCAAAACAACAAATGAAACAAAAAATTTATGACCTGCTGCCAAAAATGGAAAAATGGTTAAAACCATGGTAAAAACTTTCCCATCCATAAAGTTAAAAAGGCAAAAGCAGATTGGATAGGAGTGGAGAAAGAAGATGCCTGCAGCAGTCTGGTTTGTTCTGAAGAGGTCATTCCACTGTAAATTTTCAAGAGGAGATGCCCATGATCCAAACACAAGTGGTAAAAAACCCACTCCAAGAAGAAGAAGAGCAGCCGCTGCCGCCGCCGCCGCCGCAAGGAAGGTGAAAAACAGGTCTGGTTATTCAAAGCCAAATAACCTGCAAGTCTTTCCCAAGAAATATGCAGCAAGTTCTGAATTTGTGACTCAAAATCCTCCTCTGAAGAAGAGATTGGGGGCACATGTGAGAGGAGGAAGAAGCCAATGGAGTGGGACCCCAAGCAGGAAAGGGATAAAATCCAATGGGAAATTGAGAGGTTTGATTTGTCACACATGTGGTGAGATGCTCTCTGATATGGAAGCTATGGAATCCCATCATCTCTCCAAGCATGCTGGTCAGTGTTTACCTTATAATTAAATCCTTTTTTTATAGGACTATAAATAAATATGAGTTACTCCTTTCATAATTAATTGATTTTTAAATTTGATTTTGGGAGCAAAGTATATGGTACATCCGGATGTACCTTTTTCTTGCTACATGATGGCAAACTTGTTTACCTTCGTCTCTGAGTATTTGTCCAGTTTTGACTTTTTTCAGTCAACCGTTTTTAACCTTTGATCCATAATTAAATAAAATATATATTGTATATTAATTAGATAAGATATTATTTTGAAAAGATCTCATATAATAAATCTAATAAAACTATTCTTGTATTAATATCTAATACATTTTTATTTAATTTGGAGTCAAAGTTAACCAGTTTTGATTGAAAAAATCAAAAGGTGGACAAATATTCATGACATAGGGAGTAATTAAAGAAGTATTCATGAACAAATAATATGTTATTTCAAAATGAATATTACTATTGAAAATGCATATTCTGTTATTGGAAATGAATATTCAACTCATGCAGATCAATGATTTTAAAATCGGACCGAACCGGCCGGTCTAACCGGTCAGGCCGCGAACCGGTGAGCTTTCCGGTCCGGTCCAATATCAAAACCCAGTTTCCTTTTGAAACGCTGGAAACCGACCGACCCGGAAAAACCGCTGACCCGGGCCGACCCATTGACCCATCGTCTTTACTTAGCTTGAGAATTAAAAATAGAGACTAAGATGGGTTTCGAACCCGAATGTCAAAGGTTGGCAGGAAGAGATAATCCACTTGTGCAACCGACACTTTTGTTTACAATGATGCACTATTTTATATATTACCTAAGACTATGTAGAGAAAGAACTACATAATCAATTTTATATATCATTTAAAAGACTTCAAATGAATAAAAAAGAACTATGTTGATATAATATATTTGTTTTATCAACTTTTAAACTTTAATATGCTACATTTCGTTTTTAATTACTGAAATATAAACTTTATAATGTCAATAATACAGAAGAACACATTATGTAGTTTATTCATTTTTGAAAATATGAGTATTATTTTTTTCTATTTTTGTATTTATTACACATTCAATCTAAACTTTTAATAAAAATAGAAATTAAAGTATTAAATTTTATATTCACAATGATATTAATTGAAAATATCTACTCCCTCCGTCCTATAATGATCTTCTCAGAACACTATTCCAACTTCACGGAATTTATATTTATTTGTGTTTTTTCATGGCCTATATGATAAAATAAAATATTTTTGTCACCACTTGTTTTGTTGAACTTTTGATGTAGTTTTTAAATATGTATATTTTATTTTTTATTTCTATACCAATATTTAAATAAAATAGATTAAAAAAACTTGGGATTTTTCTTTGTTTTGCGAACCGGGAAGATCATTATAAGACGGATGGAGTAATAATATACATATATAAATAAATATATTAATTATATTTGACCGGTTCGTTGACTCCCGGGTTGACCGGTTCGACCGGTCCGAGTCGATGGCCGGTCCGGTTTTCAAAACATTGACGGAGATGGTATCCATTTCTTTGGTGTCAATCACCTTTGATTCCATTGCGACAGTTACAGAGCTGGTCAAAGGAGACTGGTCGAGAAACATCATAGAAATCATCTGCACAAGAAGATCCAACCATAGTAAACATGCGACGCTGATTCATAGGGTGCTGAAAGTGCACAACACCCAGAGAAGGCTCGCCGAGTTCGAGGACTACCGGGAAACGGTGAAGGCCAGATCCGACAAGCTCCCCAGAAAACACGCCCGCTGTCTGGCCGACGGCAACGAGCGGCTGGGGTTCCACGGCGCCGCCGTGGAATGCGATTTGGGCGATTCTTCCTCGGGGGGCTCGTGCGAATCGAGCAGGTGCGGGGTTTGCCGGATTCTGAGACAGGGGTTCGCGATCAACGGCGGCGCCGCCGGGGTGGCGGCGGCATCCACGAGCGGCGGAGCGCTGGAGGGGGTAAAAGTGGGGGAGGGGAGGCGGAAGGCTGTGATGGTGTGCAGGGTGATTGCGGGGAGAGTTCACAGGGCGATAGAGAGTGTTGAAGAGATTGGGTGTGGGAAGTCATTAGGGTTTGATTCTCTGTCTGCTGGTTTGAAAACCTCTACTTGCAGTCTTGTTCTTGAAGATGATGAAGAAGAAGAAGACCTAATTTTACTCAGCCCCAAGGCTTTGCTTCCTTGCTTCATTGTCATTTACAATGCTGCTGCGTAGTAAATGATGAATTCACAAGAGAACATATACATTTTGGAATTCGGAACTAAACTTGGTTTTGAAGAGAGAAAAAAAAAAGATGTGAGAGGAGGTAAATTGAATTTTGATGGCTAATTGGTTGCGGCTATATATGCAGAAGCCATATGTTACTTGTCTCTAGTGTTCCAAGAGTCGAAAGGGAGAAGATGTGAGTTTTTGAGAATTGAAAATAAGAGAATAAATTTGTATATAAATTGTGTCTTCATTGGTAAATGACATCAAAAGTTCAGTCACCCACTACTTATCTTTGTTCAATTTGACTTTGATTATGAGTTATATAAAATTTGGTAATGAAGACTAACAAAAGAATAATTTCATTGGACTCATCATGCAAAAGGCTTTCAAAAAGTTATTTTTTGTATTAATATGTAATGTAATTGCACAAATGCACTACACCATAGAGAGTGTCATGTAACAAGATGGAGACCAAAAAAACTACATGTAATTGCTCTAAGTTTAAAATAGACCGGATAAATTTGGCCCATTTTTTAGATTTTCAAACGTGTAATTTGAATCAAATATAAAATTGAAATCCTAATTTAAATTTCTAAACATACCATTACATAAATGAATACAAGTTCATAGATTTGTTTATACTCCATAATACACAAATAAATGCATGAACATTAATGCACAAACTAGTAACAAGTATTTCGTTTCAAATCTTGCATTTGAATTTCAAAATTTGAATCATTGAGTTTAATAGGACAATGGGATGTATTTAAATTTTTATAGCCATATCACCATATTTTCATGAGAACAATCCTAGAATCACAAACAAATATGGAATAGTTTACAAAATTCACAAACTTGTCTTTTGTGCATTTTAAATTAAAAATATCTTTTATTATTTGAGTGCATCTTATTTGTAAGAAAATGTTAAAAAGATAAGTTTGTGAATTTTGTGAATTATTTGTCTGCGACTCTAGCATTACTCTTCTCATCATCATTATTAATTACGGAATGCTCTCTCTGTTTCTTAAAGTCTTTCTCTTTATTTTTTATTTTTGTCTGAAAATATCTTTCTCATTTCTATTAAAAATTACTTTTACCTTACTAAATTTTATTTATTCTCCCATACTTTTTATAAAAAAAAAATAAAAAATTAGGAACGAAGGAAGTATGTCTTTTATTTAATTTATTTTCCTCTCCATTTCGAAAATAAAATAAACTCTATCATAATTAATATATAGTAAATAGGGAGATATCTCAACAATTTATGACTTATTCTCAGAAAAAAGACTAAACTAAAAGTAAAACATAAAAAATATAATAAAATAAGAATTCTTTATTTTTATTTTCAAAATAGGAGTTACGTTGCAAATATAACGCTAATCATGTCAGCGGAAGAAAACAAGCTCTTAATTTTTATAAAAATTTTATTCTAAAAGCTAAAACTAATAGTTGATCCCTCCTATTCACATAATCTATACTATATATAAAAAGAGATGAATTTTTTCTCGCCCAAATATAAGAGTAATATATGGAAATGTTGTGCGTTTTATTCATTATATGTATGTGTATGGATTAAATTTAGTAAGCATTAATTAATACTCCATAATTAATGGTAAATGGAATATATTAAGGGGAACTTTTTATGAGCATTAAAAATGGAGAATTTCGTAGAAGTACTAATACGTAGTAATTAATTGTTTATTTATGGCAATGGAGAATTTCGTATGAGCATTGAAAATGTTTCTATTTTTATTTAAATACATCAAAATGTTTTTAATAACAACGAAATAATAATATGTTTCCGTTTTTATTTAAATGCTATTCCAATTAATGGTAAGTTGTAAATGGGAATATGTTTCCATTTTTATTAAAAAAATTATGTTTTCGTATGAGCACTAAAAATGTTTTTATTTTTATTTAAATACATTAATATGTTTTGGACTCATGTGCGTCGTCTGCATGCGACGGAGATGCGGATGTTGTGATGGATGTGTAGGAAGACAAGGTTGGATAGGATTTCGAACGAAGTTATCCGACGTCAGGTAGGCATGGCACCGGTGGATGATAAGTTGCGGGAAGCGAGGTTGAGATGGTTTGGTCATGTGAGACAGCGGGATGCTGACGCCCATCTACGGAGATGCGAGAGGATTACAGTTATCGGGGGGAAGTAGAGGAAGAGGTAGACCTAGGAAGAATTAGAGGGAGGTGATTAGGCAGGATTTAAGACTTCTCACCCTGACTGAGGATATGACCTTAGATTGGAACCTTTGGAGAACTAGAATTAGAGTAGCTGGATAGGAGCTCGGTTCTGTAGAGGTTGTTTGTAGTATGTTGTGTTTGTTTGGAATCTTTTGCTATTGTTTGTACTTGTTGCTTGTATTTGGCTCTTTACCCGTGTTATACTGTGTTCCTTCCATATTTTTGTGCAGGTTGAGCCGGGGGTCTCTTGGAAACAACCTCCCTACTTCCGAGTAAGGGCAAAGTCTGCGTACACACACTCTTTCCAGACCCTACTGTAGTAGAATTCAACTAGGAAGTTGTTGTTTACATTAATATGTTTTGTTTAAATTGTATCGAAAATTGTAATTCAAAAAGGTGAATATGTTTCTATTTTTATTTAAATTGTACGCAGTTAATGGTAAGTGTTGCTATGATAATTTTGGATTCTATTAATTAATAATTAATGGTAAAGGGGAATGTGTTTCCATTTTTATTAAAAATTTACTGTTTTCGTATTAACATTAAAAAAGTTTCCATATTTATTTAAATACGTTAATTATTTTTTTAATAATAACCAAAATAGTAGATGGGAAAGAGGAACACGTTTCTTAATTAATGGTAAGTGTTGCTACGCCAATTTTCGTTTCTATTGATTAATAATTAATGGTTAATGGAAACATGTTTCCATTTTTATTTAAAAAAAGGGAGATGCTAGGGGTACACCAAAAGGTGTACCCCATTTGTACACCACCCCCTCCATAACCACTCATTTATTTTTTTCTTTTTATTTACTTAATTTTTTAAAAATTTCTTGCCTATTTAAGTGGTAATGGAGGGGGTGTGGGACAAATGGGATACACCTTTGGTGTACCCCTAGCATTTTCCTTAAAAAAATATTGTTTTCATATGAGCATTAAAAATGTTTCCATTTTTTATTTAAATACATTAATTTTTTACTTTAATATTTTTTAATAATAATGAAAAGAGTTGAGGGGAAAGGAGATATGTTTATAAATTTTTCCTACTATAAATATGGATATTCTCAAACTCTTTTTGTAATTACCATCTTTGATATGGGTTTTGAGCTTTTAAGTTCTTATTATATTAAGTTCATATAAGGCATGTTTGGGAATAGTGTTATTGATTAGCGCTAGCGCATTTGAAAAGACTATCAACGCTTAGCATTTAGTTTTAGCGTTTTCAAAGTCAATCTGTACCGTTAAAGTTTTATCTAAAACACTAACGCTAATCTCTAACGCTATTCCTAAATAAACGCATATTATGTACTTCATCCCGAAAAGATGTTCCTATTTTATTGTTTGTGCATTCCTTAAAACATTTCTATTTGTCCTCAAAATGAAAAAAAACAACACAATTAACTTTGAACAAATTTTTTAACCGGAGTTTTGATTAATGTTATTTTACTTTTAGTCATTGACAATTGTATATTGTAATTTCAAGAGTAATAAATCATAATGACTTGAAGATTCTGATGTGCAACAAAGACAATATTTTCATAAATTTATACGAGTAATGTGAATTATAAAATAGTCTTTCAAATATTGTGAATCATTTAACTTTTACAACTTAAAATAATGAAATCTCTATATTCCATTATATACTACTCTCTCCGTTCTATAATGATCTTCCCGGTTCGCAAAAACGAAGAAGAATCCCAAGTTTTTTCAATCTATTTTATTTAAATATTGGTATAGAAATAAAAAATAAAACATACATATTTAAAAACTACACCAAAAGTTCAACAAAACAAGTGGTGACAAAAATATTTTATTTTATCATATAGGTCATAAAAAAACACAAATAAATATAATATCCCATGAAGTTGGAATAGTGCTCTGAGAAGATCATTATAGGACGGAGGGAGTAATTTGTAACATTCAAAAATGACGTTTATACATGATATAATTTAGTAAGTTAAATATGACTTGTGCATAGTAGTTTTAAAAGAAAAAAAAGGGTTTGGTCGAAGAGCCTGTTTGGGAATAACTTTAGCTATTAGCGTTAGCGTTTTGAAAAGGCTATGACCCCGTTTGGCATCAGCGTCAGAGATTAGCGTTAGCGTTTTGAAAAAGCTATCCGACGGTAGCCTTTAGCGTTAGTGTTTTCAGAATTAATCTGCACTGTCAAAATTTTATCCAAAACGCTAACACTAATCGAAAACGTTGTTACCAAACAAAGCCTATATACGGGCAGCGTTTAGGGTTAGCGTTTTCAAAGTAATGAAAAAACCTAAACGGTATTCCCAAACACGCTTGGAGTGTGAAACCAAAATCCACGATCATCTCGTACTTTTACCATTAAAGTGCGACTGGTTCAGGTTGGGGGAAGAAGTTGCCGCTGCTCTGTTCGCCGCCACCGCAAAAACCCTTTCCCTCTCCCGATCGAATGAGTTTATAAAGATTCATTTTTTTTCTCGCCCGACACTTTGATTTCTAGGCATTGAAAAGAGATTCTTCTTTCGATTGGGATCGGGAAGGGATCGACAGGGATAATGTCGAAGAAGAAAGCAACGATGACCTTGAGGGACTTCCATGGCGGTTCTATCCCTTCCGATCTCCCCCTCCCATCTGCTCCTGGCGTGTATGTGTTTCTTATGTTCTTTTACCTGCTGTATATCTCTTGCGTTTTTTTACAAATTTGTTGCGGATTTGTATATGTGGGTTTATGTGATCGTTTGTAACGAAGATGAAAATCCCGATCTAAATCAACAACTATGTTCTTTCCATTTCTAGATTTTGATCTCCTGCGAACATGTCTTTGAATCCTCATATTATAGCCTCTATTCAAAATGGCTCTAAGTTTCCCGGCTTCCTGAATTGCTGTCGATTAGAAATGTTTATGGGTGATTCTCAGCCAAATTCTAATTTTGTATTATTAGGTCTCCAGCCAAATCATTCAGTAGTATATATGTTGGTGTCCGCTTAGTTTTGTCAGGATTCTTTGTATAATACTATCTGTTTTGGACTTGTGATGCAATAATCTCTTGCAGTTTGCTCATATAGTGCTCTCATCATGCCACCATTTGAGGATTTAGGAAATCAGTGTTTTTTATAGATCATGTTTGGTTACTACTTTTCGTGGAAGATACAAAGTGGGAGTTTACTCCCTCCATCTCGCAGCCAATACTTTTTTTTTTCTTTTCAATGGAAAGTCGACTCAATGTATTTGGAAACAATGGATTTCAAATATAGAGATGACAGACATGATTTAGATTCTAGAGACTGCGTCAATTTTCTCTTGGAATTTTTTTGCAAGTAACAATTTAACACTTTCTAGAGCTTTTGGTGAAACATTGACGTGGATGACTGTGATTTGACATTTGGCAGAAGTGCGAGGCCATTAGATCGCCAGATGTATTGGGGGACCAATGCAGGAAGGATTGATCAAAAACTGCGTCCCGGATCAGCAGGAGCGTCCCGGAACTTTGATGAAAAGGCTCTGTTCCTGAATCATAGTGCTCACATAGGCCGAAATTTTGAAGAGGATGAGAGGAAGCCGTTGGATGGGATGCCAGGTGCCCCCCGCCGGATGATTAGTGATGAGAGCATTTATGCTCAACCAAGCCGCGTTGAACCCAAGAGCAGACCAGTTTCAGCACCACTGTCTCAAACTTCAAGCAGTTCATCTGGCAGCTCTTATGCATCAAGATTTTCTGAAGTTAATAACATTAGAAATCCACAAACTTCAAGTGGAACTAGTCGTGTAAATACAAGTTCTACAAATGCTTGGGGGTTAGGGAAAGAGGCGATGAGCATAAAGGAATCATCAGCTACCACTGGATGGTCCACTCTGGATACTGCATCTAAATTGGTCCATGCCAGTGCACTTGACAAGATCTCATCCGGTAGGTGGAATTCAAAACAACATATGAGTTTTCCAACAGAAACCAAGGAGTCATATTACAGGGGCGATGGAATGTATGATCGGAATTCCTGCAGTGTAACAGAAGTCCTTGATGAGATGCATCTTAGGAACAAGAATTTGGTGATTCATGCGGAAAGAAATCTGGCTATTGGTAATGGGATTCATAGTAATATGGAGTTGCCTTCACAGGAGAGAGTTCATTCACCTATAAGTATAGAGAGCCTTGAAAAAAGACCCTCGATTAATGTCCATGGGTTTCAGAAGTCTCATGGCGCTGACAAATTCAATGAATCCGAACCACGCTCATCAGTGGCTTCTGAATCATCGGAGAGGCCCAAATTAAAACTTCTTCCTAGATCTAAGCCTCTAGAAAATAATGCACCAGCCGTATTGGTAATTCATTTGGAATTTAATATCTTTGTATTTCTAGGGTCTGTTTGGATGTAGGTTTTTGGTGGGATTTGGGGAAAAGCGTTGGAGGAGTATGTGATTGTATAACTAATTAATCATCTTATTGTTTTCTGAGACATTCTATTCATCAAGATAGACTATGTTCTCCTTTCCCCTGCACACCCCCATAGAGTTGCATCTTATTCTTGTTTATTCTTCATATAGGGACATCAGCATAGTGATCCTATTCGTCTTGAATATGGTGGTGATATGACTGGATCAAGCAACCTTCCCAAAAATGACCTTGCTGGAGATGTGGGTGGGGACCGAGTTGAGCGCCCAAAACTGAACTTGAAACCTCGATCACAGACTCCTGAACAGTTGAACGAAAGTGAAGGCAAAAGGTCAACAAAGTATTTCTAGTTTTTTTTCAATGCTCCGTATAATTTCTCCAGATCAAATGCGAATCTTTGTCTTCTCTACACATGATTCACACATTTATGACTTGTGAGTACTGTATGACAATTTATTTTGCATTCTCTACTATTGTGTGCTTTATCTGCAGAAAAGAAGCCGACGTAGAGAGGTGTAGTATGCTAATTCACTTGTTTAACTCTTTTTTTTTGTGTATCACTGTGTGGACACTTGAGGAGTGAGTATTTTGATGTGTACCACATGCTTTATCTGCAGAAAAGAAGCCGACGTAGAGAGGTGTAGTATGCTAATTCACTTGTTTAACTCTTTTTTTCTGTGTATCACTGTGTGGACACTTGAAGAGTGAGTATTTTGATGTGTACCACATGCTTTGCTCTCATTTGGCTTTCTGATTGTCTAACACTCTTACCATTGGAACTCAGAATGCTTATTCCCCTTCAAGAAACCTATGTGACCAGAAAAAAATCAAGAGCTGCTGAATTCTTTTTACCGTGTGCATTACAATTTATCTTTCCATCGCTTTTGTCTATTGATGTAGTTTGAAATTCTAAGTTGAACATAACATTCTTCCATTTGAGTATTCAATCTTCTAAGCAATTTATGGGGTACTCTATTAAAGAAGGAATCATCTAACTGCGGCCTTATGGTGTTTGTGATTTGCTGTTGCAGGAGCACTGTATTTGGTGGTGCTCGCCCAAGAGAAGTGGTGAGTGTGCTTTCAGTTGATCTAGTTGCCCTTCATGCCGCAGCCCTCTAATGGGGGAATAATGATATGAATTTTACTACTGTCGTCATAATAGATTATTTAGTTAAATGCATAAAAAGTTCTTGTGGTCTTTAAGTTGGTAAATAGTCTTTGTACTTTCAAAGGTTACAAAATAGTCCCTATGGTCAAAGAATTGTTGCATAGATAGTCCTTCCTTTAGGTAAAACGTGAAGCGCGCAAAGCACACGCATACTATGTGAAAATGTGAAGCATGAAACGAAATAAAGAAGCTAATTTGTCAAAATTACCCTCGTCTTCGTGATTAAAAGCATGGAAAAATCTTCTTCCACTTCTTATAGCTCACGATATTACCTTAGAATAAAGCTAGAGGAAGAACAAAATTATGTTGACCTCATTTAGAACATTGTACTACTACTCAAGGTCAATTTGGAAAATATGAAAAATTTGCTTTGAGAATTGAACTAAGCAATAGAAGACATTGTACTACGGTTCAGGCTATAGCTTACACGTCACAATTAAAACTCCAGATCAATTTTTTTTATTGTTACATGCTTCACATCTTCGCTTAATATGCGTGTGTTCTACGTTCTTCACCTTTTCCTTTATGCAACGGTTCTTTGACCACATGGACTATTTCACAACTTTTAAAAGGTCGAGGACTATTTACCCACTTATTGAAGGTCACAAGGATTATATATACATATTACTTCCAATTCCACTTGCATGAAAAATGTGCTTTGTATTGCTTTATGTAACTGGATGTACCTACTATCTTAAACCAGGTTCTGAAGGCAAGGGGCTTTGATCATGCTGGTGACCATGACCATCAACCACTGTCCAGGTAAGGAAATTTGACGTGCCCTTGACTGTAAGGATATGTTTGGATCCTCAAAGATGCTAGAGGTAAATGAAAGAACTATAAAAAGTTAATTTCCCAAAGGAAACTTAAATGCTACTCCATACTATTATACATCAAATTCATATATATGTATATTTCTTTGTCTGGATATAATACGGAGTAGATATAAATAAAAGAGAATAAATTACGTAGTATTTCTTAAATAAATTTATTGAGTTTTTGCATATCTTTTATCTCCCTATCTTTCCCTAGTATATTCCAGGATCTTGACGGCCTCAAGTTTCATCATGGACTAAAAATAACTCCTGCAATTTCTCTTCTTTTCTTATGTCTCAAGGGACAAGCAAGATGCTACAGCACACCATACTACCCGTTATAACACAGAAAGGGCTGATAACACTGTTATCGCAAAGGATAATTATAGTAATAATAACAGGACCGTGAACACCGATAGCAGGCGGGACCCAAGATCAGATGTGCTCAGGAGAAACAGGCAGAGTGAGAATCCGAGGAACAACAGCAGCAGTGAGGAGAGGCCACCGTCACCAGAGACTTGGCGGCGAAAACCAGCCAATGATCCCCCATCATATTCCGGCGATGCTCCAGGAGGAGTGAGGTTTGGAAAGGTGGCATCTGCAGTTGAGCTAGCTACTGCTTTTTCTAGACCAGTCTCTGATCCATTGTCTCTCATCGACCGCTTTTCCGGCCAGAGAAACCTTCCCCCCACTGCTCGGCCCTTTTCTCGCTTGATGGGCCCGCCCGCTAGGCCTCAGGCCCAGATCAATAGTTACTAAACCTGGCAAGATTGACCATCTCAATCTATTTATATCAATCTATGTACACTCAATAGGGGGGAACCATCTCCTTCACGAGTACAAGCATGAAGATTCATTGATGAATACTTTATATGAGTCCTGCAACTGGAAAAAATTGAAGAGGGAAACAGAAGAAGAAGACGACGATGATGAAGAATGGCATTGTTTCTTCAATTCATTTTTTTAATCTGAGAATAAAGACAGAAAGGTTCTTTGGATTTCTCCATGAAATCGCTGCTCAATGACTTTGTTCATTTTTACTCTCTTTTTTTTGGGACAACTCTTTTTTGGTAGTTTTTTCTCGTACCGTGCATCTCATTTCTGACTATATTGCGTATATGTTTCGGTTACAAAACATCTTCTCATGGTCGGTCTTCCAAACGCCAACTGATGTGATGATGTCATGTTCCGGATGTTGAAGAAGAAGAAGAAGAAGAAAACTGCTATGTTGCTAATGTCATTGCTCCTTACAAACGTAAAAACAGTGCTGGATTGCTGGGCTTTCTGGTAAAGTTTGATAATCTTTTAAGTGTTGTAGCAATAGTTGTTTATAGTAACCCTGGACAACATAAGCATACTTTAACATTTCCAGATGGATATCTATTTTGTCTGAGAAAAAGATTCTTTCAGTCCATATATCCGTGTTTTTATTATGATGTAGTATCCGTTTATATATTATTTTTTTTGTCAATTTATTGTTGCACAATAAGTTATTGCTCTTATTTGAGTTCGAAAACGTGACCCCTTATGAATATGCGCTTCTTAATTTAGAAATATAAGGGTGTTTTTTCATCGGAAAAACTTTTCAATTTTTCTGTTTATTCAAATTACATTTCTTATTCTTTTTAGGAAATACATTGAGTTTTACACATTGCTTTGCTTCTGCATAAATTGCAATCAAATAACGTTTTTTTAATTCGTGAAAAAACAAGAGAAAAGTTTAATTCAGGATGGTTGAAATTAACTATACATTTATTTACCAATTTGAGACTTAACATTTAATTTGCTGAGTCCATTGCATCATATGGTAGTTTACCCTACCCCTAAAGGGGTCACGAGTTACCAAAGGCAAAATAACAGAAATAACAAATTTCCACTACTCCTAAACTATAAAGAAGAAACGGTTGGGTCTTTGATGAAATGTACCATCCTTTTTGGAATATATTAGATCATTCTTTCCATTATTAACCATACAATTTTTTTACTTTTTCAAAAAGTGTGTCCAATCAAACTCGAAAATGTAAAATGAGATGAAGAGAATAATTTCAATAATTAAGTTCATTGATAGCGGGGAAAATAATTCTTGGTCACAATTTATGACTCTTTTCTATAATAATGATAATTGTAGGCTCTTTAGGGGCTACATATAATTGTTTTCTACTCATTTCGCTACTAAAGAATTTTTTTTACTTGGTTGTTAATAATATTTCCAAGTTCCAATAAATGAAAAAATAAAAATTAAATCTTGTAAATAAATTTAAAAAAGAAACATATTTTAATATATACATTGATTGTGCATATTATAATATCTGTATTTACGAGTTATATAATACTTGGTATATATTTGTTGTATATAATTAAGTCCGGTATAATTTACACACATTCGGCCTAGAAATGAGCCTTGTCTCTCTCTCTCAAGGCACAAAAAACATTGAGTTGAATGGAAGAATAGCCAACAAACTCTAACAAGAAGATTCTCACCTCTCAATTATGATTTCCCTAAAATTCAAAGAATAAAATGCATGTGTTTATTGTGACCCCATTTTTGTAAAAATATCCGCGGCCTAACTCTATTTAGGTTTCATTTACTACATCTACTATTTCTATAAAAAAGAATATCAAATCTCTTTCAAAATAATTTATTTACAAATTATTATAGAAATAAAAAGTACAATTTACACACTGAATAATTGTCATGAAAGTACAAAAGAAACTAAGTGATAACAAGTTTATTTTATCTTATCAAATGAGCAATAAAAATGTGCATGCAAACAAAAGTTATTAGCAATCTAAAATGGGACAGAGACATGGCTCCACAATACATACATAAATAGAAATGTAGTCATGTAGGATTTCTTTAAATTTGTAGAAATAACATAATTATGACACCTTGATTTATAAAGTATTTGATGCAAATTTTAAATGTATAAAATTGCATTTAAAATTTTGTATTATTAATTAAATAAATTAAATTGAAAATGAATTCAATCAATCATCATAACTTGTTTTGTGACTAGTTATGAGACTGAAGAGTAATATTTATTAAAACATAATTAAAGATATCAATGATTTACTTTATGATAACCAACCTGAAAATTTTGATGTTTGTATTCATTTAAGACCAAAGGAAATATTTTTTTTTTCTTGATCCACCTTCATTCAAAAATGTAGGGGAGCCCTACTCAGCTCCTACCCTACACTGAGTGGGAGTGACACTTATAAATGCCACATTTCCCTCCCATAACTCAAAACCATTGCCCTTTCTAAACAAACACTAATTTGCCCTTTCTACACTTGAGAAAAGGAAGGAAAAAAAATGATAGTTGACAGCCTCCAAAGAGAACTCTCAGCTGATTTCTGCATCACTGAGGAAATAAGCTGTGGGAAAAAGAGAGATGGTAGATCAATGGAGAGGAAGAAAAAATGCCCACAAGTCCAAGACGACGGCGAGTTCAAATCCAAAAACCTCATTGCCGAGAGGAGGCGTCGCGAGAAGCTTAGCCGACGTCTCTTAGAGCTCCGAGCATCCGTTCCCAACATAACAAATGTAATCACCACAACAACATCAACAAAAAAACGCTTTTTTTGTCAAGAACAAAAAAAACACATTTTTATGAGTATGTATGTCTTAAAGAACCAAATCAACCAAAAATTCAAACCTGCAGTTCAAGGCTCGGGAATGTTTTTATATTGCGCCTAAGAGTGTGAAATATGGTAAAATGTGATTGTGATGGGAAAGATGATTGTTTCTTGAATTGCAGATGACGAAAGAGACGATAATAACGGATGCAATAAGCTACATTGAGGAGCTGCAGAGCAATGTGAAAGAGCTGAGCAATGAGCTTTTGGAAATGGGATCATCAAATTGTGGTGGGGTGGATGATGATGATGATGATGATGTGAAACCAGGTGAGATGGGAGATTATAATCATCACAAGAACAATAATTATGATAAAGAAGAAGAAGAAGATATGAAGATTTGTGAGATTGAGGTAAAAAAAATGTGTTCTTTGCACCAGCAAATTTGGGGCAATGGTTTAGGCCTCCATTGAGGCAACATATAAGTCTAGTGTCAAGAATGATAATGGGTTGGGTTTGGATAGGGTGGGGCATGACTCTCATTCATCCATTCACTCTTCATCCCTCACCCGTTACATACATTATTTTATCCATCTATATATCATCTGCGGGTAATACGAGTAAAACGCAAATGATAATAATAATATCTTTTTCTTTATTACCAATGCTTTTCATTAGATTTATCATTGAAAGAATCAAGTGTTGGTTCAACCTTTTTTTTTCAGACCAAACAATCCCTTAATTATCAAGTGTTGGTGTCAACAGGGAGAGGTTCTTGTGGCTCCAATTGCTGAAAACAAGCTATGGATCAAGATAATCTGCAAGAACAGAAAAGGTGTTTTCACTAAACTCATGGAAGCCATGAAAGGTCTTGGAGCTCAACTCAATGACACCTCTGCAACTGCCTCTAAAGGCGCCCTTCTCGTCACTTCTACTCTCGAGGTACAAAAATCCCATAAAACATTCCCATTTTTTCATACTTTGATCTGTTTTATACTCTATTTTTGACAGAATTTAATAAAATTGTTTAAAAGTTTTAAAAAATGCAACTAGAATTGGTTAAGAAGGCAAAAAGAAAGCGATTTTTTGGATGACATAATAAAAAAGAGTAGATTTTTACGGGAACGAGGAAGTAAATAATTAACCCCTTTCGATAAGCAAGCACTTGCACATTGTTGATATCATAATATTGTTGTTAATTGCAGTTAGGTCGGAGCGGACGAGCAGAGGCTCGTAAAACTCAAGAGTTCTTGGAGCAGATCATCAAGAACATATAAAGATTGGGTTTTTCCTTAGAATTTTGGATGAGTATCTGGTTAATGTTGACACAAATCTTGATCCAGAAAAAAAAGAAGGGAGGAACAAAAAACATGACTTAACTGTGAAATCTCCCAACCAAACAAGTCCTTAATAGACTCCTAGTGGTATTTTGTTGTATTAGGATCTTTGCCTTTATTTTTGTTGGCTTTCATTCCACTTTACAGATCAGTAGTTATGATTGCCATTATCATAATTATTAGTATTAAGATATACTCGTTGCTTGTGTAAATCTCCAACCTTTTTTTCCCATTCAATCAAGAATAGTCTCCCAAAATGGTGGGACCCAAAAGCCAGCTCCTGCTAGCCAATAGCCCAATCATCTTAAACAAAGATTTCAAAGTTTGAGTCTCTGGGTCAGCTTCAAGTTTGAAAAAAATAACTTCTTGGGCCCCACACTGCAGCTCCTTGCCAGCCAGCAAGGCAGGCCTATTATGAGCCTGAATTGGTCATGCAAATTCATTGATTATTCAAATTCCACTGCTTACTTTCTTGATAAAGTGGTCTTAGCATGGCATAAATTGTTGTCTGAAATGTTTGGAAAATGTTTTCTTAATTTGACTCACACAACAGAGAGAACATAAAACTCTTTATTTTCACAAAACAGATGTTTTCTGTGCCAAACACACAAAAAAACACTAAATATAAATTACACAACAATACACTCCATTTAGGTTAGGGTGTTCTTGAAGAATTTGAGGTAACTTTCATTTTAAAGACTCAAAAGATTGTGGAAATAGGCAGAACCAAACATCAGTACTGAACAAACTAAGGATTTGAATGTTTTTCATAACTGTTTTTTTTTTGGATTCTTCACCCAAAATGTTTGTCTAGTCAGTACATTTCCATGCTTCTATTTTACAATCCCTCTAAGAACTCTAAAAATGAAAAAGAAAGAAAGAATCCCACTCAATCTCCAAGATTCAGCTCTACCCCCACACACAAACACAGAAAACAAGCATTCAGCACCAAAATTTGAGCTTGGATCATCATATTATGATCCAGAAAAGGAGAAAGTTTTGAATCTTTCAATCTGGAATCCAGACTCCTCTCTTCCTCCTTTCTTCATCAAAACCCCTGCATTAATTTTTTCTCAGAACCATCAGATCAACCAAAACAACACAATCACTCTAAAACCCACATCTGTTTTCCTACTTCTTGTCAAGAAATCATATAAAGTTTGGATTTTGGGATGCATTTTGAGAGTAAAATGGCATTCTTGCACACACTACACGTTATTCTAACTTTAAAAAATTCAAATTCAATTCCTCCAAAACAAACCCAATAACACCCAAAAGCTAGATCATGATCTCAACCTTATTTAAAACTATACACAATAAGGTAAAATGGTTCCTATTATGGACAATTTCATCTGTCTCCCATTATGGTAAAATCTTGAAATTTAAATCGCTCTCCCTCTATCCTATAAAAAGATTCTAAATTTCCTTTTTAGTTTGAACCAATGTAAAGATTGATTCCATTCAAATCAAATGTGAAGCATTATATTGGGGGAAAAAAAGAAGAGAGAATTTGATTGAAAATGAGTTACCTTGAGGGCTACAAGTGGGAGGATCTTCAAAAAGGGAGAGAGACATTTGTTTATGAGCCAAACCAATGTCAAACAAGATGAGACCAGAAGAGGGATCGGACACAATGATGTCTTTGACCGGAAGCCACAAGAAAAGCTCTTCTTGGGAGAGGCCCTCGACTCCGATGAGGCCGCCGTAGCTGAGATTGGCCCTAACAAAGCTGTCAAAAAACACCCTTGTCTCAAACTTGGCCACACACGGCGACTCTAGGTACACTTGGAGCAGGCCGTCCTCGGCAAGGTCGAAGGATTTCACCGCATCCTTCGGGAAGAGCCCCGCCGGAAGTCCCCTGCTTCTAAGGAGGTCGTGGATGTCGGCGGAAACGGCGGCGGAGGGGATGATGGTGAGAAGGGAGAGGTGCAGAAGAAGGGGGTATAACAAGAGGGAGAGAGTGGCCATTTGTGGTGGTGGTTGTGGGAGGAGAACGGTGGCGAAGGGGAAACTGAAGGGGCTGCTGAAGAGTGAAGAAAGATGGCATTTTTTAAAACAGGGTTTATGGCGTGGAGTGTGTGGGGCCCGGAATATGATTTTTTGTGGACAAATCACAAATGGTACAAATTAACCAAAGGGTGTAATGCTACATTTTCATTTTGGGTAAATATGTTACTCTTCTTGTGCATACTATAAATCTTTTTTTTATGCAAACTGATTGAAATTATATCTCAATTTAATTCCACTCAAACAAGTGGAGTTTAACCATTTTTTAGGATAAAAATGTTACCCGAGTATTTTATTTATTTTAGAATAAATTTCATGTCTTCTTTTATTTGTTTAGCTAAATTATTTGAATTCGTTTTATATGAAATTGTTGGAGAATTAAAATTTTATCATCGAAAGTATACAATCAAGCACAATAAAATACTTCGTGAGGGAGCTTGAGTTCAATGAGTTGAGTGATAGGAAAACCACTTTTCAAAATCTTGTGGGATTTCGCGTAAATATGCTTTTCACGGGAGACATTGGCCCAATTTAATAAGCGTTCTTAGGTTGAGAAAACATGAAAGATATTATTTAATTTGCATGGTTGTAAATTAAGAATTTTTCAAATAAAAAAAACTTGTGGCTACTGCAGAATCATGTGAGATCACTAGCTTAAACAAAAAAAAAAGGAAACATCTGAATTGAATAATAATCTATGAATTTCTGTTGATAATCTATCTCCAAGCAAAACCTGCACCCACTTTGTACTGTCTCTGTTTGTTTGTTCTTTGTGGACGGAAATTCCTAGGTTTCTTTGCTTTCTCTCCACTTTTCAATATTCTCAAAGGCTTCAACAAAACATCATCCATTTTTTTTTGCTATTTTTAAAAAAACTTCACCCAACAGTCCCAACATCAATTACTACCCATTTCTACTCAATAATGCTAAAAATTTACCACGTCTGACACCATGATGATAACTGTCTCTGAATTTACACACATAAATGTGATTTTTGTGTGTTCAGAAATGATTGTTGTCGTCTGTGTGTACAAATTCTTAGACAATTGTCTTTTGTGATGTCAACTGTGGTGAATTTCTAGCATGACTCGTTTCTGACTAATCACGGGATTCACGGTGAAGAATTGTTATTTTCTATATGAAATAACAGAGGGCGAAGCCTCGTATAAATAGTTACAGAAGATTTCTAATTACGGAAGGGAACCTATACATGTAAACTATCATAAATATAATGATCACATAATTAATACGGAGTATTAAATATATACATAACACATTTAATATGCACCCAACTACGTGACCGGTGAAGGACGGACGCCAAGACTGTGTCTGAAGTCGGAGAAGAGAAGAGACGGAAGTCCTTTAGTGAAAATATCTGCATACTGAGAAGAGGATGGGACATGTAGTACTCTGACATGCCCTAGGGCAACCTTGTCTCTGACAAAGTGGATGTCGACTTCTACGTGTTTGGTGCGCTGATGCTGTACTGGGTTTGATGACAAATACACGGCACTGACGTTATTGCAAAAGACCAATGTTTCACGCCGCAGGGGTTGGTGAAGCTCAAGGAGAAGATTTCAGACCATGAAGAATTGTTATTTTCTATATGAAATAACGGAAGGCGAAGCCTCGTATAAATAGTTACAGAAGATTCCTAATTACGGAAGGGAACCTATAAATGTAAACTACCATAAATACAATGATCACATAATTAATATTAAATATATACATAACATTTTTAACACACGGCTCACTTCTCTTATTGGGTTGTGCTATTGTTCCCCTGTGGTCGATGCTACTCCTATTTTAATTCTTTAATTTCTTTCGTGGTTAAAAATATATTACTCCGAATACTTCCTCCCTCTTAAATTAATTATCGCTTTACAACAAATCATAGTGTTTGAATGTACACAATTAAAAAATAAATGTAAAATAAAATTTATATATTGGAAAACCGTGACCATGTTATGATAAAAACTTGAATTTATATTGCTAGTTTCAAAAACATGATTATGTAATTTTAATAAATAATTTACAAAATTAAATAAAAAAAGAAAAAAATCAACGTGGAAATAGTAGTGCAGAGGGATAGGAGTACTTTTTTTAGTGTCTAATACGGAAGGAATACACCCATCAAAATTTATATATGAGTTATATATATAATATTTGACTAAAGTTATTTTTAATTTAATTTATATGAAAATTGATGTGAGATTAATAAGTAAAATCAATAAGTTTCAATATTATTACATCAAAAAATCTACTCATATAAAATAAGAGATGATAAAACTAGACTCCATATTACGGAGTATTTATCAAATAAATAAAATATAAATATCTAACTAGTAGAATTAAAATAGGAGTCATGTATACCATAATAGAAAATTTAATATTCTTATATCAAAATATACTCTATCCGTCCCAATTTTGATTATTCCGGGGTACAATTTTATTTTCTCTCTTCGGTCAATAATTTTTATTTATTTGTGTATTTTTATCAATTATTTGATAAAGTAAAACATTCTTGTCAGCTCTTTCTTTTATAGGACTTTTGACATAATTTTTTAATAAATACTTTTTAACTTCTTATTAGTGTACCAGTTTGTAAATAAAATATTTTCAAAACTAATGAGATTTGACATCGTAATTTCCAATTCGTAATCAAAATTAGTTAGTCTGGTTTGACGGCCCACGTTTCTGTACGCCGTACATGTATGAACATTTCAACTTATTTATAAAAGAGATGGGCCAAGTGTCTACTTCAATAGAGAACATATTTATAAAAGCCCACTAAAAGTCATCAACAAACCAAATGTCACACCAAGAAAATTACAATAACCATTCAGAAACAAAACAAAACAATTTACTTCTATGAAATGAAAAAAGTGTATGGGTATATGGGCATGCTTCTTATTCTTTGAAATACTGCAAAGTATAGTGTAAATTTATATATATAGAGACAGAGAGAGAGAGAGAGAGAGAGAGAGAGAGAGTTGTGGCTTAGGATGAAGAACCAGCTTTAAGCTTCTTTGTGATGGCAGCAATGTATTTCCCCTGGTGGAAGGCTTGTTCGAGCTCGATGTCGCTCGGCAGGCGGGACCCATCCCCTGCATATGTCCCCGCACCGTAAGGGCTCCCGCCCTTGACCTTTTCCATTTCAAACATGCCCGCTCCGAATGTGTAGCCAATTGGCACGAAGATCATCCCGTGGTGAACCAACTGTGTTATTGCTGTTAGCCTGCACAATTATCGCGGTTAAGGACTCCAACAACTACACGACAAGTATAGGGTGAACGAAAGAAAAGAAATCGGCTAAAATAGGAGTCATACATAGAGAAAGTACTAAAAGAAGAGTTTCATGTCTTTAACCCCAAGATAAGAATTTGTAATGTTACAATGTGACACTAAATATTGGCATTCCATAGTGTTTTTTGGTATCATATGTTGACATTATTGGCATTGTAACTCTTATTTTGGAAATAAAAACATGGACCTCCTGTTTTGATACTTTCTCTATGTTTTACTTCTAGTTTAATTTGTTTTTCTCAAGATTCAAGAAACAGCTCAACTAAAAACTCAAACATGCAGTAAGAGACTCAAGATAAATGCTAAGGCATAAATTGTTCATGTCAAAGTGTAAACCAGTAGAGGAGAAAGGAACTAACGCGGTAGTCTCTTGGCCACCTCCCTGAGATCCGGTGCTGTAGAAGAGGCCGGCAGGCTTGCCAGCTAATGCCTGGGTCCTCCAAAGGCCACCGGTTGCGTCGAGAAAGGCCTTGAATTGTGCAGCCATCATCCCAAACCTTGTGGGGAAGCCAAAGACGAATCCATCGGCTTCCGGGAGGTCGTGAGGGGATATGGTTGGGACATCACTCTTAGGTGGGCCTCCCAATTTCGCAAGAACCTCGTCAGAAAGTGTTTCCGGTACCTGTTCCGTTCATAATACATAAGATGAGAGATTAATGTCAAATCTTTAATTAAATTACACATGATAAGTGTATTTTGTAGTGACCTGAAAGAGCTTGGCCTCTACACCTTCAACAGAGTCTGCTCCCTTCTTAATCTCATGTGCCAGCTTCTCAACATGCCCATAAGTGGAGTAGTACCTGATATATTTCAAGTGTTGTTCTCACATGTTAAAGGTTTATCTTTTTTGTAGTGATTCGGGAGGTGTTTCTCTATGTTTACTTGTTTATTGTTGATAAACAATTTTTAACTTATAAGCTGCTTGTAAGCCAAAATATTCTTTCGTGGAAGTAAAATGACTTAAATGATAGACAAGTCACTTGAGAATATTCATAAATGGTGAGTGATAGTTTTATAAATAATCTAGTTAAAATGGAGAAACAAAAAAATAGGTTTAAAAATAAGTTATTTTTTTGCACAGGAAAACATGTCATCAGCTAACATTTAAATTAATACGGAGTAACTTCTTAAAAGCAATTTTGAACTGTTTATAGGCACAGAAAAACACCCGCTTAGTTTCTATAACCACATTCTAACTTTCTACAGCCTGAGGCAAAAACACCAAAAGCATAAACTACAAGCTATGTCAAACGTCTATCCGACTACTCTAATCCTAAATTTCCACGCGTTCCTATCTAAGCTCATATATATACTCGGTGATATCTTAAAGTCGTAAGTCCTGTCAAATCAACTCTTCCTTACTAATTGAATCTCAAACATCCTATTAGAGCCTCCTAAACTCAAACAGAGCAACTCTTTTTTTGAAACTCAACAAAAACCACACAAACTTATATTCCATAGTTATTTGTCCTAGTTAACTTTGACCATAAATTATAGGAAAAGTATATTTAATTATAATGTAAATTTTGTATGATTGGGTTCGTTTCAAAATGCAATTTTGATATATCAAACTTTTATAACTTCTATTTATTTAAAATTATATTTAAATTCTAGTCAAAGTAAGCATAATAGTCAAATTAGGGCAAATAATTTGGGGCTAAATTGGTATAATTCAAAAGTCACCATTGATGATCAATAAGGCCATTTCATGACTCATACGTATCTATCAGATAAAGCTTTACAGAATTGAAACCCTAAATCTAAACATGGGTATAAGAGACAAACTGAACTGATTGAGCTCAAACAATCAATCTGATCCTCTAAAATGAGATTTTAAAAAAAATTAACCTAAAATCAAGAAACAGAGTTTTTAACCCCTCCACCCCAAAAAGAAATCATGAAATAGGCAAATTGCAAATAATAATAAGTATAAAAACACAGTGCATATATGTGTATATATATGTAGATAGATAGATAGATATATAGATATAGAGAGAGAGAATCGTACACAATGTAAACTTTGGTGGCCATTAGAGAAGGATCAAAGTGCAATTATCTCCAGGCAGACAAGAAAGGCAGTGAGTGGGTGAATGAATTAATCGTTGAACAGAGAAGATAGAGAGATGCAGAAAGAGGGGAAGGGGTGGATCTGTTTATATAGTGCTGGAATGAGTTCACCATGACTTTGTTTGGGAACCGCGTTTTCAATTAGCGTTAGCGTTTTGGATAAAATTTTAATGGTTTAGATTAATTCTGAAAACGCTAACTCTAAAGGCTACCGTCGGATAGCTTTTTCAAAACGCTAACGCTAATAACTAACGCTGATACCAAACGGGGCCCATATCTATCCTTCAAAAAATATTTCTTTCTCTAGATAAAAGATTGATATTGTTTAATTTTTTTGTTTAAATTATGACATTTTTTGACCATGAATTAAATATATTTTAAAATAATTGAGTATTATAAAAATTTGATATACTAAAATTATATTTTAAAATAAACCTATTTTTATTAATTTTACATTATAACTAAAAAACTTTTTCTATAATTCAAATTGTGGCAGTCTTTTATGAACGATGAAAGTAATAACTAATTGTGATTATTAAATTAAAAAGAATTCTCAAATTAACTTTAGTTTACTTGAATAATGATTCAAAAATAAAACTTCATTTAGTACAATTGACTCTATAATATTGTAACAATTGTTTATACTTTTTCTTACCCTAATAACGGACAAAGAACCAACGTCTCTGTCTCCGTTGGAGCTCGAACCTGGGTCTACTTCCTTTCCTGTGGTGTGGGCTTCGTACCACACAAGAAAGCGGAGAAATCTTGAATTTCAAATTCATGTATTTCAATTCCAAAATTTGAAATCTTGAATTTCAAATGACAAGTGGGTGCATGGATTTAAAATTAAGCTTTGTTATGAATAAAAAGAATTTGATTCAAATCCAAATTCCAAATTTGTAAGTTTCTCAAACATGGAATTTGAAATCCAAATCCATGTTCCCAAACATATCAAAAGATTTTTTGATTTTTAGGAGTCAATGGATATTCAATTGAGATTTTAAAAAACTGGTTTAAAATCTAAAAGTATTCAATTAATTTAAGTAGTGATCATCATTATTTGACCAAGGCTTAAAGCTTGCTCCAGCCATGCATTGTCTATCCTTTGTTTTTTTGTCTGTCAGTCTCGTACTGCTATATTGCAAGAAGGGGGTACCACTTATTAGTTTCTTGTTTGGGTCGGATTTGTGAGCTCTCATCTTCCCTTCATTCATTGCTCATCTTCCATTACATACTCTCTTCCTCCCATATTAGTCTTATTAGATGTCACATTCTAAATAACATAATCATTTTTAAAATCATTTAAATCTTAAATTAATATTCACTTCTGTATTGATTTTATATTCAATTCAATTTATTTAAATAAAAATAAAAAAATATTTTTTCTTCGTTTGCATTCAAATCCATTAACTACTTAAAGAGTGAATAACATTTAGTAATAAATAATAATAATAATAATTCTAATGTGGTTGAACTTGAAGTTATTCATAAGCGAAAAATAAAAGCGGATTACACTTTTATATTTTCAAAAATAAAAAATAAAAAAAATTGTGTTGATTCTTAAGCATTTGAAAATAAATTTGCAAGGTTTTTCTCTATTTTCGTTAGCAATTTGATAAAATAAAATATGATTGTCACTACTAGTTTTGTAGATCTTTTGATGTAGTATTTTAATATGTAATTTTTATTTTTTTAACTTCAAACCATTTGTCATATAAAATGATTTGAAAATAATTGTAGTCAAACATCGTAAACTCAAACAAACACTATAAATTGGGACGGAGGGAGTAAAAGAGTCCCTTCTTTCTTTTGACAACAACACCTTCAATCGGAGTATCTATGATTCCTATCCTTTCTAACTCCAGTAGTAATCCCTCACCCCGACCTGCCTCGAACCCATCCTCTCAACCCTTTCAATTTTAATTTATTTTCCAGGTTTATTTGACTTTTGGTTCAATTTTTTTTACACAAAAGTCAAATAATTTTGGGGAATAAAATTGAAAGGATTGGGTTGGTGGATTCAAGGCGGGTCGGGTGGGGAGTTTACCGAGGTTATTAGGAAAGATAGTAACCATCAATTTTACGATTCGGAGCCCCGTAGATATTCTAATCGAAGGTGTTGTTATATTATGACATTATTTTTTGTTGTCAAAATGAAATAGTATCTAAAATTGATGGTTTACCTCTATTATGAGTATCCAAGAAAATGTTCTTATCCGTACATAATTATGCGTATTATTTTGATAAAATAATTAATTGAAAAAAATTGATGACCGGATAATATAATGGACGTTAATATTGAGAGTATTATAATTAAGGGGCCATGTTAGGATAATCTCAAAATTTTGGAGTTATCCATGATTGATTATTCTAATTTTTTGCACAATCCACATAGATAGTTAGGATTAAGCTATTTGTACTTATTTTATATACCCCAAAGACATGCACTGACATTTTATGCTAGTATAATATTAGTGTAATGATTTACATTCACAAAGGGCAACTTTTTTCATTGAACTAATATTTTCTATTTGTGTCAATCATTAAAATATCGACGCATTTCTTTGGATAAAACTTAGGGTATATTTTTTGTGTGCCCATGGCATGGTTGAGATATTAATTGTATGTGTCACACAACAATGATTTTGTATGTGCAAAATTTGGAGTCATGAGTTATCCAAGAGATTACTCCTTCCGTTCATGTGACATTGTTTGGCAATATCATGAGATGAGCTGGGGGTCGTACGGTGTTCCGTTCGTA